AATTGTGTCTCAAAGGTTCACATCTCAGTCAAAGCTTCTATCTAGGCTGTTCTGATCTCCATAGATGCCGAATCCAGCCACCTTCAAATCGATCTGTCGTGAAGATCTTGCCCTTTCCATCCCAGGCTAGTTTATCGGGGAGCGGGTATCCCTCCTACGGGTTAGGTATCTTTAGGTACTTCCCCAATCTATTTTCGACTCATTATCGTCTGTTCTTGACACTGACAGGCTCAAGGAAGGACAAAGGAAAAAAAGAAACTCCCATAGAACCGACGGCCCTGGATGTACTCGATTCTTTCTATCACTCATCATGTTGACGGTTGAAAAGTCCTGGGTTAATGTACAGCAGAAAACTTTTACTAAATGGTTGGTCTATCCTCCGATTACCCCCTCACTGGTTATTTGTTATTGTTTGAGAGACGGTGGTGCCCCTCGTTCGCTGGATAGTTTTTTCTTGATCGCGATCTGTCCACTTTCCCACGCTCTATTTCGGCGTCGAACTTGCCCTGGCTGACACTCTCCTGTCCCCGTAGGCTTAATGACAAGATCAAGGTTCGAGGCATCTTGATCGATGACCTTGTGACCGACCTCTCCGATGGCGTGAGTTTCCTCCTACCTCCGGATAGTCGGTTATCCTGAGAATCCAGACATTGATCGGCCAACTCTCCTAGGTTATCCTCATCCACTTGCTCGAAATCCTGGGCGGAGAATCCCTCGGCCGTTATGCTTCCAAGCCCAAGCTTCGCGTACAGAAATTCGAGAATGTCAACAAGAGTCTCGACTTCATCAGAGGGAGGCGGATCCAGATGACAAATATCGGAGCGGAGGATATTGTTGATGGCAACCGGAAGATTATCCTGGGTTTGATATGGACGCTCATCCTGAGATTCACTATCAGCGACATCAACGCGGAGGGCATGACTGCTAAGGAGGGTCTTCTGCTTTGGTGTCAGAGAAAGACCGCTTGCTACGAGGGTGTAGAAGTCCGCGACTTCTCGACCAGCTGGAATGACGGCCTTGCTTTCTGTGCTCTCCTCGATATCCACCGACCGGATCTGATCGATTTCGACGCCCTGGACAAGAATGATCACCGCGGGAACATGAAGCTAGCGTTCGATATTGCGACAAATGAAATCGGTATCCCTGATTTGCTCGATGTGGATGACGTCTGTGACGTTGCAAAACCCGACGAACGGTCGCTGATGACTTATATCGCCTACTGGTTCCATGCCTTCTCCCAACTGGAAAGGGTGGAAAATGCGGGTCGGCGAGTTGAGAAATTCATCAACAATATGCATGGTGCCTGGGAGATGCAGAACTCATACGAACGGAGGATGAAAGAACTCTTGCGTCTGATTAGAGCTCAGCGCGAAGCATGGAAGAATGCATCGTTCGAGGGAACTTACAAAGACGCCAAAGAACAAGCTCGCCTGTTCTCCTTATACAAGAGAAATGAGAAACGACGATGGGTCGCCGAGAAATCAGACCTTGCTGCTCTACTTGGCAATATCAAGACCAAACTCAGCACCTATCGGCTTCGCCCGTACGATCCGCCGGAAGAATTACGCCTCGAAGTCTGTGACCAGGAATGGGAGCTATTGACTCGTGATGAGCACGAGCGGAGCCAGCTCATCAACGAGACCATTCGGGACATCAAGAACGCTCTACGCCGATCCTTCGCGGACAAGGCTAATGACTTTGCACTCACGCTGAAGACCTTGTCGCTTGCTATTTCTGGTCTTGACGGCGATGTAGAGGACCAATTAGAGCATGTCAAGAGACTCAATGACAATCTTCCTCCACTCGACGCTTTCTTAGAAACCATTGCGGAACTTGACGAACAGTGCGTCGAAGCGAATATTGAGGAGAACGACTTCACGACATATACCTTAGATGAACTTTCTTACGAGCTGAGCTTAGTCAAATCAAGTATCTCCAAGAAGCTCGCGTTCCTCGAGAACCAGCTAGTTGTACGCAATATGACCAACCTGACTCCGATCCAATTGGAAGAGTTCGAATCTGTCTTTAGACACTTTGACCGTGATTCATCGAATACACTCCATGAGCTCGAGTTCTCTGCGGCGCTCGCCAGTCTGGGGCTCGTATACGACGAGGAAGAAATGCACCAGGTCTACGTCGAAACTTGCGGGCCGGCCAGGTTAGCGCAGAATGCTGGCGTCAGCTTTGAGCAGTTCATCCACTTCATGGTCAGCGTGACGGAAGATCAGCATACTGCAGAGCAGGTCTTTCAAAGCTTCCGCGAAGTTGCGGACGGCAAGGTATGTACCTCCACAACCTGAGGGGTCTCGCAGCAGTTGCTAAGAATCCTTGCTAACTGATCAATTTGCAGCCCTATGTCACAGAACTCGACCTCCGCCACTCCCTCATTCCCGATGAAGTCATTGAGCACCTTGTTCAGACGATGCCGATACATCAAGGTCCAGATCTTCTAGAAGATCGAGACCTTCCCAAGTTTGACTATATTAGCTTCATGGAAAAGATGATGGAGCATAACAACAAGAACAAAGATAGCTCCTCTGTCAACGGCGACCACTAAATTGATGCATAGCGATTTCCGTTTCAGATTGCCTTTACTTTTGCCTTCAATCCCTTTTACTTGGTTTTTCCTCGTGGGTTGTTACTGGAGTTTGGCGGAGCGAAAAGGGGTCTTGGTCTTTCGATGAGTGACAGTCTCAACCATGCATACAGGACTTGAAGCATTGATTTTTGTCTGTTTCTAACTTCTTGTCTTGCATGATCATTATTCTCTTTCGTCGTGCATCCTGCGTTTTCACGTTCTTGTTTGAGCTTGCGCGATTCTTGCCATGTATACCACCATTCAAGTCGAAGTAAAGTAATTGATGAGTAGAAATACTTCTGCTAAGTACTCTCCTCTTCTGACGATTAACCGGCTTGGGTCAAATGTAAGTTTCATAAAATAACATCTGGTGTACGTCGGCTGAAACATCTTCGAAAGCAGCGCTCCCACAGAAGTAGGATCAGCGTAATGAGTTTGTCCCGAACTTCAAATATCGTGATCGTCTGGTTTTTCCTTTTCTGCTCTTGACTATTGAGGCTTACTATCCCTCGATTCACCTTGACTTGGGTTATTGGTGCATCTCCTCCATGCTGTTGAAAACTCAACTTCGCGCCTTGAGTATACTCCTTAGAATCACATGACCTAGGCTGATTTCTGGTCTCAGTCGCAGCTCAACCTTCTGATACGACAACCAACAACCTCTCCTCAGAACCAATTTATAAACATCTTTCACCTATTGCTTCCGGCATATTATCCAACCTCTATTGTCCAGCTTTTTATAGCCTGATCTTCCGCCGTGTCCAAGATGGACCGTAGTCTCGATGAGATCATTGCCGAGCGCCCTGTATGGCCTCCAGTACTCTTTTTCAGCTTGCACTCACCGAAGAAGCTTCACTTGTTTACTAACATGAAGAATTGTATAGCAGAAACAGAACAGAGGTCGCCGTCCTCCTCAAGGTCAAGGTCGTCGCCGTGATGGCGTGAAAAAGGTCCGTCCATATATCGTCTGACAAACAAACTATCGGTCTCCCAGGTCAGCTGTGCTAACCTCCTACTTTTCGAGCTTCCAGGTCCTCCCTCCTCTTCTCCTTTCGAACCTCCCTACCGCAACATGATCAGTACAGATGTCGTTGGTCTTGTCGTCCTGTCTTACACGGCCTCAAGGCTCGCGAAAGAAGCCGCAGATTGATGGAACCGTTTCCAGACTGCATATTTTGATTTCCAGCTGACCTTGTCTCTCTTTTTGCGTCACAACAGTCCTACAGAGAAGAGCGAGTTGACTTAGATCTGTAATTGGCCCCGTACAAATCACAATATGAAGGCCGTGTTTACTGATAGGGTTGCATTTACAGTGATTGGGTTCATGACAGATATGACGACGACAGACACAGTGCGTTTTAAACCTGGCTTCGTGGCGATTGTCACGGGGGATTTCCATTCCGCTTTTTTGTTTTAACACAGACTTCTTTCAGCCCGCCCTGCTCGTGGTTCCCGACGTCCACGCGGTGACCGTTACTCCCATTCGCCCGATCGGTATGTCTGGCTTGGATTTGCTGCTGAAGCACTTCGTGGGTGTGGCTAACTCCTGCAGCAGCGCACCCGCCGGAGCAAAGATCCGCGTTGAGAACATTCACTACGACATTACGGAGAGCGATCTGGAGGTAAGTGCCGATCAAAGAGCATATGACACGTCGTGCTTGATCAGTTTGCTGATGAGTTCTCGTTTTAGGATCTGTTTACTCGGATCGGACCTGTCTCAAATCTATCTCTCGTCTATGACCGGGCTGGACGCTCCGAAGGTGTTGCCTATGTTACGTACAACCGTGCGAACGATGCGAGAACGGCGATTGCAGAATTCGATGGCGCAAATGCCAAAGGACAGCCTATCCGTTTGACGCTAGTCGCCTCTGGCCCTGGAAAACGGGACCGCAACCCATTTGACAATGTCGAACGGCCCAAGGGAAGTCTTTTTGATCGCATCGAGCGGCCTCGCGATGCCCGAAGCTTAAGCCCCGGAAGTGAGAATGGTGATGTCGAAGGCGGAGCACGTCATCGCCGGGGCCGTCGCCCTGGTGGAGGCGCAGGCTATCGCCGTAGCGACGTCTCGAAGCCGGCCCCGGAGCACATTGACCGGTACGTGCCAGGACAGCGATCGCCAGTCCGACGAAGCACCAATGGCAGACGGCAGGGGGAGCGGCGAGATGATAGAAATCGAGGCGAGGGTCACCGGAACCCTAACGCCAGACCTAAGAAGACGCAGGAAGAGCTTGATCAAGAGATGGATGATTACTGGGGAGGCGCAAATGCGGGTGCTGGCGCTGCCGACAAAGAGATTGTGCAGGATGAGCCTCAGCAGATTGCCCCAGCTACGTCCGCTGCGGCTGGTGATGATGACGTTGATATGATTGAATAGGACATTACCTACATTACGGTGGAATAAGGAGGGTTCTTTGGCACTGTATTCCATTTTCTTGCTCTTATGTATTTCTCAACTCAAACCAGATTGGAACATTTTCTTGTGTGCAGTTTTCCTTGACACTGGGCGTGTAATATGAGACGATCCATTTCGCATGTATACATGCAGTACTGTTACATTATCTCGATCCCCAGCTCAGCGTCTGCATTGTAAAGGTAGGTGTTCGAAAAGTCCCGGTTATATGCTGATAGAAACTGGACACATGGAGAGCATAGGAGTCACGAGACCCAGATGAGTCGACGGATAGTCAGTATTGAACACTGACCTCGTCTCGTGGGAGTAAGGGTCACTGTAGGCTGGGAAACTTTTCCATAGGCGTAGAAACCTCTGTATCTACCGCCACAGCCCGTAGGGCTCCCTGCATGCCTTCCAGAGCTTGATCGTTCCATCTTCACTTCCTGTGCCATAGAGCTTGCCGTCGGGAGAGAAACTGACTGACCAGATGGGGCCATGGTGACCCTTTTGGACCTCTAAGATAACAGGTTAGCGTGGCCATACGCCTTAGAAGATGGAAGGTTCCTATGCACATACCGAGCTCTTCTTCGGTGCGTAGATCGTACACCCGAGCCCAGGTATCGTCAGCACTGCCGGTGACCAATCGGCCGGTATCATTGTTCACAGCGGCGCTGGCGACCTCGTATCGAAAGTCCATCTTCTTCAGAAGCCGCCCGGGGGTGACACCATCGAAGAGGTAGACACTCTTTCCGGCCGCGACGGTTAGGATACCGGGGTCATTGGGTCGAGTGGCGAGGGTGTTGAGCTCGCAGCTACCTATCGTGCCTTCGACAGCATGCTCGACAACAGGATGGCGAGAACGAAGATCCCACCAGCGGATCTTCCGATCCTCTGCGGCTGTCGTGAGGATGTTGTAGTCCTGATTCCAGACGATGGACTTGATTGTGCCTCCGTGCACGCCAGGCCCAATCTCATAGCTTGTGATCGCGCTAGCTCCATTGCCGTTCTCCCCGGCGGACGGGGACGTTGGTGAGGAGCTGTTACTACCACCGCTGCGTGTCAGATCAAAAATACGTAGCCTTTTCTCGAAGCCTCCAGTGGCTAGAATCTGAGGGGACGATTGAATCGGGAATGCCACCGCTCGACAGATGTGTGAATGCTGGAGTGTGTGCAAGCATTCACCAGTATGAGTATCCCACACCTTCCTGGGGATCAGTGTTAGCAGTCCCGTCGATGTTGCCGCGGTACGAGGAATCTTAAAACATACGCGGAGAAATCTGCAGCCGCAGTTGCTGCAATGTTGGCGTCCGTCGAAAGACGAGCTTGCCATACAGCTCCCTTGTGGCCAAGGAAAGTGCCAATCCTGAGTTGTAAGACTTAGTCAAGCAATTGGTAACGATAGAAGCGATAACCACTAACCAGTCACCAGTAATGCCATCCCGAAGCATGGGGTTGTTGTCTATCAGAGCAATTTAGCTTAGTCGCGACGCAGACATTGCAGCGGAAACGGTTACCTTTGCAAGCAGAAATTAGATAGTACTGATCGTCCTCTACAAGGGAGGAGAAGTTCAGATGAGGCACTGGACGAGAGTGTCCATGGCAGGTCAAGGGCACAACTTTAGGGATATCTGTTTATCGTCAACACATAGGTGAAGAAAAGCTTTCTGAATTGAGAAAGCTTACCTGACGCCATCTTAAAAGATTGAAGGCCAATATATACCGAATACGTGTCTGTTCGCCTAGTGGTTGATTGGTCGTTTGCTTTCAAAGCTTGGTCGGCCGTGAAGATAGTGGTTGATCAGTGCTTGGACATAGGCCAGAATCTGCCTATCAACGATCAAAACATGAATTGACAGGTCATAGAAGACTTCAGAGAGACGTCAAGGATCAATATAGGTAATGATACAGGGAAAGATTCGTCAATTTCATCAAATCATCAATATAGATTGGCGGGGTAATGGTGATGAGGCAATCGGAAGAGAAAGAAAAGTTATGAAAGGTTGTCCAGTAGTAATCCCAACCGTAAACAGAAGTAGAGTAAGTACGTTATCAGACCAGTTAACGGAAGCAAACAAAGGAAAGACTCCGACTCCAAAGAGAAGCAAGACGGGAGTCTCGAGGATACTGAGTCAAGCAAGTAAGTCTTCCTGTTCTGATAGCTCCGTTCGTTGATACTCCAAATTGTCGGAGTTTCGTTCAAAATCTCCGATTGCTCACGCTAGACTGAAAGCAGTGAAGACGACCAGCACGTGACGTGTATACTTCTACTTCTGAGCTGGACAAGTATTCCTACTGATGTGTCCTCAATCCTCATCTAGCACTTTTATAAGATTTATGAGCATGCGGGTAACTCTAATGGGTGCTAGTAAGCAATAGGTCAAGTTCTCCACGGTTTTGTCCTAGTCATTGTATGGTCCATCATCGACTCGTTCATTGCCTTTGGTTACAGAGACAAAAAGAAGCGGATAATTCAACAGTTGGCCAGTTAGCGTAGTGGTCATCGCGTTTCGTTTACACCGAAAAGGTCGCCGGTTCGAACCCGGCACTGGTCATTGTTTTTTGTAGGTTTCTGATATACACTGGAATTTGGAAATGTGGCAGAGGACAGAGTATCAAAGTTCTCGTCTACAATTTTCCATTTAACATAGCAAGTAAGTAAGAAAGTAATCCGCCAGAAAGCAAGATCGAACACCGCCAGTGCATGTTAGCAGACACAGTACACTGTTCCTCGGCATGCCTTGGTGTAGCCAACATCGCTTGAGAAGCAAAGAGAATTAAAGGTGACACCGTGGGAATAAAGTAACATGCAATTGATCATAGCCACGATAGAGCAATCCGCTACAAACCAGGGACCAACGACAATAATAAGTACCGATCACGCCTCCCCAAAGAGCTTGAGGAACAGATAAAAGAACCCAGAAGTGTATCTTGATGGATGTATAACCGTGTAAAGCCAACGCCTCACGAATGGTTCATCTTTTGGCCATATATCCTTGCGGGAGCCAGCCATAATGGTCTTGCAAATCATACGACTCTTTCGCCGCAGACTGGCGAGCAACGCAGTCGGAAACTCCTTGTTCGAATCCACATTTCCTTTCTGATTCTTTCTTTCTTTTTTTTGTTTTTCCATTTCCCAAGCTTTCCTCCATCCGTTTTTAAAATCGAGGTGAGTTGCAAGTCAACCGTATATCCGAGCAAAGAGGGGTAGTATGACCTCCAGGACAAGAAGAAAAGTGTCAAAAATAAGAGACTCCACCCGCGTGAGACGAGGCTGGGGCAGTCCTCACGAAGGTAAAAGAATGGCCGTAAGAAGAACCGATGCAAGAGGGAATCATGAACGCAGGACAAGACCACTAGAATAAGGCCACTTGAGTTGAACACTGTTTGTCTTCCATGATGAGGCTGAGAAATGAGGTATCGCGAAAACTGGAGCACAATTACAAGTGAGGGGCAGAAAAGAAAGTCGCAGGAGAAGGGAGTGCGATGAAGACCAGAAACAAAAAGAGGCTGGGTATGTGAAGTAACTCGAGTAACAAAATCAGGTGAACCTGACCAAATGCGAATTCCCGAAAGCTTTGCCGGGATCTGAATACACAAACAGCATAGAGCCGAAGAGGAGTACAGCCTCACCAAGGGAAAGACATCAGAAAAGCGCCCACAATACCATGCTATGAAAAGCAAAGAACGAAAAACCGGACGCGAGATGTAAAAAGCAAGCAGTTAAGGCCAGAATACCGTAGTCCTTACTCCCAGGAGGTAAAGGGGAGCCCTCCGAATGCTGATCTAGCTCATGAAAATCCAGGACTCCCAATGCGCCAGACTTGAAAACCCTCAATTGTCATCAAACATGTCGGACATTAATTCCAGATGAAGAAAACCGGACCCCTCTACCGACCCATCATGTAGTCAGGATAGAAAGAATTGAAGCCTCCCACGTTTGATCCGGTAGAAGTGCCGCCAACACCTCCCGTGAGGGGCGGAGTCGGGGACATCAACGAATTTATGTTGTTTCCTCTGATCCCCAAACCAGAGTTTGAGTTGAAGGACCCGTTGGTGGGCATAGGTGCGTGGGGATTCCCTGGCGGATGCATGGCCCCATTGCTTCTCAAAGCCATGGGCATCGCCAGTCCCGGCGGCGCAGCAAGCCCAGGTGGTGGACCGCTGACGGTCGAGAACATATGACTGTGAATGCCTCCGAGACTGCTACCACCAGGGATCGAGCCTTGCGCAGAAAGGTGGCTGGACGCGTTCATGCTTCCCGGCTGACCGGAGCGGACACCCAATGGATTCTTTGAGAAACTCAAGCGAATCCCGGTCTTGTTACTGTTGGAGAGCTTGTATCCATAAAGCTCATTGAGCGCTTTACTAGCCATGGCCACTTCGTCGAATTCAACGAAACACATGGGACCGTTTTGCTTGTTCCGGAAGCACAGACGCTTGTATCCGCGTTGTTTGGAGAAGAGAGCCTTCAGCTCCTCTTCGGAGGTGTCCGGAGGAAGGTTACCAACATAGAGGGTATTGCAGGGAGGATTCAAGTCGTTCGGATTCGCCGCAGGAAGACTATGACGAGGAGTATGCTGATTACCATAAGGGTATCCATGACCTCCCATCATAGTGTTGCCGTTGATTGCCTGAGGAAAGGTGGAGGAAGGCGTCGGGACCCCAATGCGCCCTGAGCCGCCAGGCGCATAATTGTGCAGAGGTGGGGAGGTCATGTTGGTGGACAGAGAGAGGCTGCCGAATCGGTTGGTGGGATACTGAGGATTCGTCGAACGTCGAGGCAGGGTGACCGAAGAAGAATGACCGTTCTCGGCGTAGCCAACGGGATCCTTGAGTAGCTCACCCGTATCTTCATCCGGATCTTGGTCGATCATTGACTTACCACTAACGCGCGGAAGGTCATGAACGCCATTGCCGATCGGGGACTGGGGAGAAAATATGCTTTGAAGACGAGACCCGGACTCTGAGTTCGAGGTCAGTGTGTCGCCGTTCGACTGCAGGGATGAATTTGGCGCTGCCAGCTTCTCAAGACTTTGGAATGTGCCGTTGAACCGGGAAGACCGCGACAGGTGGCCATTACCCAACATATTTCGAGTCGCGGTGTGATCAATCGTATTGCGCCTCGTTGGGTTCAAGGCAGACGGAACCGGTCCATGGTAGAGCTCAACGATCATGTTGGCATCATTCTGCGAGTTTGGCTTGCCATCCAGTAGAGCGCAGGCTTCTTCAGCTGCAGCCATCGTATTGAAGCGCGCGATGGCGGTCAGGTATCCGTGATCGTCCGGGAGTTCAACAGGAAAGAAATCCGCATCCACGAAATCTTTCGCAAAAAGCAACATACTGCGCAGCGCTTCGCGACTAGTGTTTCGAGGCAACTTGCGCATCACAATTGCGCCGCCAGTATTACCATTTGCGGGCCGGGCGAAGCCGTTCAGGGTCTGGGCCGACCGATCGGAATCAGTTAAACGCATGTTGCCAGGCGCGCCACTATCGAAAGGCAAGGAGGGACCGAGGGGAGAGAAAGGATAAGAAAACGAGCCGCCTAGAGTGTTCGTTGTTTGCGACGCAGTGGGAGAATATACGTCGGTCGACATCGCATTCTGGGCCGTCGTGGGCGGCTGGGAGGAAGAAAGCGACTGCTGAGGAGGCGACGCGCCCGACGAGACGGAAGGCGTGCGCTGAGTGGTACTGTAAGAACTTGGACTCGTACGAGTAGACTGACTCGAACCGGCACTCATGCCTCGAGGACCAGCAATGCCACAATACAAGTGTGCGATGATAACAATGTATTCGCAGGGTTGATGATGAAAGACAGTCGCGGGGTGTCTAGAAAAGGAGGGTAGGTATGTTTGCTGGAGCGAGCAAGAATATTGCGATACGATGCAAGAGCGTCAAAATAGTTCAGACCGACGAGGATGACGCGCCAAAATATGAAGAATAAATGGATGCACGACGATGTGGTTTCTTTATGCCCTCATCAAGAAACGCGACCGAGTCTTCGAAAGGAGCGCGATTAGGTCTGTGGCAGCTTGGCGGCGAAGGAGGCAATTATGAAGACGGGGACGGACCGAGGAAGTTGTATGAGAATGAGTCGGCACAAAGAGATCGATACGTGATAAAATTGACAAGGATCGATTAACTAAGAGAGGAATGAGTAATCGAGAAAAAGTAACAAGAAGAATGAGGTGTTTGGTGGCGATGAGGCGAAGAGGAAAGGAGGGAAGATGGATGGGTGAGGTAGATCGGACGAGAAGACGAGAACGGAAGAGTAAAGGTGGAATAGTATTTGAGTGCAGTACGGAGAGCAGATAGATGAGAGAGGTTTGGGGGGTGCGTCGAGGGGGAAAGGCGGTGGTTCGATACAGTAATTGTACGGGAAGTACCAAGTACAGAAGAGTGGAACTTGCTGTGGTAAGGTGTGGAAGGGAAAGTTTGGAACTTTTGGGGGGGGTTGTGTAAAAGGAGGGAGGCGGAGGAGGATGATTACCTACAGCATAGTCTAGTCTAGCCGGCTGGTACTGACCCAGATAAGATGAATGGCGACCGAAGAATGATCCAAGGGACACGCGAATGACAGCAGAAGAAGAAGAAGATGATGATGATGATGGTTGTGGTGATAATAATTAATGTAAATGTGCGAAAACAGAGAAAAGGAAAAAGAAAAGAAAAACAGGGCCTTGGATGAATAATAATGGAATTATCGCATTAATTGGGATGAACGATTACGAGTACCTAGAGTGTCTAAGGTAGTTGGAGTCCGGAAGTGGTGCTGAGAGACAAACTACAGCGTACTACCAATAGCAGTCTACTTAGCAACACGCATGAATCCCTCTAGGATTCTGGTACCTACAGTAGCTCCGGTACTTTTAGGCGGATTCACCTTTCCTTCTTTATAGACTTCGTTGCGAGATTCGTTGAAAAGATACCTACCTAAGGTACTACTAGGTAGACTGTCGCTCAGTCTCAGTAGGCGGTGCATCTTGTGGCCCACGGATCGAGTCTGGTTCCGTCCCAGGAGTCAAAGAGACTAAGAGAGTCGAAGCTCGAAAACTACCCTACCTTACACTCTAATTCAGTACTCCCGTATCAAGGCTACTCCGTACCTAGGATGAGGGTGGATCGGGTCTGATGATGGAAGGGACGAATGACATTGAGGCATTCTCTGATTGCATCCATAAGTCATCCAGAGTGCGTGAGCCAGTCAGGAACCGCAGGTGGTGTAAGTGACTCGGCTAGACCCAACTCAGTCGAAGCGCGACCCAGCAAGTTAAATTGACAAGACGCGCTATCCAGGGCCCATGAGCGCCGGTCGTCAATTTGAGCATGAGAGTCTAAGACTGACTGACGAGCACGGGAGTACGAATAGCAGAAAAATGACAGAGAGGACATTCATACTACAACTAAGTCTTTGATAAACTCCGTGGAATATCACAGTAATGAGGGACATACCGAGAACAGCGAGAATGGTTGGGTGTCTTATCTAATCCACAGCGAACGGTCCGGATGCGTATAACTAGGCACTAGTAGTATCTACCCCGTAAGATAGGCTTACTTAGAGTCCGTCCTAGTTCAGGGCAGGCCGCAGGGGCAGTGCGTGCCCCGTTAGTTGCAGAGGTCGTGCATAAAGGTGGAACCCTTTGAATTATCAATTTATCATCACTGCCTGTTGCTTCATCTTGTTGACATGAGGTAACTACTCCGTACTCTCCCTCTCCCTCCTTGTCCAAAAGTAAATGACGAAGTACCTGAAATGTGTCATTTGAAGGGCAAGAACACTCCGCTCTGGTTGTATCCAAGCCATCTCTATAGGAACACCCCACGGTATCTATCAGAGTTTGTTATTACTCGCATGAACTATGACGGTCAGTGATGGAATGATTTCATAACCTGATCACTCTACACATGATCACCTTACCAAGGTAGGAAAGCTGTTGTCGTCTTTTGAGGATTCTGGATATCCTCGGTCAGGCATCCATGGGATGGTCTCATATCCATCGTCTCCAGCCTCCCAAATTGGGTCGGAGCTCAGAAATTTCATATCATGTGCATGATAATGAACCAGCGGACATGGAAACAACTGACAACATGGACTCATCATGAACTCTTACTATGACTCCGCAGATTATGTAGAGGTCTATTCCAAGCATTACCCCTGGACCCCGCTGGGCTCTTGATGGTTTTGTCCACGAAGGAATTCATGGCGAATGTGGCTCGCCCTGGACTCATGGAAAGCCCAAACTCTGATGTTGATCATCCAGTCTAGTCCTTCGCAACCACCAATGATCATATTGGCCCTATGCCTATGTCGCTACTTACACGGCGCTGTCCTCGTCTCTTTAGGAGGGTGGCTATCTATTTCATAGGGGTTGACTGTAAGGAGAAGGGGAACTCCTGAGGGAATTTGACAGCGTTCCCTGGCTCGTGTGCAATCTGGATGCTTGAACGCATCGGCTCAAGACTTTCGATTACTTAACTATACTTCGGTGTTCCATCAAAAAGCTTCACCGACAGGGATATACCTGTCATCGATGACAACAATAACAACAACAACCGGCTCTGGCCTGCCGACAGACCGTCCGGCCGTGACACATTCTTGTCAGCCTCTTGAATGTTCAGGGCACCACCCAGCATCCGGCGAGGAATCGACATCACAGTGCTTGGCTTTTCTTAGTCGCGTCGAGAAATGAGGGCAATGTTGACATCTCATTCTCAACTGCCTTCTAGGTTTCTACGGACCATTCAGCGGTGCCAGCAAAGAATGAGGCATGAAAAGGTGGACCCCTTCCAGGAAGAGGTTTGTGTCTGAGAGGGGGCAGCCCTAGGGGCTGAAGCGTAATAGGCTTGGGAAGGACTATTTTGACATTTTGACATTTTGACATTCTGACAGTGACAGCCAGATCACTCACAGACTACCTAGGCCTGGTGGCTGAGATCACCGTCTAGCGGGAGTAATTCAAAACTCAGGCACCATTGAAGGTACCCTAACCCCAAACATTGCATCAACCGATCGTTTTATTCGTCGCATATTAACCGAAGCCATGTTTCAATCCGCATAATGTACAAAGAATGGTTTCAACCCAAGTATATTCCAGAAAATGACAATTCTCGTAAACGCCGTTTTGAATGCCAGAAAGAGAGTAAATCGCTATCCCAACCAGACGAATCGAAGTATTCTCGATCTAAACAGAGCCGTCTCAACTGATTGAGCTCTCAAGACTAATAAAACACGAAGAGTCTGCTCATTCTTTTTGAGCATTAGACTTGGGTTGAACAAGACCAGCCTAACATCGTTGTCCCAGTCAGCAACGAGCTTCGATTTTCTTAAGCTTCCCAACCACGTACCAAGTTCAATAACCGCCATACACCCTCGCTGGGCTGTGCGCCAACACCAAGCCAGTACTTTGCCCGTGAGCGATCAAGAGAGACCTCTTTGAATGGCTTTGCGCGCCGAGCTTCCTCTTCGGACAGATTCGTAGGCCGCTGCGGGATAGGATTGTAGGTGCCAATTACTTCAAGGGGTTTCGAGTCTCGAGCCGACCTTCAGTTAGAACAGATAATTAGCACTTTTCTTAACAGACACTGGGTTGGCAATTGTCCATCAATCTCAATCTAGATGTCAATGACAGGCAGCAGAACAGTTCAAAGAGAAAAAAGGAAGCACCAAAAGGAAAGAGACATACCGAGCCTGTGCAACAACGATGTTGTAGAATGGCTGGTGCTTGTTGCCGAAGCGAGAGAGACGGATTCTGACGACCATTTTTACTATTTTGAATCGTTGACCTTCGTAACCGGCAAGCAACGCTGAATTCAAGCACTGCAATTCATTTGTTGCACTCCCGCGGAAGTTCAGATTGATCTACGGAGGATGTGTTATTCCGGGCCTTACTGAAAAAAGACTAGTGTGGATGGTGGAGAACAAAACATCGCGATGATGCAATGCGATCTCTCTCCGGAGGATATGAAGGTGTACTTCTCTAGCGGTTGGTATGTCTATCTTACTATACCACACCATAGACACACATATAATTCCCTCTTGTACCTCCTCCCTTCTAATCTGAGCTTCTAACTAGCATAACTGATTGCAAATTGACTTAATCTCTCGCATTGTATGTTCCGCTCTGTTTTCCCAAAACGATATCTCCCCATAGCAGTTCGAAAGTACAGTAGGACCGCCAGGATGTCGTTGAAGGTAGGTAGCATTTAACTCCAAGCTATGCTCCCTAGCTCATCTTACATGCCAGGCTATCTCAGCCAAAGATGCTGCCTCCCTCGATAAGAACTTGATGGAGATGGGTGGATGGTCCTTGGACCAATTGATGGAACTCGCGGGGCTGTCCGTTTCGCAGGCAGGCATGTGTTCACGCCATTGAGCAACTACAACCAAAATAAGAATAACCAGAGGCTAACACACCTGCGAAGTCTACCGTCTTCATCCCCCCAGCGCCGGCAAGAATGTCCTCCTCGTCTGTGGCCCAGGGAACAACGGTACGCTTCCATCCCGTCCACAACCAAGAGCTCAACGGCAGATGCTGACTCGCTTCAAAAGGCGGCGACGGCCTAGTAGCCGCGCGCCATCTGGCACAGTACGGCTATACACCCTCAGTCTACTATCCCAAAGAAGGGAAGAATGAGCTGTACCAGGCAAGCCCACCCCGGAACCACTCCCAACAGACCAAGACTAATCATCTGGCAACCAACAGCGCCTCAAAACCCAGCTACACAACCTATCCGTCCCTTTTGTTCCAGATTTCACCGAGGCTCTCAAGTCCGCTGACTTCCTCGTCGACGCCATCTTCGGGTTCTCCTTCGGAGGTCCCCTCCGCGACCCGTTCCCATCCATCATCTCCCAGATCGAGTCGTCGTCCGTCCCTGTGCTGAGCGTCGATGCGCCCAGTTCTTGGGACATTCAGAGTGGTCCACCCAAGGAGGGTCCGGGATCCAAATTTATGCCCGAGGCGCTGATCAGTCTCACGGCCCAAAGCCATGCGTGAAATATTACCGCGGCAGACACTTTGTCGGTGGTCGTTTCTTGACCAAGAGTATCGTTGAGAAGTACGGATTGGATTGTCCTGATTATCCCGGCATCGACCAGATCGTGGAAGTTGGTGTTGATGCCGAAGGGCGGCTATAATGGCTGCGCTGCGTTGCTCTGCTTATGAATTAGAATGGCGATACGGTTTCTCCCTGGCCATCAATCCTACGCCGGTGTCTTCATTGAGCACGACCTTATATACAATGTGTATGGAAATCTGCATGATATAAATGCGCGCTCTTTATTGAAAGCCGTTCAAAAAGTCTATCAGTTGATTCGAGCTGGCGTAGCATTTGCATAGCCTCATAAATAATCAGTCCTCTGTCTTGAAGTCGCAAGACAAAATGCTTCCAATCGCGACGCCGCCCCGCAAAGCCTTCAAACCGTGCTGTGGTTTGTCATAAATCTACGACATTGCCTCTCTAATCTCGCCAATGACACCCTTGACCCGAGGCTCTTTTCCACTGCCCGAGCTTGACACCTTCTCCAGGATGTCCTTCACATCATAAATCTCCCTCGCAGCACTCTTCACTTCCTCACCTAGTGCCTTGATAAGAGTTCCTAGGGCGACTAGGGCACGATACACTGCTTCTGAATCCTTCTCGCTTGCAATTAGCTTGACCAGTTCCCCAACGAGCACCAGACCCCGCTCAGATGATTCTGGAGCCAATTCTCTCCCTTCAGAGGTAAAGTAAACCGAGAAGTTGATGTACAGCGTGGCCACCGCTATGGTGAGATTGCGGTTCGGTGCTGCTCCGCAGTTGCTCAACGCAGAATTGACGACCGCCACAATCTGGTCGAACCTATTCACAGCCAATTGACAACCGGCGTCGGTCTCGAAAAGGTTCGCCAGCATTCGTATAGACAACATCGCATTGTTTACATTCAGCGGTGGATCAAATATACCACTCGCCTGAATCCCAGAAACAAGATCTTTTCCACCGTAGTCTGCAGTGGCAAGCAGGGGTGTTGCAGCAGCGAGCAAGCGGAGCAGGTCCAAGCCAGGCAGTCTGCTGGTGGCAGGCCACGTGGTTGCAACTCTGAACAATGACCTCAGCCCAGCATCCACTACGGGTGATGATTTTAGGGCAACGGAAGACTCCAGCTGACTGCAAAGCGAAACGACAGTCTCCAACTCAGGAGGACTGAGGGATAAGTCTTTTGACCCCGAGGACGCGAGCTGGTCATTTAATTCCTGTAGTTTTTTGGCAATGATTTTAAGATTAGCTGTCTTGATGGAGAGATATGTCTTCTGCGGAAGGACTTTAGGGCGTGATTCGGGTAAAATAGGCGTAGGGTCTGCCGCTGTCGCTGTGGCATCTCCAGGGCGATAACGCCTCTCCTGGCCCCAGGGATCAGCGCCGGTGGGCGCAGGTTCTTGAACAGATTGTCCAAGGGTTGCGCCCTGTGTGTTCTGGACAATGAACTGCGCGACTTGGTCTAGGTAACTCATAGGCAGCTCGTTATCTTGGATAAATTTTGTGGCCGCTTCATAAGGGTTCTGCGAAATATTGTATGGAAGCTTGAGGGGAGGCTTCCCATCCTCGACATCCACGTCGAAGACATAGTCGTAATCTTGTCCCATATATTCGATCTTCCTCCCACTGCTGGCAGCAGAATCGACCACAGTACCGACAGCAATCCATTCTTGCGAAGCAGCGGACCATGTGTGGGCTGTAACGCTGCCATCTGCTTCGCGGATCATTTGCACCTGACCTTCCTTCGTACCGGACTTCTGTTTGAGAAATTCAGGGCCTGGAAGCTTCTCTTTGTTGATCTTGCCAACTTGCTGTTCAGGTATTGCGGATTCCTTGACGGCTTTATCGAACTGCTGAACCACCTCCGGGCTTGCCCCTCGCTCTTCATTTCGGCTGAAGATCCGCGTGACACGGTCACTGGCACCGGTAACAATATCGCCATTCTCTCTACAGGCAGCAACGCCCCACACGGAGATTGCGGGATGGGTAATTGTCTGCACACACTGTGTGCCATTCCACACCCTTACGGTTCGATCTTCTCCGGAACTGACCAGCTCGCCTGTCGGCAAGACATCCAAAGAATATATGAAGCTCTCGTGACCAAGAAGCTCGGCAACCAGCTGCCCCTGTAAGGTGAACAGTCGAATGACTCCGTCATTGCTTGCGGAAGCGAAGTGTGCACCCGAGGGATGTGAAGCAGGAAGCTTACACAGAGCTCTAACGACATCACGAGAATCTTTGATGCTCTTGACAAGGTCCCCTGATGTATTGAAGATCCGTATAATCTTGTCGGCACAGCCTGGTCAAAGTATGAGCACACTATATCTTTATCTGGAAGCGAATGACGCACCGGTGATGACAGTGTCTTTATCATAGGCCAGAACAGCCCAGACACTGCCTTGGTGACCCTCCATGACCACATCACATTCCCATTTACCGACTCTCCACAGCCTCGCGGTCGAGTCCCAACTGCCGCTTACCACCCAGCCTCCCTCTGGGCACACGTCCAATGCACAGACGTTGTGACCATGGCCCAGGAGCATTGCGTCAGCATTGTCGTCTGGAGTTTTTCCGGGTTGTCTTGCTTCTATTATCGTATCCTGGCCGCCAGAGAGTACGAGACCTTCAGGAAATTCGGATGTTGGTGGGTAGTACGCTACAGCGTTGATGAAGGCCGAGCCGTGGGAGGATATGGTGGAATCATAAACAGGCGGCGGGGTAGATACCAGCTTCCACAGCCGAACGGTCGCATCTCGAGAAGCCGAAATTACTACATTTGGATTCGGATAGGCCACGGCGCGAACCTGAAATTTAGAATCAAGGCAAGAGTCAGCAGCTGAAAAACATAGGGATTGCCCTTTGCGGTGGCCAGAGTGGCAGGAGTCATTGTCGGGGACGTTCTTACATCATCGCCATGGCCCTCCAAAGAAGCGGAGATCTTGAAGTCAGGCATACATAAAGGCTGCTACCGCAGAGCTCTGTAGAAAGAAGACAACAATTGAGATAGGAAAGAAATTGACGAGAGGGTTCTCTTCCGAGGTAAGGAGATCGTAGAATAGATAGTCCTCCTGTTAGTAGACACTCAGTTCATGGTAACCAACAACACCAGCAGGTGCGGAGAACAGCATGCATCATATCATGTGGGCGGTGAAAGCCAGGTACATGTGACAAGAAGATGCTAGAATTATTTATTGTTTCAGGGGTAAGACTACACCATCACAGCTTTAGTTCTGCATGATTTCTGTGTGATATACAACTATCAACAGAGCATCAATCGTTGGTCAATGAATGCTACTTGTCCATAGTAGAGGCGAGGTACATCTGTACATAGATCGAGTAGATCCTGTGAGTGAACAGAACTATGGAGAAGTTCAAATACATGTGCATTTACTTAGAGCTCTATAAATATCGATGAGCAAGAGGTCATGACGATAGAATTAAGCCAGACTACATCATGAGACGACATCATGCATCTCACTTCATAACCGAGAATAATTGGTATATCACCTATGTAAGTCTCAAGGACGGGTCAATGTTGGGCGCATCACGTGACTGGGCACGGACCACATCATGAGAGCCGAAAAGTTTCTTTCGAAATGCCCGGCTGTCCTTCTTCCACTATCACCAATACCAGTGCTGTACTTCACCACCACCACCTCGCGGCTGACATTCTTAATACTAGAGACGCTCAATTGGTCGTGTGCAAGCTGTATAAGGCCGTGCCTGCGTTGTCCCTGGCTTTGTCCCAGAGCAACAATACTTCCCTCTACCTGAGACCTGATTGAAAATGCCTCCCCGAATACAAAACCAGGTGGTCTCGGGCTCTCTCCTCCCTTACCTCTCCTCCTCTACTTCCTCGACCTCTTCAAACTCTTCCACATGTATCTCCAAGCTCTCACAAACATACTCCTCTCGTTTCTTTTCCTCCTCGCCCGCCGCTCAGACCAGACTGCGGAATGAGATGTTCGCATGGATCAACAGCGAAGGTGCTCAACTGAAACAACACACGCCAGGGCGGACGAATTACATTACTCGTCTCAAGGGCAATGCCGGCAATCGGCCCTTTCCTCTGAACTCTAATTTCGTCAGTGAGCCCATACTCAGCGAGGAGTTGCGCAATGAGATCCACCGGCGGGTTGTGGACAGAAAGCAGAGTGTGCGTGCCGTCAGTGTTGACCTTGGGGTGGATATGCGGCGAGTAGCTGCCGTTGTTCGGTTAGTAGAATTAGAGAAGCGATGGAAACAACAGGTATGCATACTTTCATTTTCTTTCTGCTCCGTTCCGGCTCTGTCGGCTATTTCCCTGGTGCGATGGCATGGTACAATGATGAGAACAACAAAAAAATCGATTAGTCTTTAAGACCCCAAGCATAACCTGCTTGGGAATGCTTACAACTCCCATATCTGATTTGTGCCATTGCCTCATTTTCTGTTGAAATTCTCGCGTCTCTGCAGCCTTGGATTGCTCTAACACGATGCTTGAAATTTCAGGGAAAGTCGCTAGCATTGCCATACGCTCGTGCAGTCCACGAGATGGTCCCAACCACACCCCTCCGCAATGACCTGGACGCTCGACCCCACGAGTCCATCAACGATCTCCCAGTCCACCGCCTCACCGATCCTCAGATCTTCTACCCCGTCTCCGAGTCCCGACAATTCACCCGTGTTGACGCCGGTCGCGTGTTCTCCGCCGCGCCCGCCCTGCCACACAAAGAAGTCGAGCGCGACGTGGCCCACCCCGACGAGGCCATCAGCAAGATCACGCAAGACCCAACCCACATCGAGCGCGTCGGTAAGGGCGACGATGAGCAGCAGGTCCTCCAGCCCGCGGACGTGCGTATCCCGCACCCGCACCTGGTTTCCCACGAGCGCCAGATGAAGTCGAACCCCAACGAGTTCCGCGAGAACATGAAGCTCTACCGCGAGCGGCTCCAGCAGGAGGAGGCGATTAAGCAGGAACGCAAGAGACTCGCCAAGGAGCGCGCCGAGCAGCGGCTTGTCCGCGTGCAGCCTGAGGCCTCGCGGTTCGAGTTCCGCATCAAGGATGTCGTTGTCAGTCGCGAGACGACGGGCACGGATGGTCGTGGTGCCCGGGCGCCCGGTCGGAGATACGGTGTGCCTACGTACGACCGCAAGAAGGGACAGATCAAGATCCCTACTCGCGTGGAGGTCTAAGCCCAGTCTTACTGACACTGTTGATCTATATTTGATGAGGGGAGATCTCGTTCTGCTTCTGCATTCATGAGCTGCTCTCGGTCAGGGAAATGATGTACTGTACAAATATCTCGTGAAGGGTGTGTCGAGCATTAGCATTGTACTTATATTCTGCCATGTTTTAACAATATCAATACCAACCATGAGCTCCGAGTTCAACTCACAAGGGTGCCTATGCTTACTTTCGGTGTCAGTCGACATTGCAAACGTCGACCTCAACTACTTTGGTTACAGCTGAATGATGAAGTGCACGTACTGGTAGAAACATGCAACTGGTCTCATTAGACAATAGCATTGGAAACATTGGAACAGTTGCCAGTATCAGGATGTCAATCCAGTAAGGGCCTTAGGCTAACAAATAAAGGAGAATGCGGAAGACAATGCGGTGATGCATGGATTCACAAAACAACAAACGCAGAACAAGACATCTCCTTTCGTATGTGAGAGGATGTCGCTAAAGCAGTGGTAGTATATACAATGGATTCATGCCGCTCAACAAAGGAGATGTTGGTAAACACTGGAAATGGACGAATCAACAAGGTACGGGCATCATGTATGGTAGAAGGACTCGAGGAGTAAATGGCTATGCTGGGTATCCAATGGAAGATACAGAAAAGCGGGACATGTAAGAGACTGGAGGGAGGGAACAATGTGTAATATCAAACAAAGGAACTCTCCTCGTACAAACCATGTGAGTATAATGACATCAAAGGGAGATATTGAGGCCTGAGTTGCGGAGAATGCAACTGACTACGTAGCATCAAGAGCTTGTTGCTCCTCATCGCCAGAAGGTTCAGTCGGGTCACCAACATGCAGGGAGGTAAGAGGACTGGCCGGTGAATCAAGGGTCTCATTGCCCTCGCCACTACCACTTCCGGGAGGTTCCCCAGGAAGGATATCCACGGGCTTGGTCAATTCGGGAACGGTGGACTTGCGTTTGCCCACACCAGGACCTGCGTCAAGCTCCCGGGCCGTCGCGTTGACTGCTCCAGATGACGAGGAGGTCGAGGTTCTACTGGACACACCATTAGCGCCCGTCTGCAGAGGGCTGGTGAGACCTCCATCGGTGGGAGAAGGTGACTGGGCTTCGTCGGCAAATCCTCGCCATTTCCGCCAGCCTTCGAAGTCAATCAGAGCTTGCATGCAGCCCCATTCTGTCACCTTCTGCTCCAACCAAGGAAATCCAACGGGCTAAAGAAGGGGGGAAAAGTCAGCCATCCACCCCGAACAGGATGCGCGAAGTGTCAAAATGACATACCTTGGTCAAAAAGTCATTGCAGCCGGCAGCCAGAGCCTCATGCCGATCACTCTGCAAACTACTAGCGGTGAGAGCGACAATGATAACGGGACTCTTGAACAGAGACAAGTCATGTAGAGTATCCTCCTCAGACAGCGAAAGCTCCGATGATGATTGGTTCACTTCTGGCGACACAGAACTGGCACTCGATCGTCCCGAGGCCGTCTTGGTGAAGACACCGATCCCGTTCAGGCGCTCAAGTCTCCGGATCTCCTTTGTCGCATCTAACCCGTTCATGACGGGGAGTTGGATATCCATCAGGACCAAGTGAAACCCACCCTGGCGCCATTTCCTCACCGCCTCCTCACCGTTCGCAGCGCACTTCCAACGGACGCTGAGGCGCTTCATGAAAGCTTCCAGGAGCTTCTGGTTGATGATATTGTCTTCGACAATGAGGACGTTGATGGGAGGTACCGTGCCTTCAATAAGGCCACCAAAGGCAGCGTTTGGCGATTGGCCGTTGCCGCCCTTCTTCGGTTTTGTGGGACGCGGGCGCGGCGAGGCAACACGCGCTGGCGGCGTGTGCGTTTTGGTCTGAGGAGATTCCGGAGGAGGACCAGGCGGCGTAGGGACCTGGGGCGCTGCTGCGGGAGGTTGAGGACACGAGGCCATACTCGAGTCTACATCTAGTCAGTGAGGAATGAGGTCTTAACGGTCCAAAGAATAACAGTGAGAGTCCACGCGTACCTTTTGGATTCGGCGCTGTACCAAGCATTGTGGGTGAGTTGGTAGTATGTCGAGTGAGTGGTGGCCGGCGAGAATGTCGGTTTGCTCTATTGCCTGGTGAGGGTAGCGGAGGCGCCATACCCGTGGTGAGAATAGAGATTGAGGGGGCCGTATGGGCGTTCACGCTCGTAGATGAGGCCGATGGATGAGTGGGGGCGTCGGGGCATTTGGGTTCGCAGGCATGAGCGGAAAGTACTCGCCATGCTCGCCCGGTTCCGAATGGTGATAATAGACAGGGTGGCGCGGGGATGGTTTCGGCGTCCGCCGTTGAGGGATATCTATGACCAACGCTTCGTCCACCGTCTGACCACCAGGAAAATAAGTGTCAATGACCACACCCAACGGCTCCTCAGGACTCAATATCCGCTCGGGCGTAGACTGCCGGTTGGAGCCTTCTCGAGGAGAAATGCGGATCATGATATCAGGTGAATCAAATGTTCTCCCCAAAGAGTTCGCGTACTTCATGATAACTTGATCGCGCAGCTCGTCGACAAGCGAATTTTCCATGGTCGGTACCAGGGTGGCCGAGCCACCTGGCCGTTTGACCCAGATTTTTCGAGGAATCATCTCACCGTTGACTGTGGCAGGGTGGCCGTTGCTCAGGTCGAGGTTCTGAGAAGGCCCGAAACCCAGAAGACCACTGATCAAGTGTTGATGTGAGGCTGGAAGAAGCGACTGACGGCGGACCCCAATGGTGGGGCGCTTCGGAAACGGCGACGACGACGGAGGGCCGACGAACTGGGAGACAGATTCTCCAGAAGAGTCCTCAGCGACAGCACCCAAGGACGGAGTCAATTGTGGATCGAGTAGTGGCACGCTGGAATTTTCTCGGACTGGTCGATATGCTGATTGAAGCGAGCTTGCGCCAGCGGGCCCTGGCAGCGAAGCCGAAAGGGGAGGAGGGGTCCCCGACGCTGGATGTAGCAAGTCGTCGCCAGCGGGAGTCTGTGGTGTAGAGGGCTTATTGGCAAGCTCTGTGGTCAAGCTGTACTTAGGATCGGAGTCGTTGGAGCCGTTCCGGATACGTTCGTAGCGGTATTCGCCTTCTTGATCCCCGTCCCGCGATTGTGACTTCCCCTTGTCTTTTTCCTCGGTCGGCTGCTTGTGCCGAAGGGTCCTTGTGAATGTCGGAGACTGCTGAATCGAACCGTTCTGCGATCCTTCTTGATGTGAGTTTGCGCCCGATCGGTCGAAGTGGGTGAAGTACTGATCGCAGCCCGCTGAGGAACCAGTAGCAGGACCAGGAATCTCGTCGGGGGTACTGGGATGGTCGAGGGGTATGGAGGAAACTATGCTGTAGGCACGGGATTTGGCATCACCCTCTCCTTCGTTAGGGGTCAAGAGATGAGGAGGCAGGGAACAGGAAAGGTCGGAGGTTGAGTTGGGGTCGACAGGCGGATCCGCTCCGGCGGCCGCCTTTTTCTGAACGTTAACGGGTTTCTGATTCTGTTTTGCATAGGTCGTAGCCGTGGTCGATGATCGGCGCAGAAGCTTCGACTTGAGCAGCTGCGACAGGCGGCGGTCAGGCATGATGAGGATCCACCACAGTTATGTCTGATAGCTCAGCTATCAGATATTATTGCACGGAAAGAGAGATGAAATAATGAGAGACAGGTAGAAAGAAAAGAAATAAGGCGACAACCGAGAGAGAAAGTCTAGAACACAGACGACAACAAGGAAAAGGAAAAAACAAAAGAGAAGAAACGAAAAGAGCACTGCGCTGTCACCTCATTCTCTGCAGTCGTACAATATTATTTGTCTTCTATCGAAGAACAGCAGCAGTAGCAGCAGCTCAGCGGTCTGCAAGGCAGTTGAAGGAAGGAGCACTGAAGAGCGACAGGATTCTTTTCTCTCTTTTCTTTTTCTTTTTTTCAGCTCTTCATATTCGATCAGTGGAACCGACCACCCCAGGAGCTGAGATGCTTGGAGAATTGTGGTCGGGATGAGGGGAAAGGAGATGGTTGGAGAGGCAGAAGAAGTAAGTAAATAAAAAGGGAGAGCTTGGGGAGTGAAGCTCGTTACTACTAGAACATACAGATGCAGGCAAGAAGCAAGCAAACAAGCGAATCAATCCTAGCTGAGAGTGATCTTCCGGAAGAAACGGGAAAGTTGGAGAATCAAAAAGACAGAAACAGTAGATAGGATCTATCTAGGCTACCCAGGTACCTTGTATGACTCTAATTTACCTGAACAGGGATCCAGCGATATGACAGCTGGAAAATAAAAATGACGGACAGGAGAGAGAACGCTTGGACCATATCCTATTGTTATCCAACGGTTCACAGACTATGAAGTGAAAAGATGAAACAAAATCACGGCACTAGTTAATTTGATTTGATGAGCTCAATATAATAGCTGAACTGCTTGCTTTTTGACCAAGGCCCATCTTACTTGACTTCTTGAGGTAGACATTGAGTTGAACCTCGGTCTATATACAATTTTGTTTCTTGATGCATGGAGTGGTATTGGACAATTTCCAATGTTTTTTCTATCCTCTCTATTTCTATAGCTCACTAAAAGAAATCACTTCCACCCAGTCATGCCTTCTCATTCAATTCAGGCTGCTCAACGACCTCGACTGAAGCTTGCCGTTGGTCCACAGCAATCTGACTCTCAATATCGCCAGGACTCTTCTCAGCTTCATTCACCTGCTCAGTCTCACTCCTGTGCATACTCAACATCTCATCAATGCTGACGCCAGCAGCTTTGGCTTCTTTTCGTAATTTCCGGTAGCGAATGCGCCAAACGATATGGCTCGCGTAGATGCCGACTTCCAAGACGACCCTATCGCCTCACTGTCACTACCGATTCATAACAGCCATTGCTCCTAAACGGGTCTGAACTTACACTATGATGTACATGACTCCTCCGAGGATATCAAATGTGCCCTGTGCGGCTTCGAGCAGTCAGCTTCCATCCTCCGCCTTGGACCAACAAGCAGCATACCTAATGCAAAAAGAGAAAAGAGGCCACCTAGGGTATCAATGGCCAAAAAGAACCAATCTGCGACGGGTTAATCAAAGCGTGCCCACACCCAAAGCTTTGGACCACTTACTAAAGCCAATCACACGCCCGTCTCGCTTCCATAGCTCGAAATACGGTGGTAGAAGCCCCGACGCCAGCAGGACAGCCGCAACGACGCCGACGACCACATCTGGCCAGGTGACACCTTTATTGTAGGGTATCTATGTGATGATAAGTATTATTCCAGTGAAGGAGCCTTAACAGGTGCATCAAGCAGACATACTCGCAATGTGAGAATCAGCAACGCCTCAAGACCACCGAACAGTGCTGCCGTGCCAATTACCAAGGAGATTGCCTTGGTTTGGCTATAGTTGCTAAGGCACAAGATCAGTCCGGGTCCATGTTTGAAGATGAAAGGCGGTACCTACTGATTATAATATAAAACCTGGCCCCAGCTGACTAGCGAAAAGAAGCCGAATATCTGCGGCTGTATTTGCAACGGTATATTCACTTTCTGCAGTATGAAAGTCAGCATTTCTAGTCCCTCCCAATCAGGGAATCACTTGTACCTGGAGAATCAAGTATGCTCCCATGGGCACAGCGCCTATACTCCAAGGATCAGCCATCGAGCTCCGGAACAACGCAGAACCCAAGTGCAACATACAAGAAGCCCATAGAAACATCATAGACGGCGGCAGGCCGTCTGTCTTCTTCTGTCGCCAATTATACCATATTTGTGGGATCAGCTGAATGCACCAGAGAACCGTTCCGATAGTTCCTAGTACATTGGACGCCACAGTGACATTCTCAGTGTCAGCCATACTCGTATAGAGTCGGGTTTCAGTGACTATAAACCTGGCCACTCCAACAACTTGTCCCACCAAGTTCTGAGAGGATAGTTTGAAAACAATAAAGACGTAGACCCAGGGATTATATGTCTCGAACAACAATCATTCTTCCCCAAAAAACAAAATCAGAAACTGTGTGAATCTGTCCAGCCTTGCAGTAGAAGCACAAATCCAATGACGACTGTCAATGCAGGTCAATGCACAACAAAGCAAGCATCACTATGCCCTGTGCTAGATAGTTATGTGGTTTTGTTCAGTTCTGCATCAGAAGCTTGGTTGAAGACAAGAAAATCCCTTCAGCTCTACAGAGATAAGCAGACAAGCCCTGCACACCAAGGCCGGTACACGACTCCAGCATTTTCATGAGTTTCCAACTTTCCTTGAGAACAGTCAAGAATCGAGATCTCCCCAATGCGGTCTCCACGACTGCACACCAGACATAGCAAGGCCCATTTGCGTGGCAGCAAGTGTGGTTCTGGCGCTCGGGAAAGCCATCTCATTGGGGGATCCGACAATGGAGAACTGGAGATTGGTCTTGGGGACTAAGACTAGACAGGTAAACCACTGGAGAAGAAGACACCCAACCCACCGCCTGGGGAGCTAGACTGTGTGCCTTGACCTTGCAAGTCCGACTCCTGACTGTGACTTCTGAGGGCATTCAGCGGACAGAGAAGAGGAGGCATAGTCAGCTCTTTCCTGAGTGGACCGCTTCTCTGGTTGCCAGATGGTGGGGGCCTCGATTTAGATACGCCCAACAGTACCTCTCTCTACGAAATAAGCATAGATAGAGGCGTCCCACGACTTCATTGGGAGAAACATTCTGGTCGACATCATTTCCTGCTTGCTCTTGTTGTTTGAAGCTGTGGGAAGTTTCGAGCTCTTACATCACACTGAATGAAAATCATGGGAAATGTTCCGATGCTGGACGCAACGTCCCGCGCAGGTGGCACCTACTGAGCACCATCTCGAAGTAGTCGACATTGGGACTGGGATCTACGGCATTGCGATCTTGAACTTATCGGACATAATCGCACTCAACTAGAGATGATCTAACTCGAATGGCTATATATTGCTTCTCCACTACAAATGAATACTTTCGACATCTCTCTAACAGCAGGTGGGACTCCGAAAGGAATGAAAGAAGAACTACACATCGAACCGTTGAGAACACATCCGAGGCATGACAAATGGAAGACGGAACCATGATGATAAGCGCGCAGATGCCCGCTGAATGGTGATAAAAGATGGGGATAAAACAGCAGACTGAAAGAACGCATCACTTAGAACGGGATGCCACATTTAAAGCAGAATCCAAAAGAAACCATCAGACATAACATGATCTTTTCGCGGAACCAGATCTCAGGCCGAGTGATACTACTCGAAGGGTATCAAATACGAAAGCTTTTGCGACAGAATGGCGACAAAAGTAGGAATGACCAGAAGAACAAGAAAGGAAAAAAAGTGCACTCCAACCGAATCACAGCAAAATCAGGTAATTCGATGGAGCAATACCGGTCTCTCCGTTGGATTTTCTGGCCTGCCACCATCTGCCGCTGACATCCGACACTTCCAAGATTTCATGTTTGCTGAAACTAATTTCGTTGGCATCTTCAGGATTGGCATCGTAGGAATATATCGCTTTTGCCTTGTACGGGTATTCTGTTGGCTGCGGGACTTCGTCCTGACCGTTGTTGTTCCCAGCAACGTTGCTGGCAGACGGGTTGCCAAACCGAGCCTGGGACGAGCTGCGGTTTTCCGAGCCGGGAGCACCACCAGGATAACCTGACACCGGAGACGACGTTTCGAAGCCGTTGAGTTGGGCAGAAGTGTACATCTGGGGTGCGCTTGTCGACATTGTGTCTGGGCGAGGACCAAAAGCCGTAGACATGGGTCGGTTACCGTACGCGCCGCTGCTTTCCTTGTTGAGGGCGAACGAATCGATAAAGCCGCGATGCGTAGCTTGAGGAGACGATCCAAAGTAGAATATCCACACGACCTGTTTTAAGGTTAGTTTAGTATGAGAGAATGCTGCGACCGCCAGAAGGTCAATCACGAATAACTTACAATGACCATGGACAAGAGGATGAATCCGGCAGCTGCGGCTTGCGACGAGGATTCATCTGCGTAGACCAGAGTATTGACCGCCAAAGTGGTCAGCACTAAGCCTGTTGAAAGATAGCCCACAACCTGTTACCCATCAGCGCCGAGAACTCCACCACGACGTCGTGAAACATACCGCTACCCCATAGACGAGACCGGTATCCGAACCAAAAACAATTGTGACACCGATAATACAACAAAACATGTAGGCGACCGCCCACCACGAGTAATTGGGATAATCCGTCTTAATATCCGAGATGATTGATGCGATACATGCGATCAACCACGCAAGCTAAAAGATCGAGAATGCGATTAGTCACGAGCCACCTATGTCCATAATAACCCGCATTAGGGACGACGTACAATCGAGATGGAGACGGTCGCGAGCGCAAATGGGTCGCCTAAAATATTGCTTGCCCGAAACTTCGCCATTTTTCTCCGGGGCTCCGTATATGGACTCGGTTTATGAAAGGACGGAGAATGCTCAGAATATGCCACCATGAACGGTATTCGCTATATACACAGTTGTCGAAGCGGTTGGATGTGGAGAATTCGATTCTTGTTCGACTCGACCCGATCGTGATGTAACAGATATCACACGCGACAAGGCAAACGCAGGCCGATATTCTGATACGTTATTTCTTTCGTGAAGTCGAGATGGTATAAGTCGATATCAATTGAAATTGATCGTTGATTTAGGTGAAGAGAGAGACTTGAATGCAGAAAAGAATGAGACTGGGCACACAGTCAGTCACAACTCGCAACGCAAATGGAAATGTAAATGCGCATAAGAAAAAGAACATATAGATACAATTGCTAGTCGGCAACAGAACATTGTAATGAGGCAGCAGGGATCTGAGCAATGACAAGGGAGAGGAAATGAAGATGAGGTGACGTGTAATCGTACCTTGCGACACGATCCAGGTCAAAGCGAGTGTATGTCTTACGATGACGAAAACTGGTGCAGATGTCGGCGTGAGAAGATTGACCGAGTCAAATCGATAGTTAGAGATCAATCGAATCTAGCATGAGGTTGGTGGTATGAAACTGAAAGCAAGCGAGAACCCCTTGCAGAGACGCGGAGAGACAACAACAGCACCTGGCTGTAGGGAATGAAGGTGGTGTTTGAAACGTTAGTGGGAAGAAAGGAAGAAAAATCGAAAGATAATAGAAGAATCAAGGTGAGGAACGAGTGTAAATCGACGGGTGTAGACCAATCGATGAGGATGTCGAAGAAGAAAGATGTGGAAAACAAAGAAACGAGGACAGTATGAAGTTTGAGAAAAGATTGGTTAACACTAGTACCTCTCTAAGAACGATAGAATAAGAAGATGATGATGATGAAGATGGAGATTAACGGATGAAAGACAGAGAGCCTTGACCCAGTGTCCGGTCGGGAAAAGGAGAGTTGATCAGTGAGTTGACTAGTCTATCTACGGTAGTACATTCTCTGTAGTGGGAACCAAGTGGGTGAGACTTTATGTAGATATCTCAGGTCAACACGAGAGAACTAGGTAGAAATAACTGACCAACTACTTGTCTTTATGGGATCTAGATAGACCATACAAGCCCTGAAAGCCTTGCAAGATAACTACGGAGTTCGTCGGATCAGAGGAAAATCTAGACTACCGGCTACCTTACTTCTGGATCGCAGTAAGAGTGCAGTCGCAATACTTAAGGTAGGTACAAAGGGCAGCCCTGTACGGACGGGAGTATCATCCCCAGGAACCATGCTGCTTGTGGGCCATGCCAATGCGTTCCGCAAGGCAAACAGACGGACTCGTACTCCTTGAAAATTGAGACTTGACTTTGGTCTCAATGGTCTGGTCCTTTTTCTCTTTCATCTACGGACTACATAGGGATTATTAGTATCATTTCCCCTGGCAGGTCCGCCGACTGAAGAGGACGAGAAAACATAATTGGAAGATGGGCGAATTGACGGAGCACTAAGAGGGGCAGCTGGGGTAGGTGGAATAAGTGGATGTCACAAGACTGACCAATGCTCATTGTTTCTGTGGTTATTATTAGCGCACGTTCGGCAATGATCCTTTGTTATTTCCTTGTGTCATTGCGACGTTGCGCTTATCCTTGTATGCTGATTTTTTCGTCAAGGATCCTCCAGATAAACAATGAATCCATATATGGAGTAGCTCTGCAACGTTTGAACTTACAGTCAACAGGCTCACAGACCAAATTTGAAACCAGCAATGTTGAGTCGGAACCATGGGCCCAGGAATGAATCAAGATGAGATCTCGGAATTTGGAAATTAGGAGTGCGCCAAAATCGCACCATGCACATAATAATGGGTCCTACTTAGCGACCGAGCTACGCAAAAGTTTCAAAGCCAAAAAGAAGAGTAAAAGAACCATTCCAGTTTCGGCCTCAGCAATTGTATTTTGTTTAACCGATCTGCTCATGCTCTGAAGGTTCTAGACCTTTTTCTTTTATGGTGAGGCTGACGCATGTGGCACAGTGGTATCCATCGAGTGGCGTAACACAGAAGCAGCGAAATGAGGATTAGCATCCGTTAATCTACGAAACATGCGTATTGCGAATTGAATCAATCTTCGCTAGATCCATATTAATTTCCAGGAAATTTGCCTTTGACATTAAATAATATCATCATGGTGGAGCAAACCACCTGAGGTTTCAGCATGATCGTCGTCTTCCTACTGCGTGTTCTAGATCCTTCAAGGGAAGTCTGTGTATGGACTGGGATGCCGGGCAGTCCGGACAGCACGGCTCATTATTCTTGATCCACACGAGGGTCGCTGTGAAGCAATGCTTGTTGATGCTCGCAGATGGGATGAATGCGAAACACAGCGATAAACCGCCTGGAGACTTCAGCGAAACCGTCAGCAACCTTGTTCGTTGGTTATCGAACGCCACTGGCATCTCATCTCACTTTGGACGATCCGTCCCAAGTCATTGTTCTTCGATCTTTTGCTTGATAGGCATAAGCGTCTTCGAGTGCTTTCCCGACCTTGCGAAAACAAGCTATCGAATGCTGATATTCGACATTCGGGAAAGCGCGACCAACTGTCGGGGACTGGGAGCACCAGCGGGAAAAAGAATGAAAAGCGGAGATCCCTGCGAACCATCCGGCTTGAACTTTTCGTGAAACATCTGTTTTCCCTGGAAAAGCATTTGTTTGAATGTACGCTTGTATATCGCTCTGGTGATCTTCTCGATCGGAGGCGACAGTCGGGTTATGTCAGCCAGGGTTTCAAGGGTTCAAATCCAAGGCTGAGGTATGACACTCTCATTGAGTGCAAGAGCGCCATGGCAGCAACGATTAATAGATCAGTGATCCCTCTGGGCGCTCCGGGAGCTGCAATGAAGGGTCAATGTGGTATCCTTGGTTGGCACCAAGATGTCGCATGGCCACGAAGCCGTTGGCTACACCATCTGGACCCCTGGTGTAGATGTACATCATCATGCCCAGCATCGAAAAGGGATCATACACCGTGATGAAAGCCTTTGCGCCGGCAACACGATTTCGCTTCTCGCGCCAGGAGTCATAAACCCTGACCAGTTCTCTCTGCACGTCCAGGTCCTCACCCTGCGCCGGTACGTATAAACCCAAAGCGACGTTGCCTTTGCTCGGACTGAGCAGTTGCTTGCTTTGTACGATGATCCGTTTCCCCGCTCTCTCGTTCAATACATCATTGGTCATGGGATTGAGCAGACGCTCGGTGCCGAATTGCATGGTCGTCCATCCATGTCCCTTAGCGTATTCGGTAAACACTTCGCTGGCACCGATGAAAGCGATACTCCATCCGTATCTCTTCCGGTACTCGTTGAATTCTGCGAGGACATCGGCGAACCAGTGCTTCTCGCACATCGGATCGCCCATGACCAGAGCAACTCTGTTATGCACTTTGAACGACAGAGCAGCAGTGCGCGCTCTATTTATGAAGAATTTGTACCTAGGGTCGAGAACACTCATATGGGAGACCCGCCCGTACCTTGTCACTAATTCCTTGATGGCATCAACAGCGGCGAGATCGTCAAGCGTGAGAATAGCCGCAGATGCGTGACCTGCGCTTTGCGAAGTTGATATTGATATAGGTTGTTCGCTGGGGGAGGATATAGAGTGCCCTGAACCGCGCAGTTTGGCGCTTTTTATCTGTGGCACACATTCTTCACCCTGAGTAGCGTCATGGAGCGTGCGGCTGCTACCGCTACTGATGCTAACAGACGAAATATCGACAGTATTTGTCGGCTGATCAAGCTGACGACTCAGGATTTCACTGATCTCATCCAGCAGGAAGGTCTTCTTTGTGGCTGCCTGCTTCTGTGGGTACAACGCTTGCATCTCTTCTCACCCGTCTCCTTTTTCGGCATGGAATAAATATGGTAAATAGACTGCTGTACAAATAGCAAAATCAGGATCAGGGCTACTTTGAAATCCGAGGTGTAATTCACAACCAGTAACTGACATATGTGACACTCCTAGGATGGCGGGGGCGAGTCTATCCTTATATTCGCAATTGTGGATTAGAAATCCAGTGCCTCCCTTCGTCCAGGGACTCAATTCCCGGACTGCGACCTGAGTTGAGACCGTACTCCATTCTTGAAGCACGACACGCGGGGTACGGTAGGCAGTCGAGTTCTGCCGATATGGATTGGTCTATGGGAGTAGTAAGTTTGGTGGCAACTGGTCAGTCTGTGGAGATTCTACGGTAGGCAGTAAATAGCTCAAAGCTTGAGACCCTGGATACGTGGATTGATGTCCGCGGACTTGAAGGTCCTCACTAGTAGGCAGTGCAACTGCCACGGTGGCCCATTGCAGGCATCAGAAGTGTGACTGGGAGATGTGGAGGTCTCCTGCTGTGCTATATAACTCTCAAGTATATAAGAGGGAAAGATCAAGTATCAAGCCGAGCAAAGGCTGTTGACGGGTCGTCAAGAGAACTGTGAATTTGGACCCTGAGCGAGCAGGCAATTAAGGTACCGCTAAGCATCTCTGGCGCCTTATTGGGCTTCTTGGCATGTCCGTACGGCATTTACTTAGTCATACTACATACATTACTGTTGCAATCGTTCTTCAAAGATCATGGTTGGGTTCTTCAGATAATATGGTTGACCAACGGGATTTGAATTCACTCTGACCTAGACCGCCCAAGCCCAGGCTGCAGCATATCTTACCTCTCATGTCTAAGTACATGAGCTTGTTCTATGATCCATGGGCCAAGCACATCCAGAACCATGGATGTGAGCATACGTAAGGGACGAAGAAGGGGGTAGGAAATGGTGCTGTTTTGACAAGGTGCCTTTGGCCCTTGTTCTTCGTTCTAAAGGGAAGCAAGTTTGGACCTTGGACCATGTAGATGCATGCGGGATATATATCTTCATTTTGCCAAAGGACTTATCATGTTGACTTAGTATTGGATAGAAGGCGAGAGATGCATGTAGCAATGAGACAATCACCTCCATTCCATTTTAAATTGAGAGGTACCAGCAGTGACAATTTTCTTTGCCTGCATTCATTGGCACGTCATAGCCGGCTGCCGATATCAAAACCATGGGATGCGAGAAATTCAAAGCTCTATCAACGACTACGACACAAGACGTAGCAAAGCAAGCAAGATGAAAGCAGAGGCCAGCTAGCTCAAACTTTCAGACCTTCTGGAGACAATGAACGGATGAACAGTGGCATTTAGCCTCGCTCCCTTTACCGAAGCAACAGCAACCTTTCCGTCTCGAAGAGATCTGGCTGCATATCCTCAGCGAACATGTTGGTGTGCTTGGTCGCAGGATGAGTAAATAAAATGGACCAGCAGAAGAATGTAAAGCGTTCAACTGATGGCCCGAATCTATCCACATGAGCTCCAGATTCAGACTTGTAGAAGCCAAGCAGTTCAAAACACAAAACGCCCAACCAACAGACACAAAAGAATGGTATCATAAAAAGTCAAAAGTCAAGCCGCAAAAAAGAAACAACACACACAATCAGCCTCATATCTCTCCCGCCCTTCTCTCCCTCACCACCTCCTCCCTCTTCACCTCCCGCTCCACATCCTCCAGCCGTCCCTCCCATTCAGCCCAGCACTCGCCGCTCCCCACCAGCCCAACCTCATACCAGCGCTGCAACACCCGCGCAGTCCGCACGCGGAGCTCAGATATCTCCCTCGCCTGTTCCTCCTGGGTACGAGCCAATTGATCGAGACGCGGCTGCAACTGGACGAGAGACGCAGACGCCTGGGCGTCCGGGACAGGCAGGTCATTCAACGAAGTGAGTCTAGACGCGGTCTCCGGGAATGCGGAAGCGTACGAAAGGACAATCGAGGCGAGGTTCTGGGTTGTCAGATTCTCCGGGACGGATTGCGGAGGTGTAGGGCGGAAGAGGTCGGGGAAGCGATCGTCTGAATTTGGTCCTGTTAGTTTTGGTCCATCTGCAAGCTAGTGGACAGGGATGGTTACGGAGCTGGAGAACATCTCGTACAGCGGGGATATTCCTGCTGAGGTTCTCGAGGTTCTTTTCTAGACGGAGGAGGCGCCGCGAGACCGTGTCATCGAGGGAGGCGGGTTTGGCGGGCGCGGTGGGAGTGCCCGTCCAGCTTGCATCGCCTGTGAGGAGGTAGGTGAGTCGTTGGAGGCGCGCTTCCAGAAGCTCAATTGTGGCTCCGGCTACCGCCTCATTTTCGAGAGCCATTCTACAGGAAGCAGGTGACAATTGATGTTTGGGATATGGGTTTCGGTCCCTGGGGCTAATGCTCTGTGATGGGTGGAGAATGGGTCTGGTGATGCAAACAAAACATACAAGCAAGACGGGGGGCTGGATCATGCCAACCGGGTTATCTGCTGTTATCTACTATCTATCGAACTCATAAATGGTATGCACTTTTCGGCCATTGTGGTTTAATGTACTGTTATATATCGACAGGGAATAAACAAGACAAACCCAAACAAGGCAACGCCGAACTAGACAGTGAAACAATTGTAGTCGTTCATTGCCCATAGATGGTAGCAGGTATCTCGCGCAGCCCCTTCGCGTCAAGTCGACAGACTATGGAGTTAACGAACTTGACATAGCCCTCCTGACTCGTCCCACACTCTATGAATGAGTCATAAGCCACCTTGAGAGGGAAAACAGTGGAAGCCGGTCCGAAGAATTTCAATTCATCCTGCAGCAGGTACTCCATACTGTGGCAGATCCGCTTCGAGAGAGTAAGAACCTGGTTCTGCTGGTACTCCACACTGCAGAACTTTGCGGGTATACAAGGTTCCACAATACTGCTGAAGGTCGTCCTGAGTTTGTCAATCTCCTTGAGACAAACGATATGAATAGCCCAGAGGTGGGTCAAAACATTCGCTATGGTAATGCTCGGAAACCAGAGAGTGTGGCCTGTAATGCCAGGATTAATCGCCTGTGCTGCTTGTTCTCCTTCGGACGATTTCTCGTATGGGCCCCCTTCTTCGCGCTCCAACATTTGCTCCCATTGCTCGAGCCGATTGACCCATTCCACAAAAGCGAAGCAGACTTCGGTGACATTCTCAGCTGAGCTGTCGTCTGGGTTGACCATGAGCTGGTCAACCGCGTGCAAGTAATTCGGGATAATTGCAACTCCACTCAAGAAGTCCTGCATGAGCGATGTGTTAGAAAATGCAAAGGGTATAGATGCCCATTGCTTCTCAGCAAGAAAGGTTGGCTCGCGAAAGCGAAATGCGTCAATGACCTTAACGTGCGTCAGACAGCTGATAATTTCTATCTAGACACTGGCCATAAATCATACTAACCAGGAGAGGTCGGAACCCTACGAAGAGCTTGTGCAGCAACCCGGCCTGGTAATGATTAGGTCCATGGGCTTTCATCAGTTGACCCACGCCTTTGATGTGGGTTGAAATTCCCGGTCCCATTCCCGGAAACATGCCCTATATATGAATACTTCCTGATTAGTACCGCTCCGGTACCCTTCTGGAATAAAGTATCTCACCTCAGCTAAGCTCAAACACATGATAGAGGCGGCTAGTTCTGCATTGAATGGCTGACTTTCCGCCGCCAACTGCCTTCTCAAGGCACAAACCGCTGCAGAATAAGCCGTTGTAGCGTGCAGACTAGAGACTTTCTGAGGATATTTATGGGAAGCAATCGCAAAAGCCAGCGCTTTCAGCGAGAGGAAGAAGACGCTTTCCTGACTCGAGGTATTGGCAAGACGCGGGAGAACCTCAACCCAGGAGCCGCAGACCCGTGAGCAGCCACTGTTATTCGAACCGTAGGACAGAAAAGGAAGCTCATCTTTTGGAATGTAGTTTTCGACCACAATAAAGGCCAAGTCTTCAGGTGAAGCTGAAATGATATCCGGAATCTTTATAGTAGTGAAACTATCCTGAGCAGTGGCGTCATGTGAGATCCGCCGCGGAGGGGTACTCTTGACTGACTCTCGGCCGGAATGTGACCCGCCAGCAGCTCCATTCCGCGAGATCTTATTTGGATGCGATGCCTCAGTTGAAGGTATGCTCTGCTGGACGAACGTCCACTCCTGCGGGTAACCCGGACACTTGCGCCCAGTAAGTGTGCATTGGCTGCATTCCGGGTGCTTCCCATCGCACTAAAAGATAAGAGCTATAGCATTTGCTTGAATCCATTAAGAGATCATGCGGAATCTTACCCCTAATTTCCTCTGTCTACAGTTTCCGCATACTGACTTCTGCTTGACTTTCATGACGTTATCCACCGATCGAGGACATCGCTAGGCCAGATAACGATCTGTCAATTAGTAACCAACACTTTTAGTCATAGTTGTAATAATGAAACCAGATGAGCCTTGAGACATTCGTTACTCCGCGCATAGAGTGTGGTCGGAATCCCACATGGCACTCCGCATGAGGAGTGCATGAGCTGATGGATGCCCAGTCAGCCACCCACTAACTGTATTTGGTTAAGGGTGTTTCTCAGTTGAGTTGGCGGTCAGCTACAGACCATACCATATATGAATGTATAATCCGCCGAGACCGATATTGTCACAGCAGTCCTTTTGGGATACCGGAAGAAAGACGCACAATCCCCGAGCGTCTTGCCATGTAAAGCTTACATTTATTTAAAAGGGGCCGGCGCTTGTGCGAGGCTCCTCCGGGAGATGGCTACTATAATCTATATAAACACCAGCGCCTGCCGCATGCTCGGTGACTTATGAACGCCCAGAGCATCATTCTATTTTCACATGAACCTTCGAGCGTCGGCACTCGCTTCCTTCTCCTACCAGGCCAAGCGAGTAAAGGGCCTGTAAGCTTCACAAGTTCTTTGGATATCACCTTCATCGGAACCGCAATGGCCATCATCGACTTCGATAGCGTAACCTTCCTCACAGACCCGATGTTTACCCCAGCAGGATGGAATGGGACACAGAAATCGCCGTGCTCAAGAACACTGAGTCACGGGGCTTAGGCTTAAAGAAGCTTCCGCCGATCGACGCCATGTAGCTCAGCCACGAGCACCACCCAGGTAACCTCGACGAGTTGGGCCATCGCGTTCACACGGCCGCAAAGTCTTGACCAATAGCTATGGACCCGCAAGTTCACTGCCAAACTGCTGCAGGCGCTGAACTCTGATGTCCTTGTTCCGGTGCACTGAGAGTCTTGACGGTTTTTTCCTTAACTTCGAAAGGAACTTGCGCAGGCCCTTGAAGCTGCAGGTGTACAGCATAAGTCGTGTTGGTTGACTCCGGGCCAAAGAAAAGGTTTCATAGGACTGTCATTTCCATGTGCATACCACTTCGACTGAACACAAGGCAACAGTGTGATGTAGTAACAATACCGTGGATTGACTCCTAGATTTATCGAACAAGTAGATCTGTTTCATCAGTCATGATTCGTCATAGTTGGAAATAAGTCTATCCCACGGAGAGTGACACTCTCCTTTTAGGCATGTTCATTAATCGTTCAGCCTCTTGCTCTCATCTATGTGGAGTCCATAGTTCGAGATGGTTGCGCAGCCCCAGCTGCGCTCAATAAACCCGGTCTACCCCTTTCCTGCATCTCCTGCCCAGATTCCATCTCATCATCGAAAGACGGAATCTCATAGTCGAATACGTTCACTTTTCTACTGGCTGGCGGATCAGAAGCCTCCAGTTGGTGGTCTTGTCCCTCGAGATGAGACGGAAGACTCGCCTTCGCCAGAGGCAACATTTGCATTTGACATTTGCCCTCCATGGGATCTCCAGCGGCTGCTTCATCAAACTCCGCTTCGAATGCCTGATTATCCGCATCCACAAAGGCCTACATTCTGATCAGCCAAAGATTCCACACACCATCATTAGGGTTGGCTTACTTGAAGTTCGGCTGGCAGCGGATTAGCCTGAACGCTCATCGCGTTAGAATTTGCATAGACGAGAAGGACATTTTTGGACTCTTCGCGAGCAGCGTGAAGCACTTCGATTTCTCGAACTTTGCGCGCAGTATACCCCACGACATCGGCAGTGCTTGCTGCAGCCTTCCCATCTCGATTGGTCTCTGCCCGTCGGGCCTTTGCATCGTCGGTAGAGAAGCTTATTCGCCACCATTGCCACTGATCGCCTGCGCTTGGCTGTAGATCTGTCGCTTGCTCAGAGTTGTGGGATGTGACGGGTCTGAGGACATAAGTTATATGTGGCTCAGTACACACGCCGCGCAACGTGTACCGATGTTGTGGTGGTTCTGTAGGTGATTCCGAAGGTTCAGTGAGGAACTTGGAGTAGTTCCGAAGCGCTTCGACAGCTTTCTGTTTCCTGTTCTCCAATTCTGCAATGTACATTGTCAGCTTAAGCATTGAAACCAAAACTTGTAAACTTACCTTTCAGCTTGTCTTCAATTTTGCTTGAGAGATCTCTCAACTCTCCGGCCAATCTTTGCGCCTCGGCGTTTGCTGCTTCCGTTGTCAAAGTCAAGTCACCTACTCCATTGGCAAGACTTTTGGGCAAAGTGAAAGATGCAGCAACGGCGGCTTTCTCGAGTAGCTCCCTAGATCCAAGCCCTCTATGAAAGACCGATTTCGAGACGGAGAAGCGATTCATCAACGCTTCTAACTTGTTAATCTCTTCGTAGACTTGAAGCCGTCGCGCACGAAAATCACGCGCTAGGTCCTTGCAACTGGCAAGGTACCGATCCGGGTAGAAGACCGCCGGTATCTTCACATCCACAGATTTCGCTGAGTCGGAGCTGTCCAATTTGATCATCAAAACTTCAGCCACATGTTCCAGCCATACATCATCTAGCTCTTCCCCTGGTCTGTCGGACCAGATGGTCCGATCTAGCACATCGTAGAGAGTTTGACCGTGATCGGGCTCCACGAATGGGTCAAGGATAAAGAACTCTTTTTGGATTGGCGTGTCATACACCGAAAGGGGACGCTTGAATGCGTTTGACGAGAACACTGTTGCCAACTGGTTTCCCGGATCCGCTCTGACGGCGGCTTCCTGCCATTTCTCCAAGAATTGACTGATGCCGCTTTCGGAGTCATAAGATACCATGCTTTTCAGGCTTGAAAGAGCATCGACGCCACCGAATGCGCGGTTTGTCGCATCTAGAAAAGCAACAAGTCTTTGAGTTTCGTAAAGGATGTCGTCCCAAGCCGTGTCACCGTCTTGCGCATCTTGCATTGTGACTATCTTAGGTAAATTGATCGGCTGACCGTTCCACCACTGCGGATCATGACCGTACTTCGGGAGGACCTTATTTCGTAGAAGAAGAGCCTCTCGTGCCAAAGGGATTGAATGCAAAATAGTCAACAACCCACCCAGGTACAGATTATCCTGGGATGGACGAAGGAACGCCGGTTCGTCTGCTACTCTCCTGCGGTCCGCTGGGTCCGGGCTGATGGTTATCTCTTGCGCACTCGAATTGAAAAGAGTCATTGCCCATGCGCCTTCATCGTAGTGATCCCGCGTGGCTTTGCCGAAATTCGATTGATTGGAGCTGGTGATCCCCATCTCCTGATGCCCCAGGTTCTGGTTCAATGACATTGCCACTGCTTCCTGCAGTTCACGCTCCTCCTGTTCGGCAAGTGTCATACCTGTTGCCTCCGCTACACCTGAGAATCCACCGTGTCAGCGAAGCGGCGCAGCCATCCTTAATGAAGCACTATACCTGCAGCGCTGTGAGCAGGATCCGTTTTATGCCCTTGATACTGCGTGGCCCGTGCTTGCTCATTCAAATTCGACATCGACGGGGGCCGCGAAGGAGGAACGCCAGAGGATGTTCCGACAGCAGGGTCTGACTGTTCAATCTGGAAGGCTGCGAGGCAGGACTGTTAACAGAGCCGCTATGCTAGTATCCGGTGGGCGTTGGTATGGACATACAGGGTACTCTCTCGTCATGTTGAAAACTACCTGCCTAGAGCGTAGCAAGTCCGGGGTCAGTCTCAATCTCATAAAGCTCAATCATCTCCAAGAGTTACCTCTAATTGGGGCGGTGTTGGGTCTTCGAAGTATGCGTTGATAGCTTTATTCGAGTTAAGGTCGTTGGCCTGCAGAGTGTGTCTGATGTCAGCGTGCAAAGTATAGAACGGTGGCCTATGATATCTGCTCACCTTCAGAAATCGTATTGCATGCTCCCGCGATGTGCTTGTGAAGTTCACAAAGTTCGTGATAGCTTCTTCTGACGGTTCGGAGGCCATGCCGTAGCTCGCACAGAGAAACCGCAGAGGATTGCAGACGAATAATTGGCGATTAGGGCAACAGAAATCTAGTAAAGAGCAAAGAGATCAGAAAGAACGAGGGCTCAATGAAGGAGCTAGTAAGTGGGGAGTTGTCTGTTTGGAATCTTTGGATGTCTCCAGTTAAGCTTCCCACCACATGACATCCGTCAGCCAAGCCCACTTCCATTGCCATCTTGAGGAGGCCTGGATTTACAAGGAAGAACATTCACACAGCTAACTCTCTTCCGCGTCAAGAAACAATGAAAAATCCAGTATAATTAGAAACGATCAAAGAATCGTTCAATTTCTGGAAAATCCATAAAGAAAACTTAAACTGGACCGCGATGATAAGAATAGGAACAAAGGAGGTTCTTTTTCACAGTCCTTATGGACGTGAAAGGTACTCAAAGAACCATGTGAACGAAAGATGTTTCAGATGTCACAATTCCAAGGATCATATTCAATGCTTTGTTTTGCTTGCAATGTTATACGCCATAGGAATTGACATTTAATCCCTTGTGCTTTCTTTCTCAACGCTCGCTCAACATCTTCGTTGTTGATACTGAAACCGACAACTGGCAGTCGACAACATCAAATTCCGTCCTCTTTTCCCATTACTTCTTCAGCTCCAATTCCCAAGCTTCAGGTAAGCAACAAGACACAATGGCGGAGAAGAGACGCGCGCCCGACGACTATGTGGAGGATCTGACAAAACGACCTGAGCCAAAGACGTTCAAGAAAGTACGATTCCAGCTTCCTCGGAATGAAGAAGGCCTTCCTGAGAAAGACGTTCCAGCTACAAATACAGATGACGAGCTGATGGCAAGAAGGCGTGTAATGCGCGTGAAGGAGCTGGCTCACGATATTCTGGCTGCGATGTACTACGACATCCATCGACTCTGCTGGCTCCGCAATGACCTCATGCACAACCGTATCGAACGCTATCCGGACCTACATTTCTACAAAACTCAGCATCAAGAAGCAACCTGGCTATTAGACAGAGCTATTCGCCAGGAAATGCTTGCAAAGGTAGGCCAGACAAGCGGTCACGATTGGACTTACGTATCGAAGCAGGAAGCACGCCGTGTTGGTCAATTCATTCGACGATTGAATTGGAGGATATTGGCCATTTGTGCACTCTCAGAAGCCTTCCGTTTGGCATTTTATAACGAAGATCAAAAGGTCTGGGCAGTTTTGATGCTCAAGATCAAGGAAAACTGGGCCAGCATTGACGTCTTTGCGCAGTCGCGAGGCTTGGACTGGCAAGGCCAGCTATTGAAACATGCGGACAAACAGATACTGGGGCTTCAGCACGCACTGATCCCGAGGTCCGATGTGGCTCATGACCACTTTCATCATATGGTCCTTGCAAATGGCTCTTTTCGAAGGCCTGTGTACGAAGGGCAGAGCCAGATCAACATCAGCCACGGGAATATATTCAATCCCAGCTACTTCAAAGACAAGAAAGACCCCACGATTCGCGTTCACGACCGCGACGGACCTTGCGATCTCTGTTATGCAGAGCGCGAATGCAATTGCAGAATACCTCGCCCGATTCTTGCAATGTGTTTGGTTGAACTTGTTGACTATCCTCATAAAGGAATTGGAGTAAGGGCTCTGGCCAGATTCAAGAAGGGAGACATCCTCGACGAGTATGTCGGGGAGCTTCGGCCTGTAGACTACAAGGATGATCGTGTATACGCTCTGCTGCACGAATCCAAGATGACTGAAGGTCATCCACTCGCTTTGATATCGGCGAAACGGCATGGGAATTGGACTCGGTACCTCAATCACTCTTGCAAGCCGTCGACGACGTTTCTCAAGATGACTGTCGGCAAGAGAACCATTATGGCCGTCCAGGCAGTCAGGGATATTGACATTTTCGAGGAGATTACTATTGATTATGGCACGGGCTACTGGAAGAATAGGAAGTGTCTTTGTGGGGAACCTGGTTGTTGCTCGCAGGCTGCCACCGAAGAGGAGACTGAGGCTTGAATTCTCATCAACTTTTCTCGTTAGTGCATTGATTTTGCACTTTACAGCACTTGTCATGTTTGGGTGATTGCGATTAATATTCAAGTATTCATAAGAGGTTTTGTATCTAATGATCAGGTTGTGGGTTTGGTATTTATTTGCCTTTGATTTACTGCTTCGGCTAGCCTCGGACTCCACTGAGATCTCAATGCCTTCAGATAGTGTAAGCCTAGTGACCCTAGCTTACTCCACTAGGACGAAGCCATTATGCTACCCCATGGTAAACTAGTCCGCTCGAGACGAAGTATCTAGTTCATCACTAGTTGTCAACAAGGGGTCGATGCTTTCCTCGGGAATAGTGACCTCTCATCATCAACCCCGCATTTGCTGCAGCCGGCACGTGCGGGGGAAGCATTAAGGGAGCGTCACCCACTATGAAACCAAGCAGCCAGGAACACTCTCTCCAGTCTCAATCCTTGCATGTTTCCAAATGAATTGGTATTGCTCGTTAGTATCGTTTTGAATTCTTGAGAAGTCTTTCAATTGAAGTGGACAGATTATTGAAGCATTGTATTTTGCTAGCTCTCAGAACAGACCCGAACGAAGGGGTTGTATACAGGATAGCTGAGGGCGCGATTCACAGTTGACTCGGATTCTATACTCGTCTCGGCTCGCAAGAGTTATGAGCTATCGATAGCATGCGCATGTTTACCGTGCGTCGCGGGGGGATTGTCCCTCGTCAGAACTGGGGTATTGGCTTCTCCTTGAGGGCTCTCCAAAAAGTGCCTTCAGCACGACGAGGGTTGCTCACTCAGAGCTATGCTTGTGGACCAAGAGAGGTGAGTACGCGTTATGGTAATAATAGGACTATCTGAAGCAGGCTGACATTACCTCGATATTAAGCCACCTTTGATTGACTCTACTGTTGGAGACCACTTCGCCAGTATTGTCAGCCAATATGGCGATAGGGAAGCGTACGTGAACTTGATCTTGCGCGTCGATCATGCTAGACTTGAGCAACATGGCTGACTCTCCTGCATTTAAAGCGTCTTATCAAAGCATCAGAATCACAGATTGACCTACGCCTCACTCGATGCCAAAAGTAATGCCCTTGCGCGGGGACTGGAATCTGTGGGTGTGCGGAAAGGGGACCGTGTCGGCGTCATGCTTGGAAATTCCTCGGAGTATGCCATTGTATGTCTTCTGTCTTCTAGGCCTTCCCATGAACTGCGTTTGTTGCTGGAGATTAATCACACCTGAGTCTTGCAGGCAACCTATGCATTGTTCAAACTCGGAGCCATCCTGGTATGTTTAACATGAACGGCCGATTCCGATAAACAGTTGTCCGCTGAACCACGCCTTCAGGTACCGCTTAATCCTTCGTTTAATGCAACTCAAGTCATCTCGGCGTTGAGCCACCTTGGAGCCTCCCATTTGATCATCAGTGCCGAGTCCAATTTACCGCGGAAAGACCCCCGTAGCAATGTTCCACTACTCAAGCACCTTGTTCAGGATCTCCACACAGAAAAATTAGAGTCCGCAGTGGTGCCTTCACTGAAGAATGTCATTTTTGTTGACAACTCTTCCGGCAGAGTCAAATGGTCGGACTACAAGAGCCTGACGCCTATCACATCGGTCATATCCGACAACGTCGCTGATGCGAATCCACTGCCTCCTCAGGATCTCTCGCCTGACGATGTAGTGAACATCCAATTCACGTCAGGCACCACCGCAATGCCCAAAGCGGCATGCCTGAGCCACCGCTCAATCTTGAACAATGGTTCCCAGATTGGCGATCGAATGCGGTTGACCGCAAAGGACATCGTATGCTGTCCTCCACCTTTGTTCCACTGCTTCGGATGCATTCTGGGCTACATGGCAACCGCTACTCATGGCTCCGCCATTGTATTCCCCACGGAATCATTCAACGCCCGTGCCACTCTGAAAGCCGTACAGGAGGAAAAATGTACAGCACTTTACGGCGTGCCTACAATGTTCCTCGAAGAGCTTGGCCTGCTTCAGGACGGCGAAGTAGAACACAAAGGGTTTGAGTTTCTCCGGACAGGCATCGCCGCTGGTAGCAGTATTCCAGAAGCGCTCATGAAGAAGCTGCATAAGGTCCTCAATCTCACAGAATTGACCATCTGCTACGGCATGACAGAAACTAGCCCCGTCTCGGCCATGACAGCAACCGATGACCCACTAGACAAACGGATCAGTACCGTTGGTAGACTGATGCCTCACGTTGAAGCAAAGGTCGTGGACCCGGCGGATCGAAGCAAGATACTCCCCATCAACACCCGGGGCGAGCTGGCTGTGTCGGGGTACTTACTAATGAAGGAGTACTGGGGTGATCCACACAGGACCGCCGAAGTGATGATCGCAGACCAAGAAGGGAAGATCTGGATGCATGTAAGCCACCCCTCTCCTACTGCGTCCCTAGTCTCTAGGCACCATAAGGTAGCAGGACGCCTGACCGAGGACCATAGACCGGCGACGAAGCCTCCATGTCACCAGATGGCTACATCACGATCACAGGCCGTATCAAAGATCTCATCATCAGAGGAGGTGAGAACATCCACCCTCTAGAGATCGAGAACTGTCTCCTTACCTGTCCCGGCGTGGCCGATGTGTCCGTCGTTGGTGTTTCAGACGAGAGATATGGCGAGGTGGTGGCTGCTTTCATCATTTGCAAGGAGCAGGATCGCGGGACAATGACTGAGGACAAGATCAGAGAGTGGGTTCGCGAGCGACTGAGTAACCACCTCGGTAAGCATCCTAGTGGCAAGCCATCCTATAATTCCTCGATATACTAACCAGAATCATCCTGCTAATAGTTCCGAAATATGTTTTCTTCCTTTCTCATTCCGATTCTTTCCCCAAGACTGCGAGCGGCAAGGTTCAGAAGTTCAAGCTGAAGGAGACTGCCATCAAGATTCTGAAAGAGCAGAGCAATGCTTATTAGGCGATGGAGAGGGGCTGAGGTTTTCCTAGAACCTTTTGAGTGATAACGATTGTTATCCACTGGAGGACTTACAGGAGCATATCTTTCGTACTGAACATCTTCTTTGCCGTTTCTCACTCATCTTTACCATCATAACGGCTGTCCTGAGCTGAATAGAACTCGAATAATCTGGATGTCATTACAGAAATATGGACATAATGCTTGAAATCCAACCATAGCAATTTCTCTGTACCGAGACAAAGCAAGTAGCCATTCCCAAAAATATTGCAGCAATTATATGCAGGCGAAGCAAAGTCAATCCCAAGATATTCAAATCAATTACATGTACAGACACGAGTGGCTGAACAGTCCGCAGAAAGATGCTTTGAATAACGCACGCAAGCATCGCGCTAGATATAGCGCTGGAAGAAACCTTTCTTTGCCGGGGGCAAATGATTGTGAACCTTTCGATAAACTATGCCATCAAATTCCTCAAAGCAATTAGACGGCTTGCCTGGTTCCGGGCAACAACATTCAATCCTCTTGACCCAGCGATCATTCATCACATCGCAAATGGTAGCCCGTCTCTCTGGGACAGGATGGAGCATCCATAGGATAAGACGCAGAAGAGGTTTTGTGCGAAGATTCGAGAAGAATTTCCCGATTTTAGGATATACATCCCCTGTGATAATTCCATCCGGCTCGCTTCTCAAGAACTCTTCCCACCATTTGAGATAGCGAGAATACCCGGCGTCCTTTTCTTCTGCGGCTCCCCATGGCGTACCGCAGTGAATCATGGCAAGGCAAACGATAGCACAAGACCATATGTCGACCAAGCGCGGGTCGTAGCTCCCTGGGGATCGAACGACCGTTAGGAGGCCATAAACACAAAGTAGCATAGGGATTGCAGGGGTACTTACGGTCTTCTGCCAGAACTTCTGGTGCAATATATGGCAGGCTGCCACATACACCAGGGCCACAATTGAGAATCTTACCAAACACTTCCGCGCATCCCTCGTCATTTGACCGCAAATCTCGGTGCAGCTCACTGAAGACTTTCGCGCATCCGAAGTCGGTGATCTTTAAGTGACTGTCTCCCGTCAAGAGCAAGTTTTCCAGTTTGATATCGCGGTGCGCAATTCCAATGCTATGTAAATATGCGACGCCTTGGAAAAGTTGTTTGAACAGACACAGTTGACTTTCAAACGACAGATATCGTTGTTGCACGATTGTAAACAAGTCCCCTTGACTGCAGTATTCCATAACATGAGACCAACGGCCTGCGTGGGAGCAAAGACGAACAGTCTCAACGATATTAGGATGATGCAAGTTCCTGGCGATGCTGAACTCGACTATGACCTTTCTGTCGTAAGCTTGCAGGCTCTCCTTGCGACTTCTGCGGAATTCCTTCACCGCATAATAGTGCTGCTTTCCGGTCCCTTTCCCGTGCATTAATTTGACAGTAGCCGTGACACCTTTACCAATGACCTTGCCCCGCAAGCCAGGAATGATGCTGGTGTAGACAAATTCGTCACCGAGTTTGCAGCTGTCAACTGTGAAAGCCTCGGGAAGAGTTGCATCCGCAAGCGGAGACTTGCCTTTCCCGTCCACTGGAATCGAAAAGTCTGGTATCTCGAAGTGGTCAGGGATTGTGCCCCATGTGCGAGATTTAGCGAGAACCAGAGAAGGGTCTGAGCGAGAAGCAAGGCGACGACCTGTCTCCCTAACTACGCCCGAAGATGATGACTCGCACGGTTCGTTGATGCCTATTTTGAAGATGAGATAGATATTTGCAAGACAAATTCTCGGGACCGAGATTTTACATACTGTTGGTATCGTCCTTAGTGGAGATGTTGAGAGCAGACTGCATAGCCGACTTGTGTACGTCATCAACTTTAGTGTCTAAACGACGAAATAGACCTCTGAGTGAGATAGAGGCGAGGTTGAGTGGCGCTTGCTTGGGAGCCAGATTGCTAAATGACGAAGATGATGAATGGGGCTGGGGACAGCTGAAAACCGACTGAGGTGATGTTGAGGATGTGGTCTCCGTCTTCGCAGTCCTCAATGTATCGATGGCCAAGGAGCTTCTTTCCTTCCCCGAGGGTTCGGCTTCATTCGAGTGGCATGGCACGTCGTCAGACTTCTTATGAGCCCGAACACTGCAATTCAAGCTGTCTGTTTCGGTGCTACGTCCAGAGCGTCCAGTATGGATACCCCTTGCTATGGTCTGTAGACTTGACTCTTCAGAACGAAAGGGGTAATAGTAGCCTGGCTCATGCCCTTGCATCACTTCTCTGCCAGAAGGTGAGAAACCCCCAGACTGAGTCATGTTTTGTACTGTAGTTGCTCAGGAAAAGGAACAAGGAGTAGCAGGTTGATAAGGGTATGAGTTGAATAAATGTATTAAAGTATAATGTAGCGAGGTCTTGTTCTTTGGATGAGGAAAGCGCGAAGGTAACTGCGAGAGAGAAAGATGTGAGGAAGGAGAGGAAAAGAGTAAGATGGATGAGATAAGGGAGGGCAAAAGTCGTGCCGCCGACTTGAGGACGTTATCTCATCATTGCACCGACACTTGGGGAGTCATATTGCTTGCCTAAGGCACGAAATCACGACATTATGCTCGCATTTCCTCATCAAAGATGCATGACTGACTATTCGGCATATATTGACAGAAGGTGTGAACATAGCACAATATCGATCGCTTTCTAAGAAGTGCATAAGTCGGGTATCTTGTTACCTGACTCGATGAAGCATGGAGTAAGTAAGTTGAAGTCAGCGAAGAGTAAGGCGCCGTGTATGGTCTTTGTCGAGACGACGACTTCTTGACCAATGATCAAAGCACGATCAAAGTCCAGTGAATTGAGGTGTTCGTGCTAAGCAAGCAATCAACGATCCGCTGGTCTTACCGAGTCCTATGGGTGGGTAAGAAAGTTTCAACGATCTTCCAACTGGTCAACTCCAGATATCCACCACCCACAGCAAGCCCTTAGATGCGATTATAGCATTCCGTGCGAATAGAATACCCACACCATGCATACAGAGGCCGCTTTCCTGGCTGTCACCGCAGTCAGAAGCCCCAGCGGCACCGATACAAGAAACTGCAAGCTGCTGAAAGTGCATTCCATTGCTTCCGGCTTGAATGGCTGGGTGCCAGACTTGCGCGTACCTGCGAGCGGCACACGGATGTGGGAGTCACTAAGACTGGCGATTTCCGCTCCCGTATTGATCGAAACCCTGCCTGAATGCTCGAACTTCATTGTCAGAGACGGCAACTCAGGGTCATTAACCGTTCAAAAATCCTGTATGCCCGTCTCTCCCTGCAAGTGGGACTTGATATTGCCATCGCCAGGCCCATCAACCATCCATTCAGGCTCTTCGTCGTCAAAGTAACGCTCCTGCTCCTCACTCCAGTCATCATATTCATCATTCTCGTCAACTTGCGTATAGTCAAAGTCGCAGTCCTCCCCTTTCAGAAAACGCATCGTCATTTCCCAGCGCCAGAGCTTTTCAGCTTCCTCTTTACTTGTGGGTATCTCGTCTGCGTCCTCCGCAATGATCTCCCCGCTTGGACCACGACTATAGCTGAACATCGCACTGGGGTTTGGATTGTGGAGAGCATCAAGCTTGGCCTCCGAGCGTTGCAAGTCCGCTTGGAGAATACCAGAGAACCCTTTCGCTCTCCCTTCGGCTTCTCTTTCTGCAGGTGTTTGGAACCGGCGTATTAGTCGATCGTATAGCAACGGGTCTACAGGAGCTGAATATTAGCATATGAGGCCTCTTATCCAGAGAAGCCATCAGTCTCTTAAGCAAAACGAGGATAGAGCAAGCGGACCGGCGAGCTCGAGATCAGCGGAGAAGTACTCCGGATGCATGTCCAGATAGCGCTTGCGACGGTTTTTCACTCTCATGGCAGGGGACGGTTGCACTGAGCTGGACCTGATGTTCCGCTGTGCGCCGTCTGACTCCATCTCGAATCCAGTACCCTTGGGGAAGTGAGGCATGTCTGCACACAAATCAACGATTGGTGACTAACATATGTGAGAGAGAGAATCAAGATGACGAAGTGGTGTTGAAAGAGCCAAAAGAGCCACCAGCAGCTGTTTTGAGACTAACCAGTTCGAGTAATTCCCAAGAAGCACTGCGGAACGCTGCGGGCGGGCAAATTCCCTTCGTCTCCGCCGCCATCAGCCCAGCAGCGAATAACAGCCCACAGACGGCCAGACGATGGGGATTCGGCATTCTATCTGAAAAGAGGTCATGTAAGAGCTATCTACTCCTTTTTGTTTCATATTTGCCATTCTGGTCCTTACAGTGGACCTCTTCTTTTCCTTTTGGGCTGCCATCTCCTATCGGCGGTGTCTTGTTCGCATCTTTGACTGTTCGAGGTCGAGCGCGATGCTATCATATTGAAATAGCCAGGCCCTTACGTTGAAGCCTTGCAGACTAGCCGCAGCTGATTACGTCGACAGTTGAATACAGAGCCGAAACAGACACGTTGAAAGCTTGACATCATGTCTTCTCCCGGAGGAATGCTCCAGCAAGTCAAGCTTGAAAAGCTTCTGCCAGGTGTAGCATTGCTGTTCCTCACTGCTTTCTATTCCCCTGGCTTTCTCTTGACACTTTCTCCGGTTTTTGGCTCTGCGCCTTCCCATATCTTTCACGGGTATGGAGTAGCTGTCAGTGCCGCTGCTGGCTGGTTCTTGAAGGACGTGATCCATCGGCTGTCTGGTCGCAGAGCAGTATATTTGGTCCCCGTTCTCGCATTCTGGGTGCCGACCATCCAGTACTTTATGTTTCACCAGAGCTCATCTTTCGGGAATCCAACTGGCCCGCTAATTATTGATATATTTACCTTTTACCCTCTGGTGCTGCTTTCTGTGGCTTGCGCCGGGAAACTATTGCAGGCGGGCCTGAACATGAGCCAGCATGGAGACCTTATGACAGAGCATATTCCCCTACTCGGATCCTATATTATCTACTCGGCAGGAGAATATTTCTCAAAAGTGTTTATCTCCAAGTTCATTGGCTTGACCTTCTTTCTGAGCCGTGGCGGCCTTCAATTACTGATTGCGAGCTTGTATTCGGCTACCATCCCATCTAAATGGCTTGTATTAGCGGTTCCATCTATTCTCTTCTCTCTCACGTCTAATGTGCACATGCCCTTCGGCCGCACAACTGCCGCTTTGAACTCTGCTATTCAAGTGGAAGGTTATGAACTTCTCGCTAGACAGGATTCTTCCACCGGGTACATATCTGTTTTGGAGAACTTGGAAGATGGCTTCCGAGTGATGCGGTGTGATCATAGTCTTCTTGGTGGTCAATGGACAAGGATGCCGCGCAATTACCATCCCGAGGTCAAGGACCCCATCTATGCTGTGTTTGCTATGCTCGAAGCCATCCGTTTGATCAAAACCGACCACGGCGAGGCGCGCGTGGACGCCAACAGCAAGGCTCTCGTCATGTAAGGAACCATATCTCGACGCCCATTTGTGGAGGCAAGGCAGTCAGCTAACTGGACTTTCTTAGTGGACTCGGGGTAGGCACCACCCCGCTGCGTTGATTACGCACGGCATCGAGACCACGATCGTGGAGATTGATCCGGTTGTGCATAAATTCGCCACGGAATACTTCCACCTACCTTCCAATCACATTGCGGCTATTGAAGACGCTACAGTGTTTGTGAAGCGTGCCCAGGAGTCCCCAAACCCTGCTCAATATGACTACATTGTCCACGATGTCTTCACCGGCGGGGCGGAGCCAGTCGAGCTCTTCACAATCGAATTCATCAAGGGTCTATATGACCTATTGAAAGACGATGGTGTTATTGCCATTGTAAGAAAACCCCCTCCATTACCAACTCCGTCACCTCATGACTGACGATATCTACAGAACTACGCCGGCGATATCTCACTTTACCCAGCCGCACTCACGGTGCGCACAATCAAGGCAGTCTTCCCGTCGTGCCGAATCTTCCGCGAAGACGCAGCCGCGGATGCCAAATTCGATTTCACCAACATGGTGATCTTTTGCAAGAAGAGCAACACACCCCTTCGCTTCAGGGGTCCAGTCAAAGCCGATTTTCTGGGAAGCAAGTCTCGTCAACACTACCTTGTGCCCAAGCACGAGGTGGACCCAGCCCAATTCGATAAGGTTGAGAAGGGCGGAAGACGTGTTCTGGTTGCAAAGGAAACGGGCCGTCTTCATAAGTACCAGGATCGTGGTGCAATTGCTCATTGGGAGATCATGAGGACAGTCATGCCGGATGCGGTCTGGGAGAATTGGTAAAAAGATTTACATAACCGTATGTACCATTACTATCGGTCTTTTGAAAAGTCAGTTGCTTGCACAGCTTTGTTGTGAAGAAAAGATTGTCTGTCCTCTTTCAAAAAGCTCCGGCTCAGCCTTATGTTCATGAAAATATGTGACGTATCGTAAGCTTGCAAAAAAAAGAAAGAGGCGGAAAGACATCGCCAATTTCTTTGCAGCTAGGCGTCACGAAACGTGTACCTCGTAGATATTCCTGAGACAACCCAACAGTATTACTATTGGTGGTCATATTATGATATCATTCGGTTGGATAGAATATAGCTCCGCAGATAGACAAAGGGAATATGTGCTAGTCAGATATGTCGCCCAACTGTAAGACTCCTAATCCACCGTAACAGGCTATTCTGGTATCGAAAACAAAGAGCGTCGCCAAGCCGATATCCTCGATCCTTGGAGTATGTACTGAACGGGAACGATAAAAGTACAATTAAAAAGGCCGCTCAACTCAGCTCGCCGGTATTCAAGCCGACGGACTTCCGCGCGGACTCGTTCCAGGTTTTTTGACCAAGCCTGCAAAGAAATTCGCCAGCGCTTGATTGTGTGCCTTTTCATCCCCCGGTGACGAAACGACCTCTTTTCTCTGGACTCGGCTAGCCTCTCTCTCCTGGGAATGATTAGCAAAAAGTACGAAGCACATCTTCGTTCAAGTCGATTCGGTAGCTTACTTTGAGTTTCCGCAGCATGTCGTCAGCGTCGACCTGGATACCTCCCATGTTGAATTGCACCGGCCCAATGTGCTCGTTGACCCGACCGTTGTCTTCCAAAGGCGACATTTCAAGTTGAGGCACTTGTTTCGTGGCACGATCCTTCTCATCTTCCTGCTTCAGCTGCTCTAGGACATCTAATTGTTTGGCAAGGAAGCTCTGCATGTCCATCGTCTCCACTTCAATCTTACTCGCGCTATTTTGGCTTCCGGGATGCGCCATCGCGGTATTGCGCTTCGGATCTGTGATCGTTTGTTCGAATACTGTCACAGCGCTGGTCCCGTCTTCGGCTCCCATTGCGCTGTCATCCTGAGGTCGATCGACGGTTCCAGTGAGTGGCTCGGGAAGGTCCTGGATCTCAATGGACCAAGCAGTTGATACACCTTCCATATCAAAGCCCTCTCTGATGATTCGAATCTTGCCCCATGAATCCCAATTCGGAGGCACCAAAATCTTGTCCCGATCAATCACATTGTGCTTGAGCGATTGTCGCTTCAGTAATGAATGTATTCCAAGTGACGAATGTATCAAGCTCTGCAGGGAGTTAGCGAGGAACGGGGTGGTATATATCAACGATGCGCCATCTGCTGGCAGTTAGCACAATTTCTCGAGAGAATTAAGGCGAATGGACACACGCACGTTTCAGAAGAATGGTCCTCATAAACTGAAGGATGAAGTCAAACTCTTCTTCACGCCATCCGTGGTCCTTCTCCAGTTTCTCGATCTTATCCGCCTGTTGAAGTAGCAATCAGCCCGGTCTGCTCCGTTCACCCTGGTATAGTACCACATACCCTTGACAAACCACGCACATGGGGATCCCAAGCCCCTCATCCCATTCACCTGGACCGAGAGGTATCGCCACTGGTCCTCCAGAGCTGGCCAACCCTTGCGCTCCGGAATCCATGCCCCTTTTTCGGTCCTTCCATTCGGTCATGATCTCCTCCATTACGATCTTTGTCTCATCGTCAAGGGAGATGAGGACATGTCGGAGCAAACGAACCCATTCCCGCAGTCTTCGAACCCATGTCCAGGGGTCTGACCAGTCGAGCAGGATTACGACTAGAGTTTCTGGGACTGATTGAGGAGTTAAGAGTGGCTTGAGGAGCGGTGCAAAGGACAAGGACGGTTCGGAAAGTAGATATGCAGAGACCCGAGCCAAGGTATCTGAGGCGAGAACGACTGGTTAGCCATCATCATCACAAAAGCCCGATCGATGGTAGCGGTGTGGGGTAAAGAGTCGAGAAAGGCCGAATTACCTTCCTGGTCGGCATCCAGGACGTCATGATACGTGTATCCTAATGCGAATTGATTGGCGACTGGCGGTACCCTTCCCCTGGGCTTCTCGCTGATCAAAGTAGGATCCGAAGTGTCCGCGGATAATGTCTCTATAAACTCCCTCTGTGATTCGGGTGTTCCTCCTGAAGTGAATTTGATAGATCAGCAAGCCGGTTCATAAACTTCAGTTACAAGCAAAAGACGATGGAGAACAAATTAGAAAACTGCGCACCTAATATCAAAAGATTCTTCTCAGGCAAGCGCTTTCCGTTTGCGACACTGTCCAGCATGGACGACCAGATGTTTTTCTTGGGCCATCTTTACTTGACGGTCGACTATTGTTTCCAGACATTATGTCCAAGATCGACCCTGCTCAACCTGTGCTGACCATTCCAACAAGTTGAGGGTCTTTATCAGAGCTCCGACCTGCTTAACGCGTCGATCTGAGGTATTGCGCACAAGGAAGGGAAAAAGAGGCGGACAGTGTCAGGGGACGTTCAAGATTGATGCTGTAGCTGGTATTTCTGCCCGCAAATCGACGGATGAATCGAATTCGAGAGTAAGCGATATAGTCAACAGGTTAAGTCCAGAAATGACCAGTCCTAATAGTAAATAGATGTTCTCCTTTAGAGCAAATGAAAGTCAAACTGCTTAGATGTAAACAATGTTTCATAATATTATGAGTTTCCCGCTCCGTCTTTGCGGGTGGGACCTTGCGCGGAGCCCACCCGTGATACCATGGCCTAGGAGCTTTTTGCGACTATCAAGCTACCTCGTTATCTTCACGTTTGCCAAAGACTAGATCCAACAACCTCTCCACTACGAAGGCCGACTATGAATGCTATTCGTCAAACTCAAGCGCTCAACAAGCGCGAACTTGAAAATGCAGTGTACGTTCTTTATATTCTGAATCTTACAGCTTCACCTTACTGACGTGATTGAAATTTCCTAGCCCACCTGAAGCTTCCTGGCACGCAGATTATCGGGATACGGCATACATTTACATCGGGGCCTGCCATTCGATCTCTCAGAAGGCGACATTATAACAATCTTTTCACAGTACGGAGAGCCAGTACATGTGGATCTGATACGGGACAAAGAAACCGGGAAGAGTCGAGGTTTCGCGTTCCTAAAATATGAGGACCAGCGCAGTACAGATTTGGCTGTAGATAATTTGACCGGGGCGACAGTCTTAGGCAGGGTGCTTCGAGTGGACCATGCGAGATACAAGAAACGTGACAACGAAGAAGACGAGAATAACGTCGCGAAACTGATGGGCGAGACTACTGATCGGAACGCAAGGGGTGAGGATACTGATGACGAAAGAAGACGCAAGACGCGAAGGTCCAGTGAATCCAGAGAGGATGAGGCGCGGAGTCGACCCCTGCTCAAGGAAGAGAGAGAACTTCAGGAGTTGATGATGAACCATGACGACGAGGACCCTATGAAAGAATATCTCATCGAAGAGAAGAAGGAAGAAGTCGCGCGAGCTCTTGCACGGTTGAACAAGGAGAAGAAGCATTCTCACCGACGAGATACAAGTCGGGAACGATCGAGCCGCCATCACCGCCATCGTCATCACCGTCACCGAGATGAGGATCGATCTCGATCTCGGGAACGCAGTCATCGCCGTGACCGGTCATTATCCAGAGAGGAGCGTTCCCACAGAGACCGATCATTATCGCGGAGAGAAAAATCTCACAGGGAGAGATCGCCTGTGCGCTCCCGATCCCCAGTACCACGAAGGGATCGTGAAAGAGACGATCGTCGACGTTGATAGTGATCAAATGATCAATGGCTGCTTCGCCTGTCCATTCTCTAGTGAATTAAAGAGGAACATGCGAAGCAGGCGTCAACTTGCAGTAGAACGACCTTCAAACCGCCTCCTCGGACTTCCGGATTGGGGTTACTCAGCGCACAAAACGTCCTGCGCATCTTCATCGATGCAAGAACGGAATCGGCGTGGTCAACTCTATCAATACTTCCCATATTGTTCGAATCAAATCGCTGGAACAGGAACAGATTTTCGAGGAACGATAGTTTCAACTATTACATTACCAGGTGCATATCTTCTATATTGTGCATCAATTTCAACCCCGTGATATGAATGCAGGGAGAAAGGAGCGGCCTCAACCGGCCCCGAGATATCGTTTCCAACCCTCTCTCACGCAATGCCGCTTCCCATCATCCCCTTCGCGAATCACAAATTTCTCCCATCGCCCATCTCGGCCAGAGCCTACCACAAGTATGGTCCGATCGTCGGGCCAGCCTAGGACGCCTTTTGACGGGCGTGCAAACGATGTTCCTAAAGGGGGAACGTAGAGTGACCCTGGCGGCGATTCTTCGCCAATCTCGAAATGGGCACTCGCGAAAGAATATACATCAGAAAACACTCGCGGGAGCAAGGGAATTTTGCCTAAGATTCCCCATTTCTGGTTTGTCCCTTCCTCCGACGGCGAGGAAGGTGACTGGCTTCGACGGGAGTGATTTCGTGGATGGGGGATATCGAACAGATGGAGTGTGGACTTATCCGACGTTACAGCTAATATATTGTTCGAAGGTGAAATCGCAAGTGAGAATATCACCGCATGGTCAACTCCTCGTCGCAGTTCAGCCATCTTTGTGCAGTTGCTCGTAGAAAACACTCGTATCAATGTACCCTGGACAGTAACAGGTCAACCATGTATAGACTTCGTCACAGAAGGGGGCGATTATAGTACCGCTTCACTCGCTGTTGCCAGCACTTCTCCGTCGGGACTTAACGCCATGGCACGCAGCGGCGTACTATGAGCAGGTATGATGCTAACATTTCCCGTTTCCAGCTCGACGATCTGCACCTGCCCTGGAGATCTTCCTGGAAAAGCGAGTAACTTCTGCCCTAGGCAAGCCAGACCAATCGGGTTGTCGGTCGTTTCGAAGACGGAGAGCTTCTGTGGAGGATTGGAAAACGCGAAAATGTGTATACTATTCAATAAAGCGACAACGATTCGCGATTTCGACAAACGGACACCAAGGACGGACGTACGGAACTCGAGTGTTATGACTGCTTTTTGTTTCGCATCGTCCCAGATCACCAACTGCAAAGAGTCTCACGAGTCAGCTTCACCAAAATATGCAAGCCGTCCAAGATTGAAAGCTGCGCACCTTGTTCTGAGGAAATTTGGGATTTCGTCCCCCACCAACAATAGCCAGGTAGTTTGACTGGCCGAGCATTGCCACTACGCCTATTCCAGCATTGAAATCTGCATTGTCGTGAAGAAAAGGAGAGTTAGAAGTGGCGCATCTTCAGGGGAGGATGGCACGTACCCCGTGATACTTTTAGCTCACATGGATTCGCATTGAAGACTGTGGTTGATCGATCAAAATTTAGCTGTGCTGGCTTTGCGGCGCAAATCTCTCCAACGCTATTGATCGCTGGGAGCCAACTCTTACCACAAAATCCGGTATCCAAGCCAACAGAGAAGCAGCTATTGTCACTATTAAAGCTAGCAGAAAGTGAATATGGCCCCACGGACTCATCGATAACCTGCCGAGTATCCATAGTGATAGGCGATGACAGGAGCCATGAAGGAGGACCTCTAGGTACTAGGTAATGTTTGGGAGGATGGGAATCAGTGTTGATGAACACTAATTGCTAGTGCGCGCTGAATGAGGAACAGACAAGAGCAACGCCAGGAGAACACTGTCAACTCAAGAATGCCTCAATGTTGAATGAAGCATTTTGGGGATCGGACCTTGTGATGAGGCCGCCGGGCTAAGACCTCGGAGCAATGACGAAAGGTCTCAAGCTCCCCCAAGGCAGATACCTTACTCCGTAGATAGTGCCTGAGGTATCCGCAATTGGCGGTTATCATCACATGATCAACTACTACTAATATCCAAGAATGATCTCATACAAATTTGGAGCATGTACTTAAGTGACTGCCAGTAAGAACAGAGGTCTTTGTGCTAGCGTTTGATATCACATACAATGTCGAGCTGGTCTCATCACTAGGTCTGATAATGGAGCTCTCGACAAGCAGCACAGGTATCTTCGCCTCTCATGCATGAGCCGTCGACATCAGCTTCTTCAATGGGTAACTCGACACAAGTGTAGCGCTAGGCTACCTCTAGAGTAAGTTGATGTTCTGCCATACGAGCCAGGAGTGGAGAAGAATGATGCTTCTCTAGGAATCTTCAAAAAACGTCCATGACCTGCTTTGACTGATTGTTCTCAGAATGGATAAAGATTGTTCATACAGTTGAGCCATATCAGCCAGCTTCTGTTGGCAGAAACCCTGGAATGGATTCAGAGCTTTGTCCTGTATATAGCTGCTTCGATTTATGATCAGTCGTAATGAGGTATCCATTATTTTCAAGCTCAGCATGGTGCCGTGCCCGTATTTGCCTTAGGCAAGAACATCAGGATTCAGAAGACAGTAAGATACCTTAGTCTTGAGCTTTTGATACAATAAATTACTAAGGTATACGCTGCATAGAGCCAGATAGACCCACCACCACACTGAGTATCGACCCCTGAATTCATGGATCTTTGAGCGCCTTCACATTAGCTAGGTAGCTAGCTCTTTTACATGATCTAGTTGAATAATAAAAGGAGAGATTAGAGACAAAAGGCTACTGTGTAAATTGCTACTGCAGAGAAAGGCACTCCATACTCATCCACATCGTTCTCATCAACTGGGGTAGGTCTGCGCTTTCAACCTGGAGAAGTAAAAACCCGGATAGGCATAGTCAATTACCAGTCGAGGTAAGAGTAAAACAATCAGGTACCGGCTGCTAGGCTTGTTGGCTGCGGGTTAAATGGGTACCTTAGGCATATACCATACTGTAAGATCCCGTGTATTTGCGTACCGTGGAAACATCAATACGGTACCTGGACCTTCCCCCTAAACTAGCTACAGCCAAGTCTCCAACTGGTCTGTTGCTCACTCCATTCGATCTCAGGAGAGACACAACAGCATCCATCCATCTTTACCTCACTAACTTCCCCGGTTCCCTACTTTGGCTTCATAACCTGAGTCTCTGGAGCTGCCATTCGCTTTCCCCCTCTTTCTCTTCAATCTCACCTGGACTCTGTCTTTTTGCTCGAGTTCCCTCCCTTATCCGTTAGCCCACCATGTCGTCGGCTCTCAACGCGGTATGTTGTTTGCTTCCCCTTTCTGGCCTCTTTGCTGAGGAAGACAATCCCGCCACTTCTTCATCCATTCCGCACAATTGTTCCGATTGGGGTCCAGTTACTACGACTCATATACCTGTGTCTCTGTTGCCTTACTATGAAGATCATAATCTGACATTCCACATAAGATTCGTCGCAAGAAAAATGTCAAGAAGGGTATCCAGTTCTGCTTGATGGTCTGTGGTGCTAGCGGAACCGGTATGTTTCGAAGTCGTCTACCTGGCCACTGTTCCCCATACTAACCTGGTATCTCCTTTGCACAGGACGTACAACCTTTGTCAACACCCTCTGCGGAAAGAAAGTCCTCGAGAGCAAGGATGCCGACGATGCTGCCAGCGCTCACATTGAGGAAGGTGTCCGTATCAAGCCTGTCACAGTCGGTAAGTTACCATCATTGCTTACGTAGAAGAAACGGCACTGATTTCATAATTCAAAGAACTCGAGTTAGACGACGAAGGCACCCGAATTTCCCTCACCATCGTTGATACCCCCGGTTTTGGTGACCAGATTGACAATGAAGCCAGGCATGTAGAAACCAGTTTTGCATGTGCACCTCAAGACTGACTGTTCTTCAGCTTTGGTGAAATCGTCGGATACCTCGAGCGCCAATATGACGATATTCTTGCCGAAGAATCGCGAATCAAGCGTAACCCTCGCTTCAGGGACAACCGTGTCCACGTCCTCCTCTACTTTATCACACCCACAGGTCACGGCTTGCGCGAGTTGGATATCGAACTGATGAAGCGTCTTTCTCCTCGTGTCAATGTCATCCCCGTTATCGGAAAAGCCGATTCCCTCACCCCTGCCGAACTCGCCGAGTCCAAGAAACTTATCATGGAGGATATTGAGCACTACCGCATCCCCGTGTACAATTTCCCCTACGACATTGAGGAGGATGATGAAGATACAGTCGAAGAGAACGCTGAGCTGCGTGGGCTTATGCCATTCGCGATTGTCGGCTCTGAAGATTTCGTTGAGATTGATGGACGGAAAGTGCGGGCCCGGCAGTATCCCTGGGGTGTTGTGGAGGTTGAAAATCCCAGACACTCCGACTTCTTGGCTATCAGAAGCGCTCTGCTTCACAGCCATCTCGCAGATTTGAAGGAGATCACCCACGACTTCCTCTACGAGAACTACCGTACCGAGAAGCTAAGCAAGAGCGTGGACGGTGCTGCTGCGTATGTTCCTCGTCGAATCTGTTTTGGTTCTGTTGTTATTCTTCTACATGATACTAATTCTCAGTTACAGTGGTCACGATTCCTCTATGAACCCCGAAGACCTTGCATCTCAATCAGTCCGCCTCAAGGAGGAGCAACTCCGTCGCGAGGAAGAGAAGCTTCGCGAGATTGAGCTCAAGGTGCAGCGTGAAATCGCCGAGAAACGCCAGGAATTGTTGGCCCGCGAAAGCCAACTCAGGGAGATCGAAGCCCGCATGGCACGTGAGGCCAGCCAGAACCAAATGGCCCTTCAGCCGGAGGCTGCCAACGGAGATGCTTAAATTCCTTATTTTCATTTTCGAAGGCTGTTCTGTCAAAGCGGGACACAGTTTTGCGGGCTCGAACCGTCTGTGCTAACCTAATGGAACTTGTGGCACAGCGAATTGTAACTGTTCATGGGGTTGATATTGACCGTCTATTCACGTTAATAGCTTCGTCTTGCTGAGGGAGGACCAAGAAAAATGCAGCGCTACATTTCTCGATGACCGACACCATTCCCCTATATGATAGAGCGGTATCTAAGACCAAGGGATGGTATCTGGCTGTTGCTCCCGACATTTGTTTTTCTCTTATTTACCTCGGGCCTTATATTTCTTCTCATTCCACTGGAGATTTCGGCGATCTTCAGAATCCATGTTGCAATGCCCGGTGTCCGGAATAGCTTTTTCTAATCTTTTACAGTTGCTGCTTGTAACGTTGACTCCAATACCTTTCTTTGCTCAATTCTCCCTTCTCCTTTGTCTTTTTTGTCAACCGACACCTGTCCCATCTCAGCAGCGCCGCAAGATTCCCTCTGTTGTCGTTTCATCCTTTGTGTGCTCCTAGCTTACGTCTTGTCCCTACTATCATTCTATGTTCAAGTTGAATAGTAGTATATGAGGAAGAAAAAGTACATTCTCTGCTATGTCCTGCGTAGTGGGATTGCAACCCTTGCACACGTCTGTTTTACCGGTCAAGATTTCCAGAAGGACGAACCATTTCTGCCAACATGAAAGGCCAAGAGAAGAAAGGCTGGAGATCGACTAGAATGATTGATATTTAATGAACCGGGAGGACCAGCACCAGCTTCCCCCACGATTATTTCAGCTAAGATTCTCGAGACGTCACATCGAGGTGTAGGAAGACAACCGGAATCGAACAAAATGCGGGAGAAATTTATATGTAGTAAAGAGAAGATGAAAGAATATAAGAGCAATGGAAAAGGGAAACGAACACAGATGAAGTAAAAAGCGGTAGAAAAAGGGAAAAAATTGAAGGGACCAAAAAGCAAGTGGTATTTGCGCTTCATTGTACACAGGGGAAGTAAGCAGATGTTGACCTGACACAGATTAATTGTCCAGATCAGCAACACAAAACATTAAGATCTGAGAACTGAGCGATATCCCTTGAAAAGTCCGGGGGAGTCAACAGCTGCTGAAAAGGAAGAGTCAAATGCCTCGTGTATGATAAGACGACTTTCTACGGGAAACAGAAACATGTAATGGCATCGAAGGACAGGGTTTCTCCTTTTGTTTGCACCAGCCATTCAAGCGCCTCATTGTTGTTGTTGGGGCTTGTTCCAGAAATCCAGACTGGCTACTACATCCTCGCCTCCTTCGTCTTCGTAGGCGTACAAAATCTGAGACGGTATTAGCTATCCATTCAGTGGGATGAAAATGTTTGAAATATGAACACACCTCTCTTGTGGAAGAATGCAACATCCGAATGTTCTTTCCAGTCATGATGTGTATCAGCTCACTCGTCTCAATGTGCCGGATTTCGATGAAATTTGGCTCAAAGGCAAGGATATAAGGGTATGATAGGGCAAACGCATTGGGGTTGCCCTCCCATGAGATCTTCCAATCCGGGCGAGCTCGCCACCCGTTTCGGTTCACGAAGAACGAGAAGTCGCTGTAGTTGAGCAAGAACTCGCCGTTCATTCGCTCAATATGAATCGGCTTCACGTTCTCCTTGCGTGCGACAAAATCAAGAGAGGTATCAGCCTGATCCAGAAGGGACTGCGTCTCAGTAGTCTCAAGACTGACTACCTCAAAACCCCGAGCGCATCCCACACAAAGAGTCGAGCGGAGGAAATGGATGGACGATGACTCTGCCGGTATGTAGTATTCCTAAAGCGAAGTAATGAGTTAACAGCCCAAATGCAATAGTGCCGCAGAATATACAAACCTTGAAGGGCTTCAGAGTGTCCTGACCGCTCTGGAACATCTTGCTCACGGCAGATTTCTTCTTGCCCTTTGCCAGGTTGTCCATGGGCTCGTAGACCTTGATAGTCGATGACAGAGCGGATGTCTTGACGGAGCACACCAAATGGCGTCCAAGCCCAATCCCCGCTTTGAAGAAGTTCGCGTGACCTTGAATCTTCTTCGGCCGCTTTGCCACTGAATTTTGACCCTCCGCAAGCTCGAGCGCCTCCATCGGATAGGAGGAGAGTGTTTTGTTCGCTAGCACCAGAAGTAGTTGGTACTCCTCCAAGGTGTCGATTTGAGTGACCTGGCTAGCATCCAGCACCCGTCTCGGCTTGGCAGACTTATCCTTGGGCCAACGCTCCGAGATGAAAATGCCACTATCAGTGCCATACACCAACTTCCTGCCACCATCTGCCAAGAAACGTTAGTAAAATCTGCACAAGGCTACTGCGCAAGAGTATAGTATTGGGTGTGAAACGTACCAACAGGGACAAGGCAATTCACGCGGTTTGCAGACGTAAAAAAATTCGAACACAAAACCGTCTTGTTGTAGAAGTTACTGTTCCGTTCTCTGAGCTTTCTTTGTTGCTCTTCGACCATCTCGATGAATTTCCTTCTTTGTGTTGGCGACGTGGCATAGAGTGTCTGCTCGTAGCCACCCTTGCCGAGATGCCGAAAGGTTATGGGCAACCCGTCTTTAGTGCTGGGAGGATTGGCGGCAGGCTTGTTGGAGAGCAAGCTGGACGACGGTCTCTTGGGGACTCCAACCTTGGGAATCACTTCGTCCATCTGTGCGATAACCAACAGTTCGAGAGGGATTGGTTTCCGGTAGACACGATATTCTTCGCGCTTGTTGACGACTTTGATTCTCACAAGCAATGCTGCGTGGTCGAAGAGATACGCAGTTACTTCGGAACTATCTGTTGGAGCCTTCCTGAACGCCATCTTAGTGAGCATTTGACGATTCTCCTCAGTCAACTTCAGGTCAACGTAATCGCCGGGATTAAACTTCAGGGCTGAATTCAGCTGCACGAGGTTAAAATGGTTCTCGGCCCTTCCGCTCTCGGCGTTAACACGCGACAAGAAATCTTTGATGAGTTTGATGGCTTTGGGAATATCTTCTTTGTCCGGATTACCATCCTTCGTGTTTTTCACAACCTGTTCGAGAAGCAAAGGATACCTTGCCAGACGAGTGGTGGGCTTGGTCAAGTAGCCGTTTAATTCCAGCTTTCGTGACTCCTTGAGCCGTTCGGTCTCCTCGACGAATCTTGCAAAAGCAGGATTGGATGCCTTCTCCTTCTCAAACTCATATTTACCATAGAGCTGGTTGGCACCATACTTGATGAAAGGGTCAAAGTTGGGTACATGCTGGAGGAATATGTCACCAACAGTCTTCACCACAGGACTTTCCTTTTGTCTGGCGTTGAGGGCTTCACACAAAGCACCATTAACTTTCAGAACTTCCAAGCAATTGCCGAACACTGTTCGGATAAATTTCTCGCGCCGATGCTCCGGGATGGGGGATTGGTTTGCGTTGCCGGCCGCACGCAAAGGTCTCATCCAGAAATCTCTCAGGTACTCCAGATCCTTGACAAAATCACGTTCTGTGTACATGATCTCGAAAATGATTTCCTGGCGCTTCTTTTCGCGATCGTCGATACTGTCAGAAACTTCCTTGGGAACCATATTGATCCAGAGTTTCTGATTATCATTGTCATCATCGCCGTGAAGGCTGGCCTTCGAGGCAGACGTGCGTAGACCTGGTTGCGGCTTGAGATTCAATCTTGCCTGTTGTTCCAGCCTTCTTGGACACGCAATAGAATAGCACAGACTATCGCGCGTGCAGGTGGGAGAGTAACATTCTGTCAAAAGCGTAAAAACTCCATTGACCTCGGAACTCGGCGCCTCTTCTCCCATGGTTTCCTTGAATTGATAGATTTCCCCCGAAGCGTCTCGAAGTCGATGATCGTACGTCACATCGTGGAAAAACTTCTGCGCATCGAGCGCTCGCCCCAGAAGAAGAGCAAGATTACGATCGTTTGTCTTGATGATGTGAGCAATAAGATCCACAGCCTCAGCACCAGAAAACGCATTTTGATAAGACAAGCCGTTCTTCTGTCGTTCTCCAAGCGGGATTCTCTCGCGAAAGACGTCAGCGACCCGTGAGAGTAGGGCGGGATACACCAGTGGGACCTTGCTCCGGCGGGAATTGCTGGAAACTAAAGTTGTTTGATTGCTGGACCTGTGCGTCATCTGGCTTTGCATGCTCATGGTCCGATCTGGTACGATGGTCGACGCCATAGACATAGCGAGGGAATTTGTGGACCCATCACTTGGCGGTCGCGGCCTTCCATTTACACTATGAACGCTTGCAGGCTCTTCTTCGAACTGATTCGCCGGAGGTTGACTTGGGCCAGATGGCTGCCTCCTTGTAGGGATCACTCGACCTGTCTGCGTGGTGTGAGAATGGTCGCGATCCAGGGAGTAGGATGTCAGCGACATTGCGCGTTCATTCGCATGCCTCACTGGCACAACGCGTCCTTGATCGGTTACCGGAGTTGTCGAGCTATACGGTTGTTGACGAAAAGCGCTTGCAGAAGTGTGATTGAAACTGCTGGGTGGCGGTTGTTGATACGTCTGCGGGCCACCCATTCGCGCCATTGACCTTGATCTGTATGCATCCGAATTCAGGGCTGGGGGAGGCATAGGCCGACTGTATCCCTTGGCATCTGGATACTGTGGGCCAGGAGCGGGTCTCGAATCTAGCCGTTGGGGCTGAGGATAGACATATCGTCCGGGATATGGTCGCGGAGGATTGTGGGAAGATTGTTGAGCCATAGCTGCGGGCCCCGGGTATGCTTGAAAGTGTCCGTTCGGAGCTGCCCGCGGGTAACCATTCGGTCCCTGACGAGCTGGCTGCGGGGGTGGCCTTTGCATTTGAGGATGTGGCACATGCGATGACATTGTGTGGGCGCGATCTTGCGAAAACTGGGGAGTCTGCGAGTTCATTGTCTGGGAGCGTCCAGGTGGCGGTGCCCCGCCGAATATCTCTGAGAATGCAGCGTCGCGCTGGAAAGAGGAGGCATGTCCATAAGGCCGGTAGTTCCGGCCCTGTTGGCCACCGAGATCGGCCATCCTATCCCTTTATGCTGTTTTCCGCTTCTACCTCTGAAATTGTCTGGCTGGTGGGGATGAGCCAGACGCGGAGATGATTCGATACGGCGATGCGAAAGTGGTCGTATAAAATGTTCAAAGCGTCAGAAGGTGATCGTTTTAAGTCGTGGAGGAGCAGAGAGCCGATGTCGTTGGATTACTCTGGAAGCGACAGTTCGCCGGCCAAGCGAAAAAGAGAGTGAAAATAAAAGCAAGTAAGAGAGGGAGAAAAAGACTTGACACAAGGGTTCCCTCGAACTCTCATTCCTTAATCCGAGTATGCCCTGTCACGGATTCGAGCCTGGAAAAGGTCTTGAGTGATGTGTTAACGATCGAAATGCGCTAGGAGCCTTGAGCGCAACCGCAAGCTAGAGTCCCCGCTAATCATAACCTCAGCATTCTCTCTCGGACTAGCCGATCTATCGATGTGAGCCGACTCCTTGGTGGGGGGCAAAATTCAAAAGCACCAGGCCCTAAACCGGAAGGGATCTCAAGATAGCGAGCGGCAGTGCGTGAGAAAGGAGGGGCGAAGGTGTTAGGGAGGAGCGGTAGTTACAGAAGAGGAAGAGGAGGAGGAGGAGGTAAGAGGTGGTCGTAGTGCGTGCCGTCGTTGATCGATGTTGCAACGATAATAATAGTCAAAAGAGATATAACAGAGCAATGTATCGACGACGGGGGGAGGTCGATGAAGAACGGGACCGTCTCGAGATGGAAAAGCACGGGGGTTCAATGTTAGTTGGGTTGAGGAACAGGCACATGTCGCCCTTTACCCGGAGTGGCTAAGCCCGGGCGGTGGTGGCTCTGCGACCGATACGAATTAGATACCATTACACCTTGAACTACGGTGGCCCGCAGCGAACAACTTGGTCAACCCTCGGTCTCCTGCGCGGTAGTTCGATAGGTACTACTGCTACTTAACCTACTGTCGGCCGTCACTCGCCTAAGGAAGTACATATCGGTCTATCTACTTTTGTTTGCTCTTGTTTATCTGGTCGCATTCTTCTTTTAAACTGGTCTTGAGCTCAAAGCTCTACATTAGTCCCGTTTTCTTACCCCTTTCCACTCTGCTCTGACGGTTCGTCATCAACAAAGATACTCAAAATGGCGGAAAGCGAGCTGGCTCCCAAATTCGCGCCATTTTTCTCCTTTGTAAGCCTTCCAATATTAATCTTGTGGTGGGATTGCTTCAATCATAGAATCATCTGCTGACTGGAGATCGCAGGCGGGAATCGCATCTGCAGTGAGTTCACCATAACTACGAGTCGTTCCTCTACGCTGTACTAACAACCTCTCGAAGATGATTTTCGGGTGTACGTCTTAATTCGATCATGTATGAGATGGTATAAGATAGGATGAGACACTCACAACGTTACAGCAATGGGAGCGGCGTATGGAACGGCAAAGTCTGGGATTGGTATCTCTGGTGTAGGAACGTTTCGGCCGGATTTGATCATGAAGGTTTGCAGTTTTCACCCCGCGAGTTCCAGAAAATTATTTCAAGTAGATGTCCTAATTTCTTGACATAGTCCTTGATCCCAGTCGTCATGTCGGGTATCATCGCGGTCTACGGCTTGGTCATTGCAGTTCTCATCGCAGGAGACATGGCGCCGCCTCCAACACAGAACATGAGCTTGTACACGTAGGTCACGTCACATCGAACCCACGCTTTTTAATGGTTCTGTTATTGATGTCTGAGACCAGAGGATTCATGCACCTTGCTTCCGGATTATCGGTTGGCCTCGCGGGCGTGGCCGCCGGATATACTATCGGCATCGTTGGTGATGCGGTGAGCAACTTAGCGACAATGCTCGTTTCTGACTTTGATGCTAACATTTTCTTGAGGGTGTTCGTGCTTACATGCAGCAATCCCGAGTCTACGTCGGGATGATTCTTATCCTGATTTTTGGCGAAGTTCTCGGTCTTTATGGGTTCGTCTTCCCGCCAATGCAGCAACAAAGACATATCAGTGCTAACTGCTGTCAGCCTAATTGTCGGTCTCATTCTCAACTCGAAGAGCAAATAAATCCTTCTCCTTCTCCGCGCTTCACACCGAATCTTCAAGGATGTGCTTGCAACCTAAAGTACGTCCAGATCGACGTGCATATCTGCGTAGCCAAATGCATGAGTTTCTTGGCTATGGTAAAGGCGCACCGGTGTCTCCTTGTGGCAAGGGGCCATTTCTGCGCGTGTGATCTTCTGGAAGCTTATCCGTATGACTCCTCAGGTCCCTTTGTACTAGGTAGCTCCCACTCCATAGCCCTGGACATGAAGATTTTATCTCACACTTCCATGTTTGGCCTCCAAAAATAACATTGTATATTCAGAGATAGCATCAGATGTAGTCATAAAAACCATGCACTGCAACCGGGATCTGTCCGATCACGCTAATGGTGCATGCCGAGTCGTTGACAGGCTGCCCCGCCAGTCGGTAACGTCAGAGCCTTGGTGCTCCGTGAACGCCGCCATGGACCATTGCTACTTGGTTCCGCGGCCAGAAAAGACGAACTTCAGCAAAAGCTCTTGCCTCCCATGAAGGATTGATCAAGGCTTGGCCTGTTTAATCGAGCATTTTCAGAGGTCATTTAACGATTGATCTTCCCGTTTCTGCCTACTTCGGCCAGTAGCCTTCGAAATTGCAATTCGTCACAACAGCTCCTGCGGCGTTCCTTTTTTACCCCCACATCCGTTCCCCGCTGTCCTCGAGACATGATCTCTTGCCATCCCAATGGCTACAGGAAAGGCCGAGCCTTCGACACATAGTGAGATTCAGAGCTCCCCTCCGTCATCCAGAGGGGTGGAAACTCCTTTGGAAAACGTTCATGAAAGAGAAAAGCAGATGGTTGCGTCCTTCCGACCCCCTCATCAGAGATCGGTGAATCCTTTCGTCATTAAAGATCGGCCGGAGGAAAAGCAGCTGGGGATATCAACTCGGAGCCTTTGTGTTAATGATTTCACGCTAATCAAAACACTTGGTACTGGTAAGTCTCGACGCAAGCGGCGAGGCCTGCAGTGCGCGTTGTTGACACCGCTGGGATGCATCCAGGTACCTTTGCACGAGTGTGGCTGGCGAAATTCAAGGACGAAAAGATCCGACGGGACAATGTGTACGCGCTAAAGGTTCTACGCAAGGCAGATGGTGAGGATGCATGTGAAAGCTTCTATCCGCATCTTTGGCCGGGCTGACGGGCGAGATATTCTGGGATCTACAGTGATCAAGTTGAAGCAAGTGGAGCATGTGCGCAATGAGCGAAAAGCACTTGCTGCGGTTGCCGGTCACCCTTTTATCACGACTCTAATCGCGACATTTTCCGATGAACAGAGCCTATATATGCTGGTATGCAAGCCACCGCGTCTTGTGATGAACGGACCTTCCCATGCCCTGCCTTCTGCTGGACCTCGTCGCCGTCGTATTTTTTATTGATACCCTCGTCTGACTTCTTCCTACCTAGCTGGACTACTGCCCCGGAGGTGAGATCTTCAGCTATCTTCGACGTGCGCGGCGATTCAACGAGAATACCTCGAGATTCTATGCCGCCGAGATCACGCTAACGATTGAGTACCTACATGACGTCGAGGGCGTCGTTTACCGTGATCTGAAGCCAGAAAACATACTCTTGGACGCTGACGGGCATATTAAGCTGGTCGACTTCGGATTCGCGAAGCAGATCAACGATCGCGAGACGTACACGTTATGCGGCACTCCGGAGTACCTGGCTCCTGAGGTCATCCACAACAGCGGTCATGGCCTCGCTGTGGACTGGTGGGCTCTCGGGATCCTCATCTACGAGTTTTTGGTTGGGCAGCCCCCGTTCTGGGATCAGAACCCGATGCGCATCTACGAACAGATCGTCGAGGGCCGCTTGCGTTTTCCTCCGAACATGTCGCCCGCAGCCCAGAATATCATATCATGTCTCTGCAAGACCAATCCGAGTGAGCGGCTTGGACACATATCGGGTGGCTCTGCGAGAGTCAAAGCGCACCCTTTCTTTGAGGAGATCAATTGGGACGACTTGTTCCACCGGCGCATGAAAGGGCCTATCATCCCGCGAGTTGACCATCCCGCAGATACCGGAAACTTTGAGGACTATCCCGACGTAGACGTGAGGGGTCAGGCCATCTACACCGACGACATGAAGAAGAAATACGAAGCTTTGTTCAGCGATTTCTAAGGCGGCAATCTCAGGTCCCTTCCCTCTGATACGCATTCAACATGAGAATCATTGTAAAAAGCCAGGATGTCCGCCACGACCGTTTACGCTGATACGGAACGCTCCAGCCACGACGTTACGAATTCCTGTATTATCGTTCTGCAACAGTCCATAAGGCCTGCAGCCGCCCACCACCATACAACTATATATAAAGAGACAGCGATCCTATCTTCAGTCCTCGATTGACATGTCAAGGTTATTGATGACGAATTATCCGTCCTTTTTCTTTCCTTTTCTTCTCTGCATGTGTCATGATGTACAATGCAATCTGCCATCATTGTCTATATAATATATATCTCATGTCTCTGATTGGGACTTTGTGAACTTGGTTTGCATGTCTTGTATGTCACATCATGTGGCCTATGTCGCCTGATTTCTGGAATATAATACCAATGAGCCTATTGCGGCAGGATGGGTGAAGAATTCAACATAGACTGAGCGGGTTGAATATATAGTTACCTGTAATTGCAGCATCTTGTACATGCAACCATTCCTCTAATGATCTCTACCATTGAATGCACCACGGAAATGCAAGGCCAATTCGCTCATTCTTCTGATTATATTGAGTCTATCTGATATGCTGTATATGCAACGTATGCTTTGTTCATGAACAGTAGAGGATCGGCCAGGCAGTGAGCTTGCTGACCGAAATGGATCCCGGGCAGTCGAAGCCATGCCGTCATCCAGTCAAATTAAATATGGTAGGGAGAGTGCCACCGAATACTTCCGCTCTTCTCTTTGTCCAAGATGGCACATATATGCGGCTCGGTAAAAAATGACAGGCAGCGCTGTGGGTTGGACTCGGCTGTGGAAACCCATGCCACGCCTCTAGGCCGAAAATCTGTACTTCCCGAGGCTGACATGCATGCATCCAAAATGGTAAGGTCCCACAACCGCGCCGGACTGGGAGCTCTTGAATGACATCTCGTCATTGAAAGTAGGCTCATTGATGTGCTACGGATGGAAAGCACTGTGTCCAGATATGTTCAGTGGACTCGAGTCTTGGTAGGTATCGAAGTGACACCGGGCCCCGCGCAGGGTAAGTAAGGTTCCTGACGCTTCCGTGCGAGCTTCACTCGGGCCTAGGAGCCGGGGTGTAGGGTTCTGCTCATCCACCGGCCTGTTTGACAAGTCTCAGGCAGCGGTCGTTGTAACCAATGACATGATAATGCCGCACAGCCGATGTTTAGAGAGCCGGGTCTGTCTTCCATGATCCTGATGAATAAAGTCAGTTAAGCTTGTCTCTGGTGCAGCAGCATGTAAGGAAAACGTACCACTAAAGTCGTGTTTGACAAACGCCATGGGGTCATCTAGATCGCCCGCTCCCATCTGACCAACGCCAGGACTGAAACTGGTAATTGGTAGAACCACGACGTCACCGACCTTTTTATAGTCCCGTTGGTTGGTGAAATCCTCGTATGTGACGTTGTGAATCGACCCCGGCTCGATGCTGAAGTATTCCGGGTTGTTGAAATATCTAAACACCGCGTCCGTCCAGGCAGCGGGCCCAGTGAACTCCACGATAGTCTTATCCATCTTTCCTTCCTTGAGGACTCCCTTTTTCTTCATTCGCAGCGCCTCCTCGGTAATGTATGCGACAATATCGCGGAGGATCGGGTGCCCAGGCTTTGCCTGGATGGTCCACTGACAGAATTGGATCCGGCGCGAATACCAGTCGTGCCAATCAGGCCGGTCGGGGTCGGCCTCTATTCCGATCACAAAACCGACCGTGGCGAGATCCAGCTCCCCAGGCAGCCAGTCGGCGGCGGGCTTGAGCGCGTAGGTATCGATGTCACTGTAGATGCCTCCACGCGCCAGCAAAATCAAGTACCGAAAGAAATCAGCCTTCAGGACGGGCAGGGGCATCGAATCGTATGCCTCGAACACCTCCGGGACCGAGCCGTAGAGGTACTTGATGAGATGTCGCTGAGTGTCGTCCGGAATCACTTCATGGACAAACCCCGGGTGTAGTTCAGTCCAACTCGCCTCAGCGGGCCGAAGGTCTTCAGAAAACCACATGGATGCTGGTGTGTACTTCCATGTCTGCCAGATGTATGCGGGAAACCTGCTTTCGAGATCGTAGGGGAACTGGTATCGGAGCCGTTCGCGCAAGGGCGCAGTGGGCGGTGGCTTCAACGGCTGCTGTTGTATAACCTGTTTCTGACTCGTAAGATGTTCATCTGCTGCTTGACTGGTGTCGTGCGCAGTGGTTTCTGTGTTGAGAACGGCAGGTTCGGCGGATGGTGAGGAATGTACCGATCGAAGGAGGACGACGAATGTAATCAAAACGACGGCCGCAATTAGCGACTTCCTGAAGGTGAGCATTGTTGCGCGGAAAAAAATCCACAGTAGCGCGACGGGAATCGATTGGATAGATGAGTTGTGAAGATAGATCTAGATCTCCTCCAGGGGTCGCCACGAGCTTCTCCACAGGCTCCGCGAACGGTCAATGCAGGAGCTGAGTATTCGGATAGGGAGGAGAGGAGAGATCCGAGATCAACTCAATTCAGTGCCGGCCAGACATATCTGCGCCTATTATAGGACAGTATGAAATATTGTGCGAGGGGGCTTGCGCGATCAGAATCGGTACACTCGGAGACAACGGCAGTGGAAGAAAGTCCCGAAGAATTCGTCACTCCCAGGGATGAATGAGGTCAGTGACAGCAACTAGCAAACACACAAAAGAGTTGAACACAATGTACAACTAAGCAGAAGAATATGTGCAGATCAAGGAAGAAGGTGAAATAAGGGTAAAAGGGAGAGAAAGGAAGCTTTGGCAAAATAATATGGACTAGGAGAAAAAAACAGGTGGAGCCGTGTAAGTAGGACGGCCGTTAAAAACTGGTGGCGTCCGACTTTTGGCGTGGAATAGGCCGATAAGGATCAGAGGATGACGACGATAGGCTCGGGAGTACGTGTATTAGGGTGTATTGGCTGTAGTGGTAGCTTAATTGGATTAAGTCTTCTCTTGTACCACTCCCGTTTGTACTTTTACAGCACACAAAGCACAAGAATTGAAGAAATACGGAGGACAACGGCCTTATATGCTCTCTTTTCTAGATCTGCTATACAGCATTACCGCAATAGGAAGCGGATCGACTCCCCGGACACAACTGCTCCCCTGCCATTACACGATGATGCCGTCTCCTGGATCGGCAGGAGATACGGTAACCACCTAGGGAAACTTCATGATAAGGAATCGTATAGAAGGGATGAAATCCTGATTGGGCAGGTTGTATTTTCCTTGGGGTGGGCGTGAATTGGGTGATGGCGTTGGCCGTTTCCGGCGATGATCAGCTTCCGTAGCTACGTAGACTCGGCCATCTTCTCTGGAAGATTGCAAGCGCCACCATCTACGGAGCGTTCTGGATCTTGAGATCGAACTGGACGCTTCATGACTCAGATAGTTAGGTTACCTTTTGATCTTTCAGTCGGATTCTGTTCGTTTCTCAGCCATCAGGTGGTGCACTGAAGTATGTCTGTATGCGATGGTAGTCATACTTATGGTTATTCCTCAATCTCCCAAGCCGCGTCATTGCGATCCAGATTGACAGGGGAATACCTCTGCGCTAGTCTGCAGAAAAGACTTGGCGTGTTAGCATGCGTCTAGTTAGTCAATTTGTTTGCAGGTGATTGGACAAAATACATAGTACTCAAGGAACACGAGGATGTCCTCAAAGTCTTGAAGTCGGTGGTTGAAATGCGACGATCCCCGGTTTCAAGTAGACTACGGATCCTGGTATAGATTTCAGGCAGGTTTCAAAAGGGCATCTAATCACAACTTGCCAGAATCGACTGTTCGATTATTGTTTCACGTGCTGGGGTGTCCCATCATGGATGAGTTGCAGCGAGCTCCTCCGACTGGAATGCGGGGCCAGCAAACACATATTTAGAAGCCCAGATGCTGATACGTCATACGAGCAGAAGATTATGCGATTCGTACAGCTCTGTCGGAAGAAAGTCAAGAGTTGATATCTCACTCATTAGTCGGTAACTCTTACTGTGTCCGTTGTTGAGCACTAAGCACCAGCATTCATCACTGAGACGGTGGACACGTGTAGCCAGACCGGATGTTTTTGGCTTGATCCTGTCATAGAAGGGCCAGTGTAACTGTTACCACTAACAACCATGGATTGACCTCTTTACTCAGGAACAATCCAGTCCGAATACTACATCTTGATCTTTGGGCGGTACATTGAGCACATCATACCGCGGAGTGAGCAGTGCTTTTGCTTTCTAAGTAAGAAATCCTGCGTTGATCAGCGTATTCGTCCATTATTCTTCTCGGCCAGAAGCAATTATTTCCGTTTTCTCTGTCGTATCTCAAATTTGACGCAAATCCCGCGCTCTCCGGATTGGATGGACTGTGAGATGTACAAGGTGGGTAAGGAAGACAAATAATGATTAATAGCAACAACTGCCAGATGTTAACCACAATTGTGAAACGCAAACATAGGATTGCTTTAAAGTGGATGAGGGAGTGTGAGACGCTTTCATTTTACCCCTTCTCCAGATCCCTTCCTCCTCAGACAACTCCGCCAAAGTCTAAAGTATCTTTTCCTAGATGGGATGGAAGCTTGTTGCATCTGCATCCGTTCTCATAACTCCGCAGCCTTGAAAGGCATACTTTACCCCCGTACTCAGCGCCTCACTGTGACAATACATGCTGGATAGGAACAGCATGCAAGACAATATCAGAAAGGCCAGTATATCTACCTAGTGGCTCTACAACAAGTCATTAGGTGTTCAACAGACAAAAGCTGGCACAGCAGAATTTCTGACGGCGACAGCTGTAAGAATGAGGGCTGCGTAGATGGTGTAGGATTCCATCAGCCACACCCAGAGTTGACGAGCGCAAACTATCGAAGGTGCCGCCGAAGGATCGTCGTATTAGTAGGATAGTGAGGTTTCGGCTTCCGGCGGAACCTCCTAGGCTACCATGGCGACGTGGGAATGACCCAGGAATTTGTCTTTCATAAAACTCAGGTTTTCAGGCATTGCAGGACTATAGCTTCGTATACCAGACTGAAAATTCATAGGAAAGTAGACCACTAGACTTGTTTGTCTCAAGGAGAGGGTGTGCTAACCAAGGGACACCATGCTGCTGGGAGATCTATGGGTCCAAGCGCAAAGGAGAAAGACTGTATTGATGTTAATGACTGGAATGAGCTTATTCGTAGACATGAAGCATACTAGAAACATGGATATAACACTGAACATGGATAAGGTCATGATTATTATAACAGACTACTGCTGGAACTACACCAGTTTATGGATTCTCAGGATCATCCCTTTGGAGTCTATCCACAAGAGCATCGCTGTAGAGAAAACTCAGCATCGCCAAGATCGGCTGCTGTTTACGAGGTTGCTATGGTTCATATTTGCCATAGCTTTGGGTGAGCTAGGAATACTACCTTAGATGTCGCTTTTGAAGGGCTCGTGGACATCAAGAAGCAACGATCAAAGGATGCAATTGCAACTATTGGCCATCAATCTTGAAGTATTTAATGACAGGATGTAAGTTTGATTGGCTGAGAGCTGCTCATCTGAATTAAGGCCCCACTACATGATAGTCTTCGGCCAATTATGCTGCTTTTCCCAGTAGATGCGAAGTCTAGAAGAGCAATATGTGATTGGCCTAAACCGAGCTCCGGTAAGGGGAACCTCAAGGAGGCTCAGGTACATTAAGTAGGTAGGTACCTCGTTGATTGTTATGAGTCCATGTCTCTACATATATTGCGGGTTCCTTCATACTTGCAGGCCTCAAAATCTCTTCCGTATTAATGGTGAATAAAGGGGAATGGTTTCTGTTTGGGTATTAAGATACATCGGTGTCGACAACTTGAAGTCCGCCGGCAATTTGAGGGATCTTTCGACTTGGAATAGGCAATGCCTGTAGATATCAGCATTTGCATTATATATCTGAGGGTCTAAGACATATTGTTAATCCGCTTTGATTACTCGTAGCTTCATGGCCTGAGAAGTCCTGGCAGCTGAGAAGTTTCGCACTTCGGGGAGAGATTGAGCGACCTAGCCTAGTGGATAGTGCAGGGCCACTGCCGACCGACTGGGGTGTCCAGGACCCTCTTAGGTATCATGAGAAGACACGTGAAAGTTCTAATCGTTAACAATAATCCACAATTTATATTGCGATTGTGATGAGTTTGACTGGGCATTTTTCAACGCCTGGATTGGTGGATGGGCCACTTTCTGTTCCGCAGAGGTCTAATTCTGGAACTCAGTAGTCAGTACCTGTAAGTTGGTACCTTGATCGTCCCGCCGGTCCCTGACCAGTTGGCCTTCTTGCATCCTGATTTCTGTGGCGTAGCAACGGCTGAATTGAGTTCTGGGCAGAGCCCTTATCACAGCCCATGGTCTGCCGTTAGGCTTTGGCGCCATAAAATCTCAATGGCTCAATTGATCTCCTCTTCCCACACTTTCCTGAGCATAAGATAGAGTAGTCAACTTCGTTCGAGCCATGCATCGTTGATATTGTTGCCTGTTGACACTCTTTACCGCTCTCTAGAGCACATGTTTGATTAAAGGCTCGTGGGCTGGTCGATCACTGGGAAAGAATGACAGGACGCCGCCTCCTTTCCACGCAAACTACCAAGAAGGGCCAGCTCACGTCTTCTGTTCATTCTCTGCAGCCAGAGGATGAGGCACCATCGAAGCCCTGGTCGGCTTTGTTCACGCCGAGGCCCTTAACGCGAAAGAAAATCATCATCCTTGGAATAACAGGATTCCTGATAATAGCGATCATCGTCGTGGTGATAACTGTTCCCATCGTCCTCCTGCGTCACCGAGAGCCTTCTGACCACCCGAGCTATCATGATGAGTCGAACCGACCGATCTACGCCGTATACAATTTTCCCGATCCTGGGATTATCCGTGTCAATGGCACGTGGTATTCCTATGCAACCAATGCGGCCATAAACAATTCCGAGGTTGCGCACATTCCGGTGGCTACGTCTCAGGACCTGAAGAATTGGACGCGGTTAGATGGTTACGATGCCGTGCCTACATTGGCAGCTTGGGAAAAGGGCGTGAATCACTGGGCTCCAGATGTTATTCAACGAGTATGCCGCAGGCCCTAACAAACCTTTGAGGAAGACCGTATTCTGACAGCTTGTCTACAGAATGACGGTAAATTCGTGCTGTATTACTCTGGGGAATTGAAGAACTGGAAGCGCCATCACTGCATTGGTGCCGCAGTCTCAGAGAAGGAAGACCCTCTAGGACCTTACCAGCCCATGTCGGAACCTCTTGCTTGCCCCCGGGAACATGGCGGTGCCATTGACCCGTCGCCGTTTCGAGACACAGACGGAAAACTGTATGTCACGTACAAAAGCGACGGGAATAGCGTCGGCTACGGCGGCGACTGTAACAATGGCAAGAAACCCATTGTCAAAGTCCCCATCATGCTTCAGGAGCTCCAAGACGACGGTATCACCCCAGTTGGGGACCCCATCGAGATTCTCAAGAACGAAGAGGAAGATGGGCCTCTGGTCGAGGCGCCCAACATCATCCGGACCGACCAGGGCTATTACTACCTTTTCTTCTCTTCCCATTGCTTCACTTCTCCGAAGTACGATGTCAAATACGCCTACTCGATGTCTTTGAAGGGACCGTATAAGAGGGCCCCTCGCGCCTTACTCAAAACGGGAGACTTTAACCTGACGTCTCCGGGAGGGGCTACCGTAGCTCCTGACGGGACATTTATGATATTCCATGCCAATTGTGCACCAAAGAGATGCATGTATGTAACGGGGATAGATATAGGTGCAGACAACTTGATCACACTTAGTGGACTCAGGTGATGCTATGCTGGCCATAGCATCGAATTAGATACTGGAGATGATACCTCTTACCTGCTTTTTCGGCCCGCATAGAGAGGTAGATCATAATGGTGCATAGTGTTGGATCCCTCCTCGACCAGAAAATACCTTCCGGCCGGACTGTCAGCAAGCGGGAGCACCGGACCTGCCAAACCGCCGACAACCAATCATATGCTCAAAAAATGACGCCATTAGTTCTTCAGTGGTCGGTGGGGGCCTGAGGCAGCTCTCCGCCTGCGCAATACGGAAAGTCAATGAAAGCCGCGGGCTCATAAACACTGTACTCTGCAGGTCAGAACGATGACTTCTCCACACCCGTTTACTTGCAGTTTAATTTCGCCTGGAGCATTCAGCTATTGCTCGATAGTTGTCTTGCTTTGATTTTGTCGAAAGAAAATGAGCTCTCTCCGAGGCGTGGCACGCTCAGCTCCTCGTGGTCTCCAGGCCGTCGGAGTGTGGAGACAGAGCGAAAGTGTCGCGGCCAGTTTTACTTCTGCAAGAAACCGATTTCAAATCAGCGCATTGATACGTCGCCCATTGCACTCAGCTCCTGCTCGGAAGATACAGACTGCCACCGCCGAAAATCCTTCAGCGCGAGATTCATCGAACCCGGCACTTTCATTTCCCTGTCTCGACGCCCTGGACGCAAAATCGGCGCTGCTATCAGCCAGATCGATCGAGTCGGGTCCGGAGCCTTCATACACGACCGGACAGCATGAGAACTTCCACTGTGAGGAGCCATTGCTACTAGACTGGGGGGGTGTCTTGCCAGAGTTTGATATCGCATACGAAACATGGGGTCAGTTGAACGCGAACAAGAGCAACGCTATTCTATTACATACTGGTCTGTCGGCGTCGAGTCATGCACACAGTACCGAAGCCAATCCGAAACCGGGATGGTGGGAGAAATTCATCGGTTCTGGCAAGCCGTTGAACACGGATAAGTACTTTGTTATCTGTACAAATGTTATTGGGGGTTGTTATGGGAGCACAGGGCCATCTTCGATCGATCCCTCCGACGGGAAGAGATACGCAACGCGGTTTCCTATCCTTACACTGGACGACATGGTTCGGGCACAGTTTCGTCTGTTAGACTCATTGGGTATTCAGAAGCTGTACGCCTCAGTTGGCTCCAGCATGGGTGGGATGCAGAGTCTTGCGGCGGGTGTGTTGTTCCCCGAGCGTATCGGAAAGATCGTGAGTATCAGCGGATGCGCCCGCAGCCACCCGTACAGTATTGCCATGAGACACACCCAGCGCCAGGTGCTGATGATGGACCCGAAATGGAACCGCGGTTTCTACTATGACTCGATCCCGCCTCATTCGGGAATGAAACTCGCCAGAGAAATCGCAACAGTCACGTACAGAAGTGGACCGGAATGGGAGAAGCGGTTCGGGCGCAGGCGCGCCGACCCCAGCAAACAGCCGGCCTTGTGCCCTGACTTCCTCATTGAGACTTATCTCGATCATGCTGGCGAGAAATTCTGCCTCGAGTACGACCCAAATAGTCTGCTGTACGTCTCCAAAGCCATGGACCTGTTCGACCTCAGCCGGTCGCAGCAGGCAGAGACCAAGAAGCGTAGACAGGAATTTGAGGCTCGTATCGCTCAAGGCGGCAAGACACTCCGCTACAACGATGCCTCCTGCAGCTTGACATTACCCGAAAAGCCTTACGAGGAGCAACCTTCTACAACCGACTCCGGTTCTTCGGCGGACGAGTCAGTCGCCGCAGGCGAGCAACCAGATGCACCACCCGCCGATCTCGTCGCAGGTCTCGCGCCGTTGAAGAACCACCCGGTCCTGGTCATGGGTGTTGCCAGCGATATTCTCTTCCCTGCGTGGCAGCAACGTGAGATCGCCGAGACGCTTCGCGCGGCTGGAAATAAGAACGTTGAACACATCGAGCTGGGCGAGGACATCTCCTTATTCGGGCATGATACGTTCCTGCTTGACTTAAAGAATATTGGCGGTGCCGTTGAGAGGTTTTTGCGCTAATTGGCGCTTGTACAGTCTATATTTTGTTCAGTGTTTGTCCGATTGTGGCACAGTTCATGATGAATGACACGATGCATCTGAGCGTACATTTGTTTAGTATTTTATTGGACATGCAATTAATTCACTATCCATGTACATCACCCTTAAATTATTATTGAGTCTAGCTATTCAACCTACGATTATTGGTATCACAAATCATATATAACAGACAGATCACAGCCCTCAGATTAGCTCTCAGGTTCTCATTGGTTTCCAGGCATAAATAGATGTGTGTGTGTGTACACGTGAAGTGCCGGATACCATGCAACTTTGGCTTTTGGTTCATCCTCGTCATCGGGCTGATATTAAGAAAAGAAAAGAAACAAGAAAGACAAAAAGATGTGTACCACGCTATAAAAGGGGCTATCAAAGGACATGAAGCTGTAGGTATTAGTCTAGTAGTCTTCTAGAGTGATTGTCTCCTAGCCAATTACGGACTCAATGGTAATGGTGTTGCGGTATCTATCTGTCCATCGGCATCTCGAGGACGACTCCGAAACCAAGTTAATGGACCTAGCTCTATGTTTCGCAACATAGAATCATTTACTTCTCTTGTTGGCAGCCAACAGGGCCAAAACGTCATCGGCCGAGAGTGCGAATCGAGGAGATATCGAATGATATCTGTGAGCAGGTATAACTAGGAAAAAGTGAGCATGCATAATGAAAGAACCCCCTGCCGGCCATATCAGATTGAAAACTACCTCAGTAATTTTCTGCCCCTCATCGGTAGGTCCGCTCGGCATCGTTTCGTTATCCGCGAAACAGATGGGTAATGGCACCTCGGAGTTATGCAAGGTTTGTCATCATCGGCTCTGGCGTTGGGTCTCGATAAATCTAGAGTCAAGGAAAAAATGGAAAAAAGAGAGAGAATAGAGAGACAAAGCGGGAGAGATACTAAGAAGAAGAAAGAGAGAAAAAGAGGAATAAGTGTAGAAACTGTGCGAGTCACTGGAGCCCTGGCAGCAAAGACCCTGCCTTCTCAAGTATTCTGAAGTGATATCCAATGCCCAATCCACAACATAAGAGGAAGGCATCATCACCAGAAGGAACAGGTGGGCAGTATGATCGCGCTGGCAAAGTCTGCTCTCGAAGTCAATACCACAAGGATGAGAAGACGTCAAACTTTCGCTAGTCTCTTAGATCTCTGTTCAACTCAGTCACCCACATCTAAAGACCACGTCTTCTTCCATTCGTAGCGCCGGCGCCGCGAAGGATGAAGTCCGTGGCCTGGAACACATTCGGTTCAGTTGTGTCATGAGCGCTCTTGTGATGGTTTTATCGTCATCGAGATAGGAAAGCTGTTCTTCTCAGATCTGTGCAAATACTGTTAGACAGCAATCAATTTAAATTGGCAAATGGTGCGCAACTTACCCATGTGGTTGGATGAGATGGACATCTTGTGTTGTTGACTGTCGGAAGACTCTCGAATCCCGATGCTTTTGGTCGCGCCTGGAAGAGAGCACGTGATCCTACATCATGGTCCCACTTTAAGCTTTGAGAAAGTCCACCGAATGAGCCGACTATGTCAATTGCCTAGGACGTGATTGCATGTTAATTTCTTCCTCGAGGGCTTTGGTGTATACATCCCACGCCACTCGTGTCAGTCGTTCTGTCGAGTGAAGCAATTGTGTCTATTGGAGCGAATTTATCGCAAAATTGTCGCACTTCTACGCCAATCCGGAAAAACTAAACGGTCAAGCCGGATCTGATACTCAAGTCAAATGTCCTCTTGGCTCCAGCGCCAGGTTGGCCAGCAGCAGGCTCAGCTTGCAGTCACTGCTGTGGTCTCTGGAGCTGCCGTTGCCGGCGCAATATTTGGCTACCAAGCTCTGAGAAGGAAAGAAGCTGTGCAGCACCTTAAAGCTTCAATCCCTCCAATTGACGAAAGGCATCATGCAGAAAAGGTAATCTAAAGGTGTCAGATCAATTCACTGAGGGCTTACGCTGATTACTGCTCTACTTGAAGCTCACAGAGTACGGTACAGCGACGTCATCAACACACTTGACTAAAGAGGACGAACGCAGCGCGGCTCTTGCGCGAAGAGCGCAAGAGGGTGACTATGATGACGGTTTGTTTCAGCCTCTAGCGGCCTTCCTGGTAATCACGGTGCTGACTCCACGGCCTTTGGCTAGATCTCATACTCGAACAACTCGCCCGTAACCGTGTATTTCTTACCGACGAGGGCCTAGCGAAACTCCGCTCATCATTCATCATTGTGGTTGGGTGTGGTGGTGTGGGCTCTCATGCTGTCGCATCACTTGCCCGCTCGGGCGTCGCGAAGATTCGCCTGATTGACTTCGACCAAGTAACACTGTCATCTTTGAATAGACATGCTCTCGCTACTCTCGCCGACGTGGGCACACCCAAGGTGCATTGCATTAAAAAGAGACTGGAACAGATTGTTCCCTGGGTCAAGTTTGACTGTAGGAACGAACTCTTTGGTGGATCGGCTGCTGCAGATCTACTTGCTCCGTGGTCCTGGGATGACAGCGACAAGGGACAGAAGCCAGACTACGTGCTTGACTGCATCGACAATATCACATCAAAAGTTGAATTGCTGCACTATTGCCATTCCAACTCTATCCCCGTGATATCGTCAATGGGAGCAGGATGCAAATCCGATCCCACACGCATTATGGTTGGCGATATCTCAATGAGTACCGATGACCCTTTATCACGCAGCACTCGACGACGCCTCAAGCTCCTGGGAGTCAACTCGGGTATTCCCGTCGTGTTTTCAACGGAGAAACCCGGTCCTGGAAAGGCTAGTCTTTTACCACTCGCCGAGGAAGAATTTGCCAAAGGACAGGTTGGTGAGCTGGGCGTGCTGCCCGACTTCCGGGTTCGCATTCTTCCGGTCTTGGGAACCATGCCTGCTGTTTTCGGATACACGGTTGCCAATCACGTCATCTGTGACATCTCCGGCTATCCTAATGATTACAATGTTGGCGGAAAAGGCCGGGAAAAGCTCTATGATAGCATCATAGCTTCCTTACAAGGATTACATGAAAGATTGGCTCGGGCTGAAGCCGGGCAGGATCTCATTGGGCTCCGTATTCCTATCAGCAAAGATGATGTTGGGTACCTTGTGGAGGAGATCTGGAGGGGCAGGAGTGCTATTAGCAACCTGACTAACCGGTTGATACTGGTGCCTTGGCAACGGCCGGCTCGGGGCTTCTCGCCTGATCCAGAGTGGGAAAAGGAAGGACAAAAGTTCATTCCGATTGATTTGAAGAACCTTGTTTGCATGACCAAGGAGGAGGGAGCTCGCCATGAGCGGGAGGTCCTCCGAGGAGGAAAGGACGTGACAGAGGTATATGACCAGAAGGTCTTGGAAAAGGTTAAGTGGCATATGGGAGAGGTGGAAGTTCAGGAAAAATTTCGTTAATGCATCATAAGCTATCTGTATAGAATTGTACTTTACGAATCTGACGGTCTATTACTTACTACTTTATGTGTCCGATCGCCATAGTACTTTGATATTGTTATGACCACATCGAGATAAAGATGGATTAGATGATCGGGACAGATTAGGTGATGTGACGCTAGTCCATAAACGGAATAGTCTTTAAGCCATGCACTGATTAGATTCGCTGATCGAGCCTCAGGCTCCACTAGGACTACGTCTTATGCGTGCTAAGAATAAGACAGCCGATGAAGTAAGTTGTCACAAGTGAAACCTTGCTTTCTTCCATCTCAACAACGACCACGACAGAAGTTCCCATGCAGGTTCATGGTCTACTTTTTTTAGCTCCGGAAAGTCGTCTTAGGACATACATGCGGATCTCCGACCTTGCCTGCCACTGAACCATTGCGGATTCCATCGCCAAATCGCCGATGCCTGGCGACCCTCCGCCCATGGCGGCTCACGCAGACAGGGAGAGCCTAGAGATCTCCGACGACTACTCAGACGATGGATTCCCACCCTCGCCTCCAGGCTACTCCTACCGATTGAACAGGTACACTCGCCCGCTCATCGACTACGTGCGCAACGAATGGCAAACGAGCGCCAAATACACCTCCCTCTCCCTTTCCCCCGGCGGGACCGACTCCCCGCGATGGGTGCAGATGTTCATGTCTATGGTGACGGCGCCGCGTTTTCGCCGATACGCTATTATATACCTGGTGCTCCTGGTGTCTTGTCTGGCGGGGTGGATGTTTGTGCTCTCGCCGCGGCTGGAGGAACATGAGGCGCTGCTGCACTCGTTAGACCCGTCGATCAAGGACGATGTTGGGGGTTGGTTTGGTACGAACGCACTGCCGAGATTCGATAATATCACGCAATTGAGGGATCTGGATGCTTCGTTGTTGCCTGCGGTCAAGGCGCAGAAGGACGGACAGCCTAGCTCGCGGAGGTTGATTTTCATCGGGGATGTGCATGGCTGCAAGGATGAGCGTGCGTTCCCTTGACTCCGTTCTCCTTGTGATGTTGTACTGATTGATGCGGGCAGTGGAACTCCTTCTTGACGAAGTCTCCTTTGACCACGAGCGCGACCACCTCATCTTCGTCGGCGACATGATCAACAAAGGCCCCGACAGCCTCGGGGTCGTCGACCTGGCCCGCAAGTACAGCGCCTCCTGTGTCCGGGGGAACCACGAAGACCGGGTGCTGCTGCTCCGCCACGACATGGAGTCATCAAATACCCTCTCTCCGGACTCGGACGGCGGCATCAGCCCAGATCTCTTCTTCGGGCTGAAAAAGAAGGAGCGTGCGCTCGCGCGGCAGTTGTCCAGCGAACAGGTGCAGTGGCTTGGCGCTTGCCCCGTCATTCTGAACGTGGGCCAGATCCCCGAAATGGGACAGGTGGTCGTCGTGCATGGGGGTTGGTGCCGGGCGTGGAGCTGGACAAGCAGGATGCCTCCAGCGTGATGAACATGCTGACCATCGATCTGGATACGCATGTGCCTAGCTCGACGCGGAAGGGAACGATGTGGACCAAGGTAGGCGCTGCGCTCCGTCAATTTCCCTCGTACATGGCTAAGCTGACAATGGCAGCTGTTCAATAAACATCAGTCCCTGCTGTACTCTAGTCTGGAGGGTTCGGTGCCGGACCCAAAGTCGCAGGTTATGACCGTGATTTACGGTCATGATTCGAAAAGTTCCTTGTCTCTCAAGACGTATACCAAGGGTCTGGACTCTGGGTGCGTCAAGGGTGGGAAGTTAACGGCTATGGTTGTCGAAGACGGCGGGAAGCAGAGCATCATCCAGGTGAGATGTCGCGATCATCGGGACGAGTAGTTTCGGATTCTCATGCATTGTCTGGTGTTGGGGCGTCAAACAATCAATCTCGTCAAGGGTCATGAATATAATACGGATACATTTTCGGCTGGAACTTATCTTACATTGTCCTCGGAGTTGAACGAGTAAAAATAAAATGAGATTTGATGACCATCGTGAAAGCACTAAGTCGGGGCCGACCGATTCCAACTCCCATCAACGTCCCAGACAACCGGCTCTGTAAAATCTTCGTACCACACTCCACCCAGGGCATTCATTTTCATATACCCGAAGCGGAAATATTCAGGTTCCTCCGCCCTGCGTCTCGTCCAATTGAACGATTCTACTGACCCATCCCCTGACCGGAAAGCACGGAACCTCTCCACATCATTGACAAGTACACTAATCCCATCCGCCTCGTCAGTTATATCCTTCAGGAAAGTGAAGACGATCTCCTGGGCAGATACAACAAGAGGCGCGGAGATCTGCGGAAGCGCACTTCCCAGCTGCGCACCGTCGAGCAGCGCGGCAGGCGTCTGGAGAATACTATCGAACCCCCAGCGGGCAACTCCGTTGATGAACAATCCCACCAGGAGCCCAGAATACAACAGACTCGGCCGCGTCTGCAAGGTCGTCCCGGGGAGAAAGAGCAAGCTGAGGATGTAGTGGTGGATGCGGAGGTTCATGTGCGGCACAACTAGGAGCGCGAGGACGGCGGCAATCAGGACGCCGTAGATGGCGAGCATTTTGGGCAGACGGCCTTCGTTGCGAAAGGCGACGGCCTGCGTGATGACGATACCGCATAGGAGAGCGACGATAATGATTAGGGCTGGTACAGCGCCGGGCTGCTGCTGGATATCGTGGGGCGTCAGGCGGGATATGGGGATCTTGTCGAAGGTATCGGTGTTGAGGGCGCCAACCCAGCAAGGCCCCAGCCAGAGGATGGTCTTGTCCCAGTGGGCATCTAGATCTTTTAGGGTGTGCCTGACGCAGAAATAGTACAAGGCGAAGCCGACGAAAGCGCAGGGGAGGAATCTGCCTAGGGCGATGGAGATGAGCTCGTAGTAGTTCGGAGAATAAGGTGGATCGGACGAGAGTGCGACTTGGAAGTAGACGATGAAGAACATCGAAGCGTAGAACGCCGCTGGCGAAGTGATGAAAAGTGAGAGCAATGCTGAGACTACCACGGAGAAGGCGAACAGCGACCAACGGATGTCCTGGCAGTCAAGACCACCGTCTTCTGTGGACCCATTCCCATCAAAAGTGAAGGACAAGGGAAAATTGGAAGGAAATGCGATGCTTGGAATACCGTTCCTCTCTACAGATGGAAAATTGGACTGTTCACCCGTCCGGCGGAGGACCCCGCAGCCGCCTTTCGCATCACTAATGAGTCCCGCATGTAGCGCAGCAGGACAAATGGCAGAGTCACCGCGATAAACACCGTAGTCGCTGCCATTGCCACCTCCGAGTTCACCACCGATGACCAGAGTCCGGTAATTGATCTCCTGCGGGCCAATGAAGTATGGTTCGAGAACCATTGCAGCCGAACAAGTCGCAGGGCAGCGGAACGCAAATGCGCCGTCATCAAACGGGCGACATGCGTCCCCGTTTAGACCACAGTTAGTAGCATTGGACCTATAACGTCAGCGTGCGTCGTTTGATGATCGAAAATGGCCATAGCTTACCATAGTCGACTGTGACAGGATAGCTTAACGGGCTGCCCATAACCCGTTACAGCCGAGCCGGCAATTGCAGATTGTAGCGACGCGATGAAAACTACTCCCCAGAAGACCAGGCAAGACAGAAGAAGCAAGACCTTGCTGATAGTACTGGGAAAGAACCTCTCCACCAAACGGCCCGGCGCCGTCTGCCAGCGGGGCAGCAAAGGTCTGATCTGATATATATGAGGGGGCGAAGGCCCCAGTACCCACGACCAGATTGCAGATACGGAACACGAAAATCGCCTTGAAGATGTGCGAGTTTGTTGTTGATGCTCATGGACTGGCAAGAGCGGCTCCCTTGTGCAGTATTCCTGACCGGCTCGTGCCGAATCGGCGCTCCCGCGAGCTACCGGCATAAAGTGGCTGACCTCGGAACTTTCTTCATGGTGAAGGATCTCTAGCGGGTACTCCTGGGTTTCACGAGGGACTTTCTCGTAGGAAGATGAATTTCCAGAGCTTGAGATTGAGGAGGATTCCTGGCCTGATAGCATCTTCGATTCTGTGATTTCTGTCCATGATAGAATGGTTCTCGTGGAGGGAGATCAAGTAAGGCGGGCAAAGTTGGTGAGGACCGGCCCACCTTAGTCAGATATACTCACCCTTGTTACTACGGAGCAACTACCGGTACTACCTTAGACACCCGTGCTGTCTTGACTCTATACATTATTCTCTGTGCAATGAGAATAATCAACATGAATGGCAAACTTGTATTAAGCGCATATATCACACAGAGGATATGACCTCGAAGGAGCAAAAACCGTATGTCATCAACAAGCCACATGAATCGTTAGCACACAAGAGGGTATCAAATCAGCAGATAACCAATTAAAGATCGTCAACTCGTTGCCCACCAAAGAATTTCCCTACGAGAGCCTTGATAAGGGGTACAGTAAGTATGTTCAGGGGTCTTAAGGATTGTAGTCGTCGTAAGTTGGCACTGTAAGGAACGCTTGCGAAAAGTTGTCGAATGTTTGATAGATTTAACCGTCCACTGCAGGTCAATGCCCGAGGCAAGGACAAACAGTGTCATCGTGATGAAAGACCGAAAAACGACTAGACGGCGGAGCGGCCAAAACGACGACGGCCACTATAGAACATGTTAGAAGGTCATATTTTAGATTTGTCGAGGCAGTCAACTTACTAGTAGCCATCAGCATTGGCGCCCCTGACGCGGAAGGTGAACCAGATGCCCTAGCAGATGCTGTCAGAATCAACATCCTTGGGTTACAGACTTCATAATACGAACCACAAGAGCGGAGGCGAGCCACACGATGGCGGAGAGGAAGCTGAATGCTTCGGCGGCCTTCCAACGACCACAGGAGTTGGTGCTGTAGGTGTCAAAATGCCAGTGCCAGATACTGCCGCAGTTCAACTTATGGATGGCATCGACGAGAATGCCGAACGCGGCGAACCATGCGAAAGAAATGACCACATCAACTGTAGATTTTTCCTGTTAGCCACAAGGTATCATCGTGCGCAACAGATCAGACATACATGGCCAAGAGAAGAAGCCAGAAGAGAAAGGTATCAGCCATATGAGACCGAGGAGTATGGATAAGCCGGCGACGACTTCAGTGTAGATCCACCGTGCTTGTGGCCAAGCATCAATATCGGAGAACTGATGCAGATAGTAGCCGATGATGCCTGCGACGACCTTGAGTTTTACAATAGAGTCAGTTGCGCTCCAATCATTTAATCGCTCTGGGGTGCATACCGCAGCAAAGGCGATCTCTGCGACACGTAGGACAATGGAGACTAGACGCGAAATGACAGGCATTGTGATATGGAGATTATTGAATTAGATGGTTGCCGAGAAGATGCGGTTCTTTTTTGTGACAGCGAATGACTTCGGGGCCTTGTTATTATAGACGATGGTCTGAGAGTAGACTAAGCAAGGACAAATTGTACAGAGGGTTTAATAGAAGAGGAAGGAAGAAAATAAGTAAAAAAGGGAGGCAGTGCAGTTTAAAAGCTTCGCCGGCGCAGTCGTCACACCTGGTGACGATCATCGCAAGTACTAGACTTTGTTTGTCCGTCTTTTCCATGTCCTTCGGTGTCGGCTCTGCCATCTCTACCATCATCGCATGGGCACGACATCTTGTTCTCAAAACGATTGGCTGCCTGGGAAATCCTCCGGTCTGCCCAACTTTTTCTGGGCACAGACAGTCATTGAATCTTGAGCAACTCTAACACTGACTACGGTAGTGATCGGTGGCTGGTTGACCGCTCATTCGGTGATGATTGGCGTGACCACACCAGGCATCATGCGTTGTCCTCAAACCTAAGTCTTTACTGAGTATTCTCCAGTTATCCCAACAAGGATAACTGCAAGAATTGACTGCATTCGAAGTATGGTTGTACCATTGTCTAGAATTGATAGTGCCACAACTAAGGCTGAGAGCTCTTCTCCACCAGCTCCACTACTAGCCCATTTCGGGAAATTCTTCTCAAAGCATACCAGAGATCTTCTCAGCTTCATTTTCGGGTGTGGGTTATTGTTTCCATTCATTTCGAGCTCTAAGTCGACGTAATAGCAATGCCTGTAAAACACAAGAGTATCTTATTACCTCAGGGGTATAATCTGAACCATCTTAGGTTGAAGTTTGTTATTGCTTGGATGACGAAATTTCAGGACTCCTTGTTGTCTGACGTCATCCACAAAACAAAATGCAGCAGCCTGGATTGTCTGACCTTCACCGGACCTTCACTCTCCCTTCAGCCCTAACGCCGTCGACGTAGGCACCTCTATACCTTGGCATGAATAAAAAGTGATGTAATTCAGCAAAGACTGCGCAGCATCACTGAACAGTTAATTAACCAGACTCGCTCGACTTTCAAGAAACTGCCCGTAAATTATAGATGTTTGAAGCCTACTAATACACGATCAAGAATTACCAGCAAACCAGAACGGTAAACCAATCTTGTCACGTAGAACCTCGTCGATTATTCTCCAAGAACCATTCCATGACTGTACGGAAACTCCCTTTAGCACCGCTCTCAATAATATCCCCGTGGCACGGAATCAACCGATTAAACTCCCACTGATCGATCCTCCTCATTGACTCCGTAAACGCCTTCCGATCCGCACTTGATAAAATATACCACGCAAACCGCTTCTGCCACGTCGCCGGTGGCTCAGCCGACATCACCGTGTTGATAATCTTCGCAAAGATCCCCGATGTAGCGCCCTCCTTCGTCCGCGAGTACTGCTCCCGAGCGGGGAGATTAAACATGAGATCCGCCTCGATGAGTGTGCGCGACCGCTTATGTAGGAAGACTAGCTCCCGCGACGGATGTCCGTATACGTACTCGGACTCAAACTCCGCGTCGAATTCCTCCGAGATCTTGCGGGATCCCTTATGCTGGTCCTCTTTCCGGAATATGTGCGAAAAGGGCGTGTTCTTATACTCTGCATTCGACTGCCGTTTCTCCCAGAGGCCTTCCGGGGCGATGATCTCGGCCTCGGGGTATGCTTCTTTCCACGGCGTGAGGTGGATGTGATGCTCGAGATCTAGTGCGGCGATGTATTTCACCTGGCCCATCTGGGAGATCATCTCGCGAACTTGGGGCGTGAGGCTGACCGGAGAGAAGATGGCGAGGGAGCCCGAGGGCAGTTTGACTGTTCAGGCTTGGTCAGCTGGATGAAATTGATGATACTGTCTTTGACAGGGCTCACCCAGTGTTCCCCGCGCGCCAAACTTGAGACGGCCAAATCGTGCGAATGGCAGACTCAGGGTGATGATGTCGGAGGTGACATTTCGGATCACCATCACCTCTTCTGGGTTGGATGGAAATAGTCGAGGCATGATAGGCGCTTTTTCTTTTGTTTTGAGCAGCTGAAATATATGGCAATTCGGGCCAGAGCTCAATTGCGCTTTCTATCCCCTGTACTCAAGGCGTGCCTTGGATAATCAGGATCAAGGTAGTAGCTAAGCTTCGAAGCAAGATATCAATTTCATCTATAACGGCGAGAAGCTCGTCAGTTGGATCTGGTGAACTACGAGAATTCCAGCAAATGTTGCATGACATGAGCTGTTGGAGCTGACAGTTTCTGGTGGGGCGGCAATGACGTCTGTACATCTTCCATCGGAGAATTGATCATAGCTTAAATCCCCAACATATAGAATTAAGCTCAAATAAACCAAGACTTTTCAGGAGTATCAGCAACGGACATACGATCTTAATTTATATTTGCTCCGTGTTGATGCCATGAGACTCGGTTACACTTCAGGGTGCAGATCTGGGTTGCCCCGCTCCTCGCAGCAATGCCACGAGGTCTAGACAGGCTATCGTCGGGTCTATGTCTCAGTATTGAATGTGTAGTTCAATTCATTGCAGCTTCAAGATGAATATAACATCCAAAACAACATGGGTATCGCTTCTATACAATAACCACACATCTGACACGAAAAAGGACAGGTGCCTTTCAACCGTACCAACCACCGCCCGTCGACTGTGACGGCTCTTCGGGCGATGCTTGATTATAGACTCCTTGATATCATATACATCAATGAGCTGGCGCCACGTTTCAAAATCGAGACTGAAGATAGCCTGGTGTTTCTGGACTCCCTTTTTCTGGGCCTCACTCGGCGCATACGGTTTCGAGGGATCTAGGGGTCGAACAGGTTAGCTCCACAAGCCACTCAGGAGTAGACCCGCAGGGAACTTACGTAGAGTGGGTAACTGCCGACTGTCGGTTGATATTCCGACAGTCCCATCTCGTACCAAGAAGCTGACATAGAACAAATTCTCCACACTTTGCCCAAACGACCTTGGGTTTATGCAAAAGTGAAAAAGAGGTACTCCTCCGTCATCAGCAACATGATACTTGGCCATGACTTCCTGGACAAGCTCCTCCGTAGGCTCCTCCTCCATCTGCGAGAGTATTCTATCCACAGTATTCTGGCCATGAGTTACCGTTTCCGCGAGCAATTTGTTTATATTGGCGCACATGGTCGTGAGGTTCGACGTCTCCTGCCTGTCGAGGTCCTTCTCCTGGAGCTCCTGTGGTCGAACCGCCTGCGATGGGTCAATGCGCTCTCTCGCTCGTCGTTGTGTCACTAGACGGGTGCGTTTCTGTACCGACAACGGCCCCAGAAGAAATCCAGAAACTGAAGGCCGGGAGTTATGGCGCAAGCAAGCAGCCCGCCCCAGCCAATCCCAGTTCATTGCGTCTCCAGTCTCATCATCGCTCTCGTCCGGGTCTGCTTGACTGCGCCCGGAAGGACGGGGCCGTCGACGCTGTGTGCTGGATAATGCGGCGTCTGGATCACTTGGGCCACGGCGCATAAAAGAAATACACTTGGAGACGAACTCGTCGACATCGATACCCGCGGACGCATCTCCCAAGGTGAACTGTGCTGTTTTCTTATACCCCAGATTTGCGGCAGTGACCAGGAGACGAGAGTCGATGGTCGCATCCGATGTTTGCTTGACGTTTTGGAAGATCTCATTGGCCTTTTCGATGGTCTCTCGGATTCCGATATTCCCCGCTTGCATGTACTCGTTCCTGCAGTCTGCACCAGCGTCAGAGCATGCGGTTTACTTGATGCTTGTAGTTTATATGAGTGCCTAGAAAGAGCAGAATTACCATTTAATTCTCGATGCAACTCTCGAAGTTCCCTGCGAATGCGCCTCCTCTCATTCTCATCCTGATCTGGATCGTAGTACCTCTTATCCTTGTCCGATCGCTGAGACTGGGACGACTGGGATTGGCTTCCCTGGATGTTGGACGCTCGCTGAGCCAGTCGTTGCCGTTTCGCGTTGGTGCCTGAAGATGCCATGGTCTGAGTCTGGGCCCTCTTGCGAGGTCTTGAGGAGTTCTGGCGGTTCTCCTTATCTGAAGAGGATTCGGGCGACGAAGATCGACTTTCAGCCTCACGAGCACGCGCAATCCCTGCCATAGTCTTGGGCTAGGACTTGATGACAAACGGAGCACAAAGAAACGTGGTAGCGTTTGATAGAGCCTAGAGCGGTGAGCGCGACGAGGCTAAAGAGCTGAAATCCACCGTGATTGGGACAAAAATTCAATTACACCTGGAGAAAAATCTTGGGTGCATTAGAAGCGTTGTATTATCGCCGTGAGCCAATACCTATGCCGTTTCACTTCCGAATCGGTGGAAACGATGTGGCAGAATACGGAGCATCATTATGAGATCTGCCTGCGCGACGCGTGCCTGTCCGAAGCAGATAAAGATCCCTCTGCTATTACATTTTTGGCCGATAACGGTCACGTGGCGAGGAACACCGCTCCCCGTCATTATGCAACAAGCAGCCAATCAGGTATGCTCTTACCATCTTCCCCGGTTGACCTCCACAGCTAAGTCATTGACCTTATCTAACCTACGTACCTTACTTGGAGACTCTCCGACGTGTCCTTGTTACACGGAACTGCCAGGAAAAGAGATAAAACCCTGGTAATGAGGGACTTATAGAGGTCTAGACTAATGGAGGCATTCACGTTTGCCGTCTCCACGCAGGTGGACTTTCCAATCCATGTCAAGATGTAGGTCTGGATCAATACCCGACGTGCGCCGAACCTGGGAAATAGGAAGCTAACCGGTTCAAAGTGGCTCGCTGGAAGGAAAGCAGAAGCAGGTTCCGCTTTCAGTCCTATACAAGCGACCGGACCTGCGACACATCGGCTCCATCCAGAACCCAACCTCCGATCTGTTTGTGACGGTTCAACTATGGTCGGATTCCAAGCAACTGGGTGTCCCCATGCAGACTTCGTACAAGACTTTCAAGTCCGTTCGAGCCTGGAATGAGTGGCTGCAGATGCCCATGTCCATCAAGGATGCTCCTCTGAGCTGTCAACTGGCTGTCACTATCTGGGATCTCTCACCATTTGGCGGCAAAGGTGCAGACGGCCACTACATACCGTTCGGCGGAACAACAGTACCCTTGTTCGATGAAGACGGTAAGCTGAAGACGGGACGGCAAAAGTGCAAAGTGTATCGACACAAAGCAGCAGATGGCTTCTCGTCGACGGCTACTCCATCGACTCCCCCGCCCAGGCGACGCAAGAACAACGCCTCCGACGCTCTTGGCCCTTCAGTGGAGGAAATGGAGCTGGAAAGAGTGGAGGTGTTGATCAAGAAACATGAGATGGGGGAGATACCCCGAATCGACTGGATGGATCAGATGGTCTTCCGCCAACTGGAGAAGTTGAAGCTGAACGCTGAAGAAGCTGCGAGGAAGAGGGCGATCCGTCTCAAAGCGACCAAGAACAAAGCGTCAGAAACACCAGGCGCTGACGGAGTAAATTCTGACGAGGAGGAGATAGATGACGAGAATTTCGTCCTGTATATCGAGTTCCCGCGCTTCGATCATCCGATCGTCTGGACTGACCATCAGTACCCGGCCCCTCCAGTCTCGTCGTATTCTCAAAATGCGCCCGCGAACCCTAATGCGACCCTAAAACCTGTTCCTGAAGTCCGCTTTGGACCAGGAATCGAAGGTGCCAATGGTGACGGTGTGATTCGAATCTACGACCCAGAAGTCGGTCAGACGGGTAACCCCTGTGAGGACAAACATAGGAGGTTGATTCGAAGCCATCGGACCGGCATCATGGACCGTGACCTGAAACCCAACCCCAAGATTCGCGACGAGCTTAACGTCATTGTGTCATATGAGCCAACTCAGGACCTTACAGCAGAAGAAAAAGACCTGGTCTGGCGTTTCCGATACTACCTTACCCGCGAGAAAAGGGCGCTCACCAAATTCGTCAAATCTGTCAACTGGCGCGACGCCGGTGAAGCCCAGCAAGCGGTAGAGATCCTTCCTAAGTGGACGGAGATCGACGTTGATGATGCACTGGAGCTCCTCGGACCGACTTTTGATAATACAGCTGTCCGTTCCTATGCTGTAGATAGGCTTCGAAAGGCAGACGACGAGGAGCTGCTGTTGTACCTTCTGCAGCTGGTACAAGCGCTGAAGTATGAGGAAAGCTCGCGGGGCGACACTGAAGGCGCCGCCCATGACTCGTCGTTGGCAAATTTCCTCATCACCCGCGCTGCCAACAATTTCAAACTCGGAAGCTATCTGCATTGGTATCTCATGGTTGAATGTGATGACACTAGCCCCGGGACCCTGTCCACTCAACGCAGACTTTTTGCTCGAGTAGAATACTACTTCATGGCCGAGCTCGAGCAGGTTTCCCCAGAACAGAGGAAGACGCTACTGCGACAAGGTGAGCTTGTCGCTGTACTCACGAAGATTGCCAAGGATATCCGCTTCGCTCGGGAGACTCGACCTCTGAAGATCGAAAAGTTGAAAAAGTACTTGAAAGATCCCAAGAACGAACTCGTCCATATCGATCCTCCACTACCTCTTCCATTGGATCCAGAAATCTTGGTGACGGGTTGCTTTCCGGAAGAATCCAATGTGTTCAAGTCCTCCCTGTCACCATTGCACATTACCTTCAAGACCTCTGAGGGACGCAAGTATCCAATTCTGTTCAAAGTCGGTGATGATCTCCGGCAAGATCAACTTGTCATTCAGATCATCATCTTGATGGATCGTCTACTGCAGAAGGAGAACCTAGACCTTAAGCTCACCCCTTACCGTATCCTCGCGACGAATGCCACAGCTGGCGCTGTCCAATTCATACCATCAACCTCACTCTCCGCCGTCTCTGCCAAGTACAAATCCGTCCTTGCTTATCTCCAGGCAAACAATCCTGACGAGAACGAACCTCTTGGTGTCCGTAAGGAAACCATGGATGCCTATGTTAAGTCCTGTGCTGGATATTGTGTCATCACCTACCTACTCGGCGTCGGAGACAGACACTTGGAGAATCTTCTACTTGCACCAGACGGTCACTTTTTCCACGCAGATTTCGGATTTATCTTGGGTCGAGACCCCAAACCCTTTGCTCCCATGATGAAACTGTGCAAGGAAATGGTGGAAGGTATGGGTGGTACCACCTCCCCTCAATACCTCCAGTTCAAGCAGTACTGCTTCACCGCGTACACAACCCTGCGCAAGTCGGCGAACCTGATCCTCAATTTGTTCAGTCTGATGGTCGACGCCAACATCCCTGACATCCGCGTCGAACCGGACAAGGCTGTATTTAAAGTCAAGGAGAGGTTCCACCTCGAGATGTCAGAAGAGGAAGCTATCCGTCATTTCGAGCAACTCATCGGCGACAGCGTGAATGCCATATTTGGTGTGGTCATCGATCGGCTACATGAATTTGTGCAGGGGTGGAGAGCGTAGAGGTGCGTTTAGATTGACTTGGACTAGTATCAAATCGTGGTTTCCATTTTCTCATGTTTGCATGACATGACATGATTGGTGTACTCAGGTGTTATGGATGGATGGCATGAGAATGTGCTGAATGATACCCTGTATAGAAGTCCTGTTCTATACTGATTCTTCCTCTACTTCTATTTAGATCCTTAGAAAATAAACTCTAAGAAAGGCAGTACATTGTACTCTGCGCCGTAGGCGGTTTTCGTCAATGAGAGTCGGAAACACAAGCTCAACCTAATCGTCGTCCTCTTAAGTGACTTCTTCAAAGCGATTCCTGTTTCTGTCCTCCATGCTATAATGCGAAGGCGGTACAGAATAAATATTGGTCGGGCCAGGTGAACAAGCATTTCAAAGTCTACCTCTCGCCGCTTTGCCTCTGCGCCGCCGGTCTCTACGAACATTTTCATGTCATACTGTCTCATGGCTAGTATTCAACGGGACGGTGAAGGAGTGAATTTGAATTGGTTCAGATAATATGATGTCCTTTGTGTTCGTGGAAGAGAGGCAAGTATCCCGTTTTTTATTTTCTTATCATTCTTATCGTGTTGGAGATAACATGACACCGCTTCTTTCACCGCTTTCACTACTTTTGTCAAGCCGAAAAAAAGAGCGCAAAGAAATGCGGATCATCTCAGCATGTCAACAGGGGCAAGCAATGCGTTCCTTCTTCACGCATTTCGGTCACCTCTCATCTCAATAATGTTCGAGACATTATTGCGTCATCATCTCTACAGATCACTTTTGCAGGTCTACAGTTGAGTGGTCTATCTGCGATGGCAGCCAAATTCATTCCGCGGCAGGCATTTCCCAGCTATGCCTCCATTCCAAGATCATATTATCTTGGCCATCACAGAGCCGGATTGAAGAAGATGCAGAACATGCTGTCTTCTATTGATTACGTTATCGAGTGCCGCGACTACAGAGTACCCGTAACGTCTATTAACCCCATGTTTGAAGAGGCTTTGGGAAAGACAAGGCGGTTAGTAGTGTACACAAAGAGGGACCTGGGTGCGGAGCCTCGATCATCTGCAAAGCAAATGGTAAGTCCAGGATCAGAGTTTAGCTATAATTGAGATAATAACTGACGGGTGTCCTTGTATGTAGGCCGAAAAGACTATCAAGAAGTTTGATTCGAGTAGTGCCGTGTTTTTCGTCAGCTCCTCCTCCCGAGCGGATGTCAGTTCGATTCTGGCACATCTACGAAATGATGCTGAAGGGCCTGATAAGCTCGTCGGCTGTCGCGTGATGGTTGTTGGAATGCCAAATGTGGGCAAGTCCACCCTGATCAATAATTTGCGCAACCAAGGCGTAAGAAGGGCCAAGGCCGTGCAGACTGGAGGCCAGCCTGGTATTACACGGAAGATCGGGACACCCGTCAAGATCATTGAGCGGGACAATGGGGCACATGTTTACGTTTTGGACACTCCGGGGGTTTTCATGCCCTATGTGCCGGATGCGGAGAAAATGCTGAAATTAGCTCTATGTGGTTGTGTGAAAGATTCAGTTATTTCACCAGTCACATTGGCGGATTATCTTTTATATCATATTAATCTGCATAACCCGGGGCAGTACCAGCGCTGGTCCCAACCCACAAACGAGATCTCGCCTCTCCTAGACAGCTTTGCACGGCAAACCGGTCTCCTTGCCAAAGGAGGTATACCTAACATTGATCTTGCCGCACTCCATTTCATTCAAAAGTGGCGATCTGGAGAGCTAGGGCGTTTCATACTTGACGATTTACAAGCAGAGCAGCGCCGTATCGACGAAGGAATTGAGAACGACGTGGGGATCAGCATATCACAGGCCTTGAAGGCCGAGCGAATGTCGAGGAAACAGCCTGCCTCTGATTCTTAAACCAAATGAATGATATAATCGATTGTACAATAGAACATATACTGTTGGTATCATTGATGAGCTTCTTTTGCGCGCCCCTCGAAATGCATAATGTTATGACCCCGGCATAAATAAGAACATGATATAGAATGAAAAAAGAGGACAGACAACAAATACGAAGACCTAACGCCTGTGGGGAGGAGAAAAACATGAAAATGTTGAGCACAGAACCCGGAAACACCAATCGGCCTAAGAAATTTTGTCCAGCAGTCGGCGTCGCCTCCGGTCCACAAGCTCCTCTTGCACCTCTTCCAGCGTCGGCAACCTCCATTCAACCCCATCGCCAGCGTCGCCGGGAAGCGGCTCCCACCCATCCTCCGCATCACTATCCTTCTTCCCTCGTAGGTGCTCAACAGCCTCCTTCTCCTTCTGCCTCTCATACGCAAGCAACAATCCATCCTCTTCATCGAGCCCATACCCGAAGTAGTTCGCATCAACCTTCTTCGTAGCAATATCCCCACCCCGCCCTTTTCCTTCCTCCTCTTCCTCGGGCGGCCTTCGCCCCCGTCGCGCCGCAGCCTCAAACATCTCTTTGACACCAGGTAACTCCCTGGCCCGCCCAAAGTACCGATACCCCTTCCCACCACCGGGGATCTCCCGCCCCTCGTCATCATACACCCGCCCCGAACCACGCATATAGTTCGGCCCACCCAGGTTCCGAATCTGCATTTCCCACGCCCATTTCTCGCGCATCAGCTTGTTGATTTCATCGTTCAGGTCGCGGATCTGGTAGTCGGATAGACTGGGCTCATGGATCCGGGACACCTTGCGCGAGATTTCTTTGAGGACTTGGCCGCGCCATTTCTCGCAGCTGGGGATCGAGTCCACAGACGTGATGGCTTTGGGCCGACGCGTCCGTCCGATGTCGATGATTCCGAGATCCGCGGCTTGTTGCGCCCGGAAGCGGAAGAGCATCGACTGTGCTTTCTCGCTGTTACGTGCCTGTTAGGGAAGACCTGCGGTTAGCGTGTGGACTGTACGGTCTGGAGACAGGCTGGTCTGTCGCTTATTCGGCCCAGAGAATTTATGACGGACTCACCATGATGATGCACTGGACGGGACGAGTTCAATTGAGATGTGGTGTGAAAAGGAAGATGGGGGATGAGAGCCCAACAAAAGTACTCTGATTAGACTTGACAAGCTTGAGTGGAGAGTGGAGATGCCGCTCACCTAAGCGAGCGTTAATTGTAGGCGCGCGGCTATTCGGGAGAACAACCATTCAGAAAAGAGCATCTTCTTAAGACAATCTATGTACTATTGAGGTTGAACTAGTTTAAGAAACGCCATTAAGAAAGGTGCAATTCTCCATAAGTTCCTATTAAATCAAGATCGATGGTTCGAAAATAATGGAACAGACTAATGCAGACAGCCGCCCGTAACCAAGAGGTAATCAGCAAACGCAGCATGTTAATCAGGAGACGCATGAGGCAAAAAAATATACAAATCAAAGAGAGAAAACTATCAGTAGGTCATCTCCGGGTCCGATCAACACACCGGACTCATTCATAAGTGTCATTTCATGGGTCACCTCTCAACAAGCTGTAGCAGGATCAACCTGCTATATCATAATACCCTCAGAGGAAACCTTTCGTGTTGCTCGGCATCCTCTGCGGCAAGTCACTCGCCCCGTAGACGCCGCTACCTCTTCTGCTTCCAACATCGCTGAAGGTCACATGTGGTCTCCCAATCGCACTCCCTCGTTCGGTACGCAGGGTTTTCAACCCGTCCAATTCACGCAATTCACGCTCTAATCTTAATGCCTTTTCACGTGCTTCGCGTAGCTCCCTTTCAACTCGGCGGATCTGGAGCTGCGCCTCCGAGTCACTTTGCTGAAGCTCCTCAATGTTGTGAAGCAGACGCTCAATCTTCTCACGACCCTTGTTGACATCTTCCTCAAGTTGCGCATTCAGCTTGTCACGCCGCTCCAACTGTGACTGAAGATCTTTGACTGTACGGTCGACATTGCGCAGTGACCGTTGTTCCGAGCTGTGCTTGTTCTCTTGCTCTTCGAGATGCGTCTCCAACTGTTTTATTTGACGCGTCAGTATCTTGGATGACGCATTTCCGTGGGATGAAAACCTACCTCTTTGATCCTCTTGTGGAGGAATCGAACATCCTGACTGCCTGTCGAGTAGCTCTTGGTCTCTAAATCGACGCATCGCAACTGCGCCTCCTTGAGTTGTTTCTCTAGCGCGGCCTTATCCTTGAAGAGCTGAGCATTTGCCTCCCTTTCAGCAGTGACTTCTTTCTGCATCTCAGTCACTAGTGCTTCAGCTCGCCTCATCTTCCCAACAGCGGCAGCTGAGACGTCTTCTTGTTGGGCGAGTTTCGACTTCAGCTCTAGGAGCTCGCGGTCCATACTGGCGGCGTTGCGCATAGACGGACTTTCGCCCTTGGCGAGTTCCTCCAGTCTCTCCGCAGCCTCAGCCAGTCGGGCTTCAAGCATCTTCTTCTCTTTGAACAATGTGTCACGCTCTGCCGTGATGTCATCAAACGAGGTTCGCAGACTTCGGACCTGTGAAAGAAGGGACACAACTCTGCCTTGGGCTTCGTTATGGGCGTTGACAGCCTCATCGCGAGACGTAGTGACATCCTGTAATGTGATCTCCATCCGTGCTTTCTCTTTAGCCCAAGTTGAGCTGTTCAGGACTTCATTATCCCACTTGCTACGGAGATCCTCCAGTTCCTCCCGAAGACGAGCGTTCTCGCTACGAACATTGAGCACCTTCTCTCGTTCCATCTCGAGCTCATTGTTGAGCGTAGAGAATTCCCTTTGATATTTCAGCCTGGTCTGCTCCATTGACGTTTCTTTGTCTTCGATGTCGATCGCACGCTGATTCCTGTAATCTTCAAGTTCATTCTGCAAGCGCTGTTTCGCTTGAAGCGCTCCTTGTAGCTCAGCTGCTTGATCCTCCATCCTAGCCTCTAGCATCTGTGTCTGTCTTTGCAGGTCTTCAACAAGAGCATCCATCTGTTTGCGCTCAGCCATAATCTGCGCACACGTCTCCTCTGCCTCTTGGGCTTGTGACTTGGCAAACTGCTCCGCGCGAGTGGCTTTGAGGACGGCAATTTCTGCGTGTTCGAGCTTGTTGAAATAGTCATCCGCCCGACTCTTATACAAACTCAAGCTGGAGGCGAGATCAGCGGACTTGGATGTTTCCGCATCCAGCCGTATCTGCAAGTCGGAGAACTCCTCGAGAAGCTGATTTCGGCTGACGGCATCCTGCTCCCTAGCAACTTGCAACTCTTGCGCTTCGGAGAGTGCGTCTCGAAGTTCCACCTCAAGAGTAGCTTTTGCTCGCTTGAGCTTCTCAAATTGCGCTTTCGCCTCGGTGAAATCAGCCATGGCCTCATTATGGACTTTGAGCAACGATCTTCGAGACTGTTCCTGCGAATTGATCAGATCGTAGAGCTCCTCGTGCGATTTCGCCTGGACATCACGCAGCGATAGCTCTCCGGAACGGATGCTCCTCTCTAGGGCAGAAACTTTCTTGGCGGAATCGTCTAGTTGGTCATGGAGGCGGCCATTTTCGCGCTCCAAAAGCTGCATGCGTCTGAGAGACGGGCTCTCATCCTGCCATAGGTCTCGGACGGGCTTGAGTTGTTCAAGTTGGTTCTGAAGATGACGGTTCTGCATCTCACTCATCTGGAGTTTGTTCTGAAGCTCTTCGATTTCAGTAGCGAGGTCCATGCGTTTCTGGTAGCCGATAGTGTCGACTGTCCGATCTGACCGACCAGAATCCATTGTAGCTTCGTTGAGATTCAATCTCCGGTTAGGTGTCGTTGGCGTAGCGAATTTCTTGACAAGACCGTTTTCTGAATTCTTTCTCAGATGCGTCGGGGTACGATTACCGGCTACCTGATTCTGGTCAATCTCTTCAAGCAATGCACGCTTGGATGAAGAGTAACGGGCGTCCAGCTCCTTCATCTCGTCCTCGTGGCGACGCCGCATTTCTGCAAGTTGGCTCTCTGCTCGATTATACTTCTCCTCCGTCACTTGAAGTTTGCTTTGAACGGTATCCAGCAGTTGGGCTAGATTTACTTTCTCAGCTAGGTCTGGCTGAATGGACTCCCATGATTCTGGCGGCTTGTCTGACAGAGGCTCCACGAACTTATGTAGAAGCATCAGCTGGCGGTGCAAGGTCTCAATTTCCTTGTGCGCAGTGTCAAGAGATCCCTGAAGCTTTCGTGTGTTTGCCTGAGCCTGAGTTCGCAGCTGTCTCTCTGTCTCCAAGTTCCTGTTAGCTTCAGCAAGTTGTATACCGGCAGTTGAGGCGGCCTTCTCAGCGTTGCGACTGGCCTTATGTTCCCTGTTGACCTCATGGTTCAAATCCTCCAGACTCAATGACAGCTTCTCTTTCTGCTTTTCCAATGACGTAACAGAAAGTTGCAGGTCTCCGAGTTGTCGAGTCAGTTTTCTGTTATCTTCTTCCAACTTGGCCTTTTCCCTCTGCAGGCTCGTTATGCGGAGACGCTGGCTCTCGCTGGCCTTTGAGTTAGACCTGGCAATATCCAGATTTTTCTGTTGGATCTTGGTCAAAAGAGCGCGATTGTCGTTCTCGGAGGCTGTGAGCCTGCCTTTAAGCGTAACCAGCTCTCGTTCGAGGCGTTCTTTGTGCTGGTCATGGCGAATGCGGAAGTTTTCAGACTCAGCAATTGCATTGGTAAGTTCTTGCACTCTCGCTGAGAGACGAGATCGCTCTTCCTCAACGTCCTCCAGCAGACGCGCCTTTTCCTCTAGATCTTTTCGGACGCTATCCAGACGCTCGTTGGCCTGCTTCTTCACATTTCGCTCGATCTCGGCCTCTGCGTTCAAGCGGGCACTCTCCACTTTGGTGAACCTATCGCGAAGTTTAATCAGCTCGGTCTGGAGCTCCTTGCGAGACTGCTCCGCAGCTACTCGCGCTTCAGTCGCACGGCGAAGCGTGTCCTGCTGAATGTACATCTCTTTCTCTATGATGATCTTTGATTCATTCAAAGAGGCGTACTTGTCCCTGAGCTCCGCAAGATTGTGCTCAGCAAGCATTTGGACGTCGTCTCTCGACTGTCGCTCACGGCTGAGATCGGCCTGTGCCTGAAATAATTGATTCTTCAGGTCGTGAATCTGCTGCTCAAGCAGTTTCCTGCTCTCGCCAGCCTCTGCATCCTCGAAAATTTTCTCTTCGAGAAGCTTCTTGACGTCGGCGACCTCACGTTCAAGCTGACTTTTTTCAGACTTCATTGCGCCCGACTCTGCCTGCAGCTCTCGAAGTCGCTTCTGCATATTATCATGGCGTGTTGACAGGGATGCTTTTTCCGTTTCTAAGTGTTCCTTCTCTTCTTGATGCTTCTTGGTGTCATTTCGCAGAACAGCAATTTCACTTTCTTTTCGCCTGAGCATTTCCTCATATCCAGTAGATGTGGAGGAGAGATCAGAAATCTGTTGCCGGATAGAACGGTTTTCCTCGACCAGGTCCTTGATCTGCTTTTTCGACAGCTCCAGATCTTTAGATGTTCTTGCGAGCTTGATGTCAAGTTCCTGGTCTGTTTTGAGTAATTTCGCTTCCAGGTCTTGAATTTTGCGGTCTTTGAGAGTCAAGTGGCTTTGGAGCATTTTTATTTCCTGGCCTAGCTCCTTAACGCGGGCTTCCTGCTCGGCGACAGAGCTCTGGGCCTCCTCCAGTTGACGGTCAAGGACGTCGAGGCGGGCCAGTAGATCCCGTTTCTCGGCTTCCAGCCGTTCAATGATCTCGCCGGCCTGTTCAAGCTGCGTGATGCGCTGTCTAAGCTGCTCATCAGCCTTTTTCTTTGCGGCTATCAGAGTATCTAGTTGGTCCTCGAGACTCTCCTGGTCCGCAATGGCCCCAGCCAACTTTTCGGTTAACTCGATCTCACGAAGCTGCAGTCTTTTGAAGATCTCCTCTTTGTCAAGAGCCAAGGCCCGTTCGCTTTCAAGTATGTGTTGGATTTTCTGAATCTCAATCTCCGTACGGCGTCTCTCTTCATCAAGCTTCTGACGTTCAGCAATGTCCTGCTTCATCTTGGCTTCCAGCTCTTTAATCTTTTCATCCCGTTTCTTGACTTCATTAGCAGTACGTGTCTCTCCTAAGAGAGGCTTCATCCTAGAGAATAGCCGCCACCAGGGATTCCGCTTCATATCCAAATAGACTTGGAAGTTGTGCTGGATGATTCTCGTAGCTTCCGCCCGGTATAGGCGTTTGTTTGAAATCCGTCGCTGGATGAACCCTCTAGCTGCAGATT